TAAATGTGATGTATCATGCGAGTGCCGTACGTACTAATATGTTGAAATATTCTCTTTGTCATATTCGACATGACACTGCCAGCTCATGGTAAGCAAAATTAAAAATTATTAAATATACATAGTCATATTAAATAACTTTAATTCTGCTGTTTTTTTAATTCATTTTAGAAATAAATGAATTAAAACTTAAAAATTTTTGATCCCTGATTTTTTTTTAAATTATTTTTAGCAATACTTAGTTTTGTAAGAAAAATTTAAAAAATGAGAAGAATTTCCTTATCAATAATAATTCTTTTATCTATTGGACAAAAAATTTGACTATCGACGTAAACTTAACTTTCAGACGCTGTCATCACGTTATACAGTGTGTCGTTACCATCGCCACAATAAATGAACACACGTGTAACGCTACTTGCCAATAATCATAAAAAAATATTAACGTTAAACAAAATCCGTAATTAAAAAAAATATTTTTCAAACAAACTTAAGTAAAAAGAAACAAAATTTGTAACATCCTATACAACTCGCGCCACAGCGTCGCATTACAAGCCTCTCCTTCTAACAGTATGTTTTGTCTCTTTTAAATTCATTCAACCCATTCATATGCTTTGTGACCTTTACAAATGAACTTTACCTTACAGTTTTATACGTAAGGGTGTTCTAAAATCGTTTGTTTTGGAAAATTTTATAACTCGATAAATATTGATGTTTAAAGAATGTAAATGTTTAATACAATTTTTAAAAGTTATCCTCTATATGTGTGTTCATTTATTGTCGCGGTGGTAACGACACGCTGTATACTGACGCGAACTGGATCGCCTTGCTGAGAAATGTCTGTACGCTTTAATCTCTGATAAAAAGATAACATCTTATAAATAAACCGTATCTATGAATCAGCGCTAATATCGTTCTTCAAATTTTAATAGTAATTTCAGCCTTGAATTAGAGGTACTATTTTAATCGTTGTAAATTGACGACGAAAATCTGCTGACGTCTTGGATTTTTTTTTTAATTTGTTAACTTACATTAAAATGTAAAATATTATATGTGGACGAAATTAAGGACAAAGCTAACTGAAGGGTTTTTAGTTTTTATCATAAAGTAAAGTAACAGCCTATAAATGTCCCACTGCTGGGCAAAGACCTCCTCTGTAATTTTTATCATCATCTTTTTATTTTGCAAAAGAAGTATTTCATGGGTTTAACCATGAAATATTTTTATTAATCGAGTTACGCCCGGTTTCTGAAACACTGATCATCGCAGAAGTCAACTAATCAGCTGTCAAATGTTATTTGAGTTGCAAAAAGGATTGTTAAACTCTCTGAATTAATCAGAATGATGCTCTTAATGATCAGAATAAATAAATAAATTAATTGTAGATAGACCTTAATAAATAAATAAATAGAATGATCCATTCAAAAAGTTTAACAAGCCTTTTGAATTTAACCCGTGGGTTCTGGCTAGCCCACCATTTCTGCGTCAGATGAAGCTTTAATAGTCTCGGGACTGATGAGAAGCACAAACATCAGTTAATACAAGATGCAAGCCTTTTGGCAACTCAAATAACATTTAAAAATCCATTTGACAGCTGATTAGTTGACTTCTGCGCTGATCAATGTTTCAGAAACCGGGCGTTAGTTTTTTATGAAGAATTGTAGCCAGAAAAGAATTGCAGGTCGCTTGCTGGTAACATATTTATCCTGGTTCTGTTCCCTCAGCACTGAACTGAATTTGTAGTGATATAATGTAATGAAATTCCTATAAATGTTCTAAAAAAAACGATTTATGTATATTTGACCGTAATTATTTAATGACCGGGAATAATCGAAAGTAAATGTCTTGTAATTAATAAAAATGCACGTGATGTACGCGATGTAAGTAAACGGCGCTAGCAAATTAATGCGAGTGATAATAAAAAGCAACCTTGCGGTCTAGTCTATGGTATGCAGCATGCTAAATAACGAGCAAACGGATGTTATTAACACACCCGTTTAAATGTACGTTTATAGAAATAACACAGATAATATAGATTAAATAAGTACGAATATTATAGTATAAAAAAAACTTTAATGGAATGTTATAACTGGTGACTAAGTTTGGGGGAAACAGTTTGTTCCGCCGTTCCTGGCACGTCGCCAGTGTGTAAACGCAAACAGCGCTCCATTATCTACATAAACACTGCATCAGTCCTGAAACATGAGCGCGACTCCAGCGGGTCCCAAATCGCTCAGGCGTTCGACTTATGACACACAACCCACATATATAAAGCAAACAATACCTCATCGCCTTCGCTCATTTTTAATGGACGACCGCAGCATTCCACACACGCGTAAAATATTTAAACACACACGCTCGTCACAAACGCCAAAAGTTTCACATAACAATCCTACGGGACTTTCACGCACCACTACAGGGGCTGCACCATTACATGGGATCCCTGCGTCGGTGACTGTACGCGGGAGCGCGCGAATCAAGGCCGGCCGAATAAAAATGTATTTCTGGATCAGAGTTGTGGATTAACGGCGGCTGCGCTTACGCCATTCGCGGCATTACATCACGGACAATAGGGCCGCAATTGGTTCGCGGCACTAATGGACCGATCATCGGTTCCATCACGACGGACGAACGCCTAGGAGTGTCCTTTGGAGAACGTCGCCCCGCGCGCACTGATCGGTTGCTGTGGCGGTGATTCACACCAATTGAACGAGAGCTCCATTAGACGGGGCGTAGGCATAATTCAGTTACATGCGTCTGGGGAAACGGACTGTAATGAGATAATGACGCGCCCTGGTGCGCCTTCGGCTCTTGCGAAACCGCACGCTAAACTGTTGTCCACGTAAGCGTCTGTTGTGTCGGCTGACTTAACCCTGACACTGCTCAGTGCATTATGAACCCGATGCCGAATTCATTCTGTATATTTTGCTACAGTATCGAGGAGGTGGCGGCGGAATAATGGATAAGATGTAAGAGAATGAGTCACAATGACGAAGAGGATAAGTAGTCCCGGGGATTAGCTGCCGACTTATAAAGCCCGCATACGATGTACACACGACACTCATTAACTTCTTACGAATTTTCATAATTATATTAATTTTTAGGGTTCCGTATCCAAAGGGTAAAACGGTATTACTAAGACTCCGCTGTCTGTCTGTCTGTCTGTCCGTCTGTCCATCTGTCATCAGACTATTTCTCATGAACCGTGATAGTTAGACAGTTGAAATTTTCACAGATTATGTATTTCTGTTGCCGCTATAACAACAAATACTAACAGACTAAGAAAATATTAAAGTGAGGCTCCCATACAGCAGATATGATTTTTAGACGTTTTTATATATAATGATACGGGACCCTGCGTGCGCGAGTCCGACTCACACTTGACCGGTTTTATTATAATTCGGTTCGGCCTCTGTTTTAATATCTTTTTATATTAAATTTTTTAATTTGTCAGCATATTAGCAGAACATTGGCGGAATATGGGTCTGCTATTAGGGCGTTTTTATTAGAGGAAATTCGAAATTATAATTGTCGAATTGATTTAGGCCTAGTAAAAAATGATCTCCCAAAAATGATACAGCTCCTCATAAATTTGCCTCTTTGTCGCTTTCCTATATGGCAATTTTATGAATACAATTCACTGTATAATAAAATAATACACAATGTCAGAATTGGTAACTAACATGTTAACTAATTAAGAAACTGAATAATTTTGATAAAAATGCTAAACAGCTTTAACAAGTTTCCTTTCTAATGTGTTGATAACTTATTTGGAGTCAAGTGAGCTAGTATTTCACTGCTTGAAAGTGACAATAAAAAAGGCTTTTGGGAATGTCAACCCATGTTCACAGGTAGCTACAAACCACAATTGATAATGAGTAAAACAAAAAACCCGTCAAGTGCGGGTCGAACTCGTACGCCGAGGGTGAGAACTATACCTATCCATTTTACCGTCATAATAAAATTGCTAAATTTTCACTGCTGATTTTCTCAGGAACGGCAAGCCAAGGAAGGTAACCTAGCAAGTGAAATTATAAATTTATACCACATACTTTCGACGCAAAACCTATAGGGTACTTACGGTTGACCTAGAATTGTCAATTTTGGTTAAAAACAAGGCAAAAACTTACAAGATTACTTACAAGTTTTCGTGAAAATGTAAATTTGCCCACATAATTTTATCATATTGACTCAGGACCTTGGATTACTTATACACCTAATAGGGATTACAGAACTTAGTATCTGGTATAAATTTCAACTTGCTAGGTCCACCCATTCCTTGGTAGTGACACATAGACAGACAAACAGACTAGAGAGTGATGAAATGATGATCTTATTAGGGTTCTTTTTTTTACCTTTTAAGGTACGGAACCTAAAATATAGAGCAGCAAAACAAAAATAGATACACAGAATAGATTCTATTATGAATCTCATAAAAGATCATTAGTATAAATGTCAAAATATTTTACCTCATTTCAGCAAAAGAAATAACAGGTAATCCAAAAAATTATATAACTTTGAATTCTCTAGTAAAGTCTTTAGTAAACTTTAGGCTATAGCCTGCCTCGATTCGCAGACTTCATATATCTTTGAATTTATATTTATTTATTATATTTAGATACAATTTCCCCCTTTATGCATGTGGTAAATAAATAGGGAACAGAATTTAGATTGCTCAAGTACTTGGTGTACTATTAAACTAAATAAAGTTTAGTTGACACTCACCTCCACTAAACTCATTAAAGTGAGTTAATATAGCTATTGCAGTGAATAGTGTTTATTTGATACACAAAAGAATGAATGTAATGAATTGTAATAAATCTAGTAATTGGAACAAACAGCTTTGGAGACCTGAGATGTAATGAAATCATCATATTTCATTAAAAATAATTAGTATATTATTTGCGATATCTCTAACCATATAGGTAATTTGTGTAATGTCAACTAATATATTTTCTTTATTCAATTGCTTAGATACACAATAGAAAATATATTTAGTGGCATACCTGTTTTGTCTCTCCTTCCAGCTCAATAATCTGTAATGTGAGTGAGCTTTCCATAGCAGCCGACTCATTAAGAAGAGCATTTTCTTGTTCAATTCCACTTTGTGTGGTCACTTTCTGGGTTGTGTCAAGTTTCATCAACGCCTGCCAAGACAATATGCATAAGCCATTATATATTAATTTACACTAGACATAAAAATTGAACATACTCATTAGAATTTCCATATTATTTTTGTATATTAAGGACTTAAGAGAATAAAGTTGCTACAATTATAGACATATCAACATTTAGGCTAGATATAGGGAAAAAAAAAAAGATTTCAGTTGTAATTTTTGTAAGTAGTTCAGCGCTTACAAATGTGATGGTTTAACAGTTTGCTTCAACTTGATGAATGCATTAATGCATGAAAAGTGAAAATATGACGGTATGTAGGCCATCTAACCTCTTGGGTGATCTCAAGTTCGTGCTTTGTGTTCTCGTACAGACTTTCCAATTCGTCACATCGTTGCTGAAGCGCACTCTTCTCCTCGAGGAGCACCAAACCTAGCTGAGCTGATTGTATCTTCTCGCTGCTTGCCTGGTCCAGCTCACGACTCAGCCTCTCAATCTCCACCTTCAACTCCACGATAGAAACGTCGTTATGTGCCGTGGCTGCCATCTTGGGACAGTTAGACGGCTAATTTGTTAAAACTTCATAAACAAAGTAAATAATCTCAGAAAAACAACTTTAAAACGTGTAAAATCAATGTTTCTACATTCTCCTAACAAAAAGTATAACGTCTTGACAGTTCGTTCAATGGCCTCTTTTTTTTTAATGGTATGTCAGTGACTGCTTAGTGTCAGATCACACGGGCATGTATTTTAAGTCAATTGTGTTGCTATTATAAAAGAAAGGTGACTAAATAATAGTTGTAAATTGTACATTTTTTGTTGTATAATGTTATTAGCTTTGTCAGCAGAGGTCAGTGTTGGCACTGAGGCAGATGACATACCGACTCAGGGGAATAACGTAGCTGATGCAAAATGATGACATGATGACACCGATCGCTACGCTGCATCTCCGCGACCCCTATTAATGAAAGTTGAACAAACTAACTAATAAGGGGGTAAGGCAACATAATCCAAGAGCCCAGGTGGAGGTTTGAACCTCACCTTGGATCGCGATTATTAATGAAACTTATCCAGAGGAAATAATGATAACAGGCACGCGGCCACTCGTAAAAAACCTAACCAATACCATTAACTACATGATTGACATTACTTAGAGGGAAGTAATAATAAACGATAGTTTACGAGCGTTAAATTGTTTACGAAATACCGCGAAAACCACTAACATTAGAAAATTTAGTTTGGAATTAATTACGCAATGAGCGAACATACGTTCAGACTCGTTATAAATTAAAAATGAAAATACGAAGTAAGCGATTCAAAAGCCACTTGGTACACATAGATATCGTGTTGTTATGAATCGGGGACCGCTCGTTCGCCAGCGAACCGTACTTCTTGTATCTTGTATTAACTGATGTTTTTGCTTTCAGTCCCGAGACTATTAAAGCTTCATCTGACGCAGAACCGGTGGGCTAGCCAAAACCCACGGGTTTGGGCCCTCCGCTGTGGGTAGGGCCGCGCATGTGCTCATGCGTGCGTTTAACTACGGCCCTGGAACGCGGGTGTACCTTGTGTACGCGTTGTGTTGGTCTCGCCGTGCTCGGAGGTGAGGGCGAACTATTGTGTTTTTGTTACACTAGCTGTGGGTGTAGTGTTATCCGGCGGGAGGAACTGTACTAATCGTAGTGGTACAGTATCGGTCATTGACCCGTTTGGTTCGTTGTCGCATGGAGGAGAATTCAGGAGAATTATATTATTTAACATCCTTGTCAACTCTTTGTTGGGAGCCGTTGCTTCTTTAAAAGTGGACGCATATATCACAAGGCGCCGGTTGTACGGTAAAGAAATCAAATTTGAATTATTTGAAGTGATTTCTAGATTCGCGAAACAGACAATCACATTTTTCGGAAACCGTGTTTTGAATTAAATCATGTTATGTAAGCATTATATATTGTTATGTAAACATAACAATAAATAAACTTTGAGAATAATCTACATGTTATGTCCTTTACTATATTTGATATGTAAATGTAATAATCGTTTAACATTATGTGTGTGTAATGTATGTGTGTATATACATGTATGTGTTTAAAACCAAGTATTTTCGGACAATGCAGAGAACTAAGGTGTTGAGGTAAAAATAGGTGATTGCAACAGAAACATTTATAAACAAATTCGAAAAATTATTTATTCACTAAATATTAATTTTCTTACAAATGTATCATAAAACCGTTTGAAAACATTTATGGGTCGTTCCTATATAAAGCTGCAGAGGAACTGCGTATATTTGTTAACTTGATCAGAAAAAGAAAAATCTTGGTAATTTTGGTTAACAGAACTTATATTTAGCCCAATCAAGGTCTTACATACAAGACTTGCAACTCTAAGTTTCAACTTGGGCTTCTTAACGCGCCAAGCTTCTAGCTTCGCCGTTATCGAGGGACACTGGAAATCTTTTACGAAAAGATTACGATAGTCTCTTGACTTAAATTCACGTTAATTATTCAAGACTCACAAAGAACACGGAAACACCCAAAAATAGGAATGAAATTAACATGGAGTACATTACACGTCATAGGATTTAAAAAAAATGTATATATGTCCCTCGACATCGGCGCCATCTGGATTTTTCTTCAACAATGGCATTTATCGTTACTATAGAAATTACTGCAAATGCTGCATACTGCATGTGTAAGACCGTGCTCCCAATCAATGATGGCGAAGAAACCAACGGTTTTTATTTTTCTGCTCAGAGTATATACAGAACATTTTCACTTAACAAGATTTTTTTTCAATAATCGATTAATTATTTAAATTGCATTAACATAAATTATTGGATAAAATCCACACTTTATATTACAGATATTTTCTATTCTAGCTTTTACAAGGAGTCAAATATTATATTTCTACAAAGATTCAAATATAATATTTTGGGTGATGGTCTACTTTCCTTCGAAAATATAACAACGGGGTAAAGTAAATGAGCATAAAGATTGTATCAAACATTTTATGGCAAAGAGAATGAATGATCTGAAAATAAATGTCATTGAAATTAATGGTTTTAAGTCCTTTAGATAATCAGAGTGTCAGTACTGTATCTGTCTTATGCTTACTAGCACCCGTTTGAAGTAAAACGAAGCTTTAAAAAAGATTCATATTACAACTATTCACAACTTTAATTGACGACCCCCAATATACAACCAATGAGTTTGCGATTACTAAATTAATATCATATGTATGTGTTATTAAATACATTTCAAGTCATAATCATGAAAAAATAAACCATATTTAAATTAAACAATTTACATTATATATTAGTAAAAAAACGTTAATTTAGATTTTAAAAACTCGGCTTTAAATGTCTAATATTATTTCAGTTATTTTTTAAATTTATTGCTCGATAATTAAACGATAATAATAAGGAATGTGTAAAAGTTATTACAATTGTTAAACCATCCACCACCTTAAATTTTCTGTCGGTCCAATTTCATCTAAATAAATAACATTATATAGGAATAATTATTTTTAGATTAAATGAAATAATTCATTTTAAACAACGCAAAAAACATTGTTCAGAAATTTTAAAATGTTTAAGTGGTATAAACGTCACTAAGTTATTTAACGTAATATTAATGTTAAAATTTTATACTTATAGAATAAAAAAGTTAAAATCTACTATATTACACTACATTAATTGATATGGACACAAATATATTGGCACTTCACTTTCGAATACTCTTTGTTGCTTTTTTGATAGTACACATATTGTGGTGGTATGGTATGGTAAAACAAAAAAGCTTAGGTCAGTATGGATAATTTGAAATTTTTTTACTTATAAAATTGATATTAAATAACTAACACTTTTTGATACTGAATCTTAATGGATTTTGATTAAATCTTTTGTTTGTTATTTGTTTTAAAACACATATTTGCTATATTCGAAAGCAAAGTACTATAATATTATTTTATTACTTTGTACTAAAAAAAATTATTCCAAAATCATAGTTAGCAGTAATCTAAGCAGTGAACCTTTTCTATCTGGTCTCAGTGTCAAAGGAGCCTTAGTTTATTAATTTTAACTTACTTATTAAAAAGGTCTTAGTGTAGATATATCAATAGGTAATAGTATTTTGTAAATACAATACAGGTTTAACCATAAAGTATGACTACTAACAGAGACACATCACAAAACAGAGACATAGTTGCTCCAGTTAATAAATAGCATTGTTTAAAAGAGTTCTTGGAATAATAAATCGTATACTAATAAAAAAATAATAGCAGATCTTTCTATGCTGAAGAATGTATATGAATTATTTCTTTACAGTAGCCACAAACACTTTTTACGCGAAATATAAGGGTTAAATAGGGTTTTTGCTATTAATATGACATATAGGCTTTTTATTCTTAGTCTGCTCAATTTTGTGTTGTGTCTAGTAATCGATTCTGTAAAGACATGTTAAAAATGGTTACAATAGCAGGTACAGATATTTAGTGTATTGTCTATGACTATTTCGAAACTTGGCACCGAGATGGCGGGAAAGTGTAATCAGACTGTTCATTGAAAAAAAATCTAAACGATCGGTGAGTAATACTAAATTAAATATGAGATTTTTTTACTTGAGCAACATAAATTTATAACCTCAATCAGGTCATGAGCAAATCAATGTGTAATAGTTGCTATTTCTCATTTATATTATCGTGACCAATTACAATTCATATTACGAAATATTAAAATTAAAAATAAACGCGATAAATCCATAAACAAAGTCATTTAGTAATGTGTAATCATGTAAATACAAGAAATTATTATGTATATAAGAAATAAAATTTCAATTAAAAATTGAATGACCTATTATTTTTCTTTTCTTTTCATTGTTTTGACTTCAAGTAATTAGATTTTGGTCTGTTTCAAACATTGTCTGTTTTTAAGTTCTTTAAGTATCATTAGATAATTTTATAAAATATAATAACTCATAATGAATTAAAATGTGAGGAAATTTCTATTTTATCCTTCAATATCACATTAGACAGCAGGAAAACATCTTGTTATCTAAAAATTACAAAGACATAAAAATTTTAAATTATTTAAAAAAAAACATTGATATCCTATGAATTGTACTAATGATAATCTATGAATATTAAGCTACTAGTTCTATATTACTATTCTAAAACATATATAAATTCATCAGTTAATAATGAAATACAATTTAAAACCAATAAAAATTCATAATATCCAAAAGCTTCTAGATCATTGACAAATTACAATAAGAAATAAATAATGACAATTAAAATGTTAGTGTTGTAAACTGTCAGTGCTTTATAATTGTAACTAATGAAAACATGCTAATTAATATATTTATATGCAGTATGTATTATAATGTATGTATATTTAGACATGGTCACTAGTTCAGAGAAGACTAGAGGAAATTTTAAGGATGAATATTGTATCTAGAGAAAATTGAGACAGCTCACAAAGAACGCTAAATAGACTAGAAAATCTACAGAATAAAAAGGGTATCAAAACATTTTAAATTTTCCATACATATACCGTCCATATTTCGTTTCATCAGGACAACGAAATATCAAAACATATGATAACATAGGGCCTCTATAAAGCTCCTATCCGAGGTTCAAATCGCATTAAAATGTTTTACAAGTAGAAATTGATTTGACAACGTTTATTCAGCGACAAGTATGTCAAACGCTACATAAATACTCATAGTTTGGATGTTCCTGAAGTATATTTTAAAGGAGAAGTGGGTGAAGATGAAAAGCTTATGTGGCGCTTTCAAAGAAATTTTGATAGGAGGTTGAGGGTTAGGTGATGGTTACATGAGGGCGCAGCCGGAGGGTGCTGGTGGTGCGGGGGGCGGGGGGGCGGCGGCCGCACTGGCGCTCGCCTCTGCGGGCACGGCCGGCGACTCCTTGCGGATCGACTTCGTCACCTCCTGCACCTTCTGCGGCGGCGGCAGTATGGCTTCCTGCGGCGTTTGCTGGAATATCACCGCTTTATGAAACGGTGCGTTTATTTGTGCTGAGTGCAAGCGAATGGCACTATTATTATTCAACCAGCAACACGAGACAAGTCATATGGATAAAAAAGAATGTAAGGTTCGCCGGTGCTAGGTACTCGTACGGCTTGTGTTTTTTACCCAGCCAAAAGGCCAGCTAGTCCGGCGAAGACCTCACAGTTTACCGGTATAAAGTAGAAGTGAAGAGATATTCTTTTTCCCTAAGTGACATAATTGCTGACGGTGACGAAGGCGGTTGGCCTGAGGACGGCAAAAGTATACGGAGCCCAATGTGTATTGCGTGATAAGAATAAATGTTTAAAAAAAACCGTCGGAGCCGTGATGGCTGTGTCCGGGCGCTCGCCTTTAATTCAAAATACTCGAGCAAACTGAGTTCGATCCCCGGTGCCGGCACCAATGAAATTGTTAATTTTAAATGCCGAATTATCACGTGCACAGCGGTGAAGGAAAACATCGTGAGGAAACCTGCATATTTTCGAAATAATAACAAAAAAAAAATATTTCGAAGATATGTGAAGTTCGCCAATCCGCAGTGGGGCCGCGTGATGGACTATGCCCTGATACCCTCTGTACAGAGGAGGCCTTTGCCCAACAGTGGGACATGTATAGGCTGTGATACTTTACTTTTTTTTACTTCTAAAAAAACAATATTTTCGCGGCTTTAAGCGGCGGGAAGTAAGATTACACTCACTTGTGGTTTGAGCTCCAAATTCAAGGAGCCAGTACTTGGTGTTCTGACTCGATTCGTGACCATCGAAACACGTCGCTCGCGGGTGTTGATGATTGACGTTAGGAATGGCACCTGATTGCTTATGGCCACCATAAACGGCTTGTAACCGAGACTGGAAACCGAAAATAATGTTAATTAGAAAGACGAGATTACGACTATTCAATGTATTCCACGTATTCCTTTATAATGTATTCCATTTTAATCAAAAAAAAATTTTAATACACACGTTTACGGCATACGTTTTATGTTACGAGACCTGTGAATATTTACATGGAATCTTTTCTGAATGCTTAACGCGTATCCAATAATAAATAGACAAAGGTCAATCAATTGATGATACATCAGAAAAAATACGCTAAACGCAACAGTCAAGAACACATTGTGTATTTCGATGTTCATGAGTGTTCGAAACGAGACCTTAGACGTCGAAATCGTTTAACTAATCAACGTTTCACAAATTCAACCAAGGTAGAAGCGACTGACTCTGCGGTGAAGTATAAAGTCCGGCGATTGTTTGTAGGTCTCTCGAGAAAAGTTTGCACATATCCGCTATATCATCATCATTTCGGCATGTCCACTGCTGGATATAGGCGTCCTCACACGCTGCCACGAAGCGCGCTCCTGAGCATTCATCGATCCGCACAATGACAAATCGCGTTGGCTTACGCGGCCTACAATCCTCGCCGCCCGCCTTCGCTACCCCGTGGAGACCTAAAAGCCGCGCACTGAACAATAAAGAAGTTCGCCCACCACTCAGCGTGGAACACGCGACATATACTCCCCGTCGTCCACCTTCGCTATACCATAAAGATCTAAAAGCCGAGCACTGAGCAATAGAGAAGTTCGTCGACTACGCAGCTTAGTACACACGGCATATACTATCCGCCGGCCGCCTTCGTTACCCCGTAGAGACATGAAGCCGAGCACTGAGCAATCGAGAAGTTCGCCCACTACGCAGCTTGGCAAACACGACATATACCATTCGCTGGCCCCCTTCGTTACCCCGTAGAGACATGACGCCGAGCACTGAGCAATAGAGAAGTTCGCCCACTACGCAGCTTGGCACACGCGGCATATTCTCCCCCCGTCTTCGGTGTGCCGTATGGACCTAAAAGTCGAGCGCCGAGCATCAGAGAAGAACCGAGCATTCGAGGAGTCGGCGCACCACTCGGCGTCGCTCCAGGCGCACAGGTCGAGCACGGCGGCGCGCAGCCGGCGCACGGCGGCCAGGCTGACGTCGTGGCCGCGCGCCGCGTTGGTGGTGCGCAGCACGGCGAGCGCGTCCCGCAGCGCCACCGCCACCACCAGCGCCCACTCCACGCAGCTCGCCTCCGTCATCAGCTGCAGGAAGTAGCTGCAAGAGTTTTGGCTTCATTTAACGTATGCTTGTGGCGACTAAACAGTTTAAAGTTACATGTAATTGTCTACAATAGTTATTTATTAAATCTTATTGTAGATACTCCTTGTGTCTATTTATTTATTTATATTATATACTATAAATCAATAACTAATCACATTTAGCGTATTAGTTTAATAATGTTGTTAACGAACGTTGCTGTGCCGCGACGTGCATTCGGCCGGAACGTTTTTTAGGTACAATATGCCGATCGAGCGCTCGGCAACAGCGATTTCGTCAAAGCCCACTTAAGAAACGCGTTACGTACGTGCTAACGTTAATCGTTTGTTGCTTCCCGCTGCGCTTACCCTTTATGTACCTTATATTATTCAGTTCATACGTGCTATAATGTAGTTGCTTCTTTCGCTATCCCCTTTTGTTATGGTTTTGTGTAATCCTTACACTCCTACTGACTTTCTCTTGTGCTAGTAGTATATATGTGTATGAACAATAAATATCGAGAATATTGAATATTGACTTTAAATCTTCACGGAACATACACACGAACTCTCAGCACAACTAAATGCGTATGCAGAGCGAGTGATCATATGCAATTACGATGCGGCCTCGTTATGGGCCGTTTTTTACGGCCGACGGGGTGGACAAAGGCAAACCCTTGAGAACTATTTACAAGTTTACACTACTGTTCACCCCGATGGGGTAGAGATGCGTGCGTACCGCAGGCGCACGTGCGCGGAGTGGTCGCCGCGCTCGTGCTGGTGCGTGTGCAGGCGCTCCATGAGGGCGGCGTAGCGGCGCTCCTCGCCCGCCTCCGCCTCCGCCTCGCCCGCCTCCGCCCACGCCACGCCGCCGCCCTCCGCCACGCTGCACTCGCCCACCGAGCTGGACACGGCCACCACGCAATCTCAATTACAGTTGAATAAAGCAATAAAGGCTGATTTCCTTGTTTATTGTACGAATAAAGAACTACGTTTTATGGAATAACAAAGAAAAGTATATAGTAATATTTGGTAAATATTTCTCAACAAAGAAACATAAAGTAATTACCGCTGTAGAATCTTGTTCGACAAGATTCATTATCATTCTCGTGTCCTTATCCCACCTAGTAAGGTTTCGCACAGCATATGAATCATTTTGTTACTGGTATCGACAGCGTTTATTATTGACCGGCTGAGCAACAGCAGCATCGGATCTATGGACTTCCGCACTAAACATAACAATATGAAAGTGTGCGTAACAGACAAACAGTGTACGCAGAAATACATTATGTTGCGTAAACGTGCGCGTAATGCGTAGTCACCTGACTGGCCTGGGCGAGGCGGGCGAGAGTGGCGCGCCCATGACGATGGGCATTGCGGCGCGAAGCGACAGGCTCACGTAGCCGCTGTCGCCGCACAGGCTGTCCGTCTCCGCGCACGGCGAGTGCGGGCCTGGCGCAGATAAGCAAACAACACCTTTATTGATATGTAGCTTAGGGCAGTTATTCGCAACAAATAAATTCATAGATTGCTTATGATGTTGGCACGAAAATTATCAGTTCAATTTGGTATGTATCAACTATATTTTTTATATTTTTATTACCATACTGAAATACGTAGACAGTGACGTAGAATGAAATGATCATCCGAAATAAACGAGTTACTACCCAGCCTATCCCATTTCGAAACAGAACGCAATAAGACAAGACAGAACGAAAAGTTATGTAGGCTAAGCTTATATTACATGTGATGCTTCTGATCATATTCAAGGATGGGCATGCGTCAGTGGATATAGATACACTTACTGGACGCTAGCGAGTTGTTGTCAGCGATATTTTCGGACCGATACGACAACTTAAAGCCGGCAACTCAATTGCGACCCAACCGATATTGCAAATGTCTATGGGCGGCGATGATCGCTTACCATCAGGGGACCCGATTCCTAGATCATTTTCTATAAAAAAAGCCTGAACTTCCATTGTATGTCATTATCAATAATTACAAGAGAAGCATTATTTTAAGAGAGTGAATATCTCCTATAGGGGTAGACGCAATGCTCCTCGTCCCGCTGCAGAATCAGGTGCGCATCATTTAATTCAAGAGGATATGCATTTTTGCAATTATGTGTTAGACACAGAAGTTTCGAGTGCAACTTCAGTCGCAGTGCGAACGCGCCCGCTCCGCTGGAAAAGCAGCATGACGCGACAGAAACGGGGTGGTAGCACGCACTGGGCGCCAGGCTTGTGTTGCGCTGCGCGTAGGCGCGGTCGGGCTGGTGCGTCGCGGGGTAGGGCCAGTCGAAGTCGGCGTGCAGCCGCCGCAGGCAGAGCGGCGCGCAGTCGACGCGCGCGGCGCGCTCGCGCTCGCCCGCCAGCCACGCCACCAGGTGCAGGTCGAGCGCGGCCGCCAGCCGGCCCAGCGCCACCAGCCGCGCCGTCGACAGCAGCAGCCGCGCGTGCCGCTGGATCATCATGTCGATGAAGAACTCCTCCGCGGTGCCGCTGTACGACTCCCTGCGGGCGGAGAAACGTATTTATTCGACTCAATCTTAATTCATTACGCAGATTCACAGGTAGAGAAGAGTGTTGTGCATGTGTGTAAACGCGCTGGTATGTTTGCGCTCGTGTGCGTGCACGCGTAGCTGTCTGAGCGTGCGGATGGGTACTCTGCTAGTGAGCTAAACCTATACGGTGCGACGCGCAAAGTTTAGCGCCGGGGCAGAGAAAACTAATGATTCAACTCAATCCGAGTCCATAACTAAGATTCATAGAAAGAGAATTATTGTTCCCGTGTTTATGACGACCCGATTGGCCTAGTGGGTAGTGCACCTGCCTCTTGCGCCAGAGGTTGTGGGTTGGATCCCCACCCACTACTGGAAAAATAATGTGTGATGATCATAGTATTTTTTACAGTACGATCATTTTTACAGTGTCTGGGTGTTTATATACTATTTATAATATGTATTTATTTACAAAAGGTATATTTAAGTATGTTTATCTATTAACTAGTACCTATAGTACAAGCATTGCTCCGTTTGGGACTAGAGAACGTTGTTAAAAATATGTTCAAAATATATAAAAAAATAAAAAAAATAGTAATTCAACTCAATCCAAATTCATCACTAAGATCCGGCGACAGTTTTGTGCTTTGTGCGCGTGTATATGCGTTAGTTCGTGTGCGTGCAGTGCCCGCGTGTGCGTGCGCGTACCTGTCGGAGCGTGCGGGCACGGACTTCTTGCGCTTGACCTGGGCGGTGCGGCGCGCGGGGGCCGGGGCGGGCGCGGCGGCCGGCGGCGACGGCTCCCGCGGCGCCGCCGTCGTGCTGAAGCTGCGGCCGCGCCCGCCCGCCAGCTGCGCAACGCCCACACGGATTTAGTGCGAACAATCGACGGGAAGTAAAAGTGTCGCAATCGTATATCTACCCACCGGGTACCAAAATAACCAGATAGCCAGTCAACCAGTGACGAATCAGAATAGTGTCTCGTTTTGGACATAAATTTATATATTTATTCTAATATTTAATTATTTATGGAGGGATTTCTATCAGTGTGCAACAATTAGTTTTTATTATTTTTAGTTCAGACGCCACTAAAACCGATACAGATTCCCTCAAGACGTTCACTCCCACCCTCTACTACATCGACTCAGCGGTGTGTTCAATTTGAATTACATCATATTTACCTGGATTTATCCCATAAATAATCCATTTTTTTTTTGCCCATTTTACATAAAAACAAAGCAATCATGTGAGGTAAATCACATGATTGAAGTTTAGTTAGTTACTTAGTTAAAAAAAAAACCACACCTGCATGCTGCCCAGTATGACAGAGAGGTCCTCCGCGTTAGGAACGGCCTGCGCTTGAACGATCTGACCGTACTTCGCTTGCACGTTCACAGAATTCCGCGGCGAGTCCACGTCATTCGGATCTGCAACAGATTTATTTCAAAATATCTTCATTCAAATAAGACGCTTGCGCGTTCTTGTGAAACGTAAAAATTTTAATAATACGCGACATTTTCAATGCTTCGCAGATTCTATATTCAAGAGACGTCCCACGTATAGATAAATGAGTTTTATTAAGCAAAAAGAATTGAAATAAAATCCCAATTCATCATCTAAATTCTATGTGATGATTAATTTGACTTGTTCCAAACATCTGGAGATGAGACCTATAGCCCGCAGGAAGCGCACCAGGTCCCTGGCCAGGTCCCACCGCTCGTGCTGCAGCGCCGTGTCCAAGAGTTGCGTCGCCAGCTGACGGCTCACCGTCGAGCTCTCCAAGTTCTGGAACATCGAGCATATTCGAAACATTACAACTTTTCTCACCTGTAACCTCCACGTTCAGATTTTTTTTTCCTTATTACTAGTATAAATTTTATTACAATAAATGGGATAAGATTATAACACTTTATAATAAATTTATGCGTCATAAACGAGTTTTAAATACAAGGATTGGTCACACATAATTTGCACGCACTGCAAGAAACTCCAGACACCGAAAAAAATATTTTTTTGTAATTTTTATGGTCGCCTTTGGCGGAAATCAAACTCTGGATATTATCACGATTATTATGGATATTGTTTAGTAGTTTAGTAAATATTGTTTACGGTTTAAGGTTGCTACTTCACTAGACTTTACTGTGTAAAGTCAAGTAATGCAGCAACCTATACATGTCTCGTTGATGGGCAAATGCCTCACCTGTACAGAGGGTATTAGGGCATAACCCACCATGCGACCCAACTGCCGATTGGCAGACTTCACATATCTTCGAAATATTTCTTTCGTTATTATTTCGAAATATGCAGGTTTTCTCATGACGCTTTCCATCACCGCTGAGCACGTAATAATTACACAGAGTATAAAATATTATAGCAGACGCAATATATCGTAGGTCACCTGCAGTATGATGAGATACGACGCAGCCGTGTCCAGCATCTTCCTCTGTAAGCACTCCTGAAATAGCTCCTTGGGCTTGCCGGCCGCTGAGAACAGGTATGCCCACAGAGCAATCTCCGTTTTCCTAGCACATTGGACCACTGTCTGCAATGAGTGAAACAGCCGGTAATTAAAAGAGACTCTCGATAAATGTCCCTAACTAGAAAGCAATATTCTTAATAAAATTCAGAAATTAACAAATCGTAGAAATGTATAAGCATTTCATCTGGTTAAATTTATTTTAAAGTTGCCAAGATCGTGGTCGCAGACGTGCCCGATAAACATGAACACTGTAAAATTTATAAAACGTCGCGAATTTGAAAACAAATTAAAACGTGACAGAACCCGTACATAAAGTTATATCCAAAATAGGGAATAACAACACACGTGTAGTGAAATTTCTTCTAATCAACTAATCAAATCATTTTTCAACTATTTACAAAGATAGTTTGTTAACTCACCAATGTTTGTTGTCTTTAAGTCTAGTCCAGTTACTACTTCTACAGTCAAAACAAATGAAGATTGCAGAAACCTTAGTTAATTAAACAACATTTATGTAGTAAAAAGAGAATATATGTATAAATATCTTTCGAGTTCTTGGAAATTCTATGAATTTTAGATTTTGAAGTTCTTAAGCAATCAGTCTGCAATAAACTTGAATGAACAGAAAAATTTTCAAACTCGAAGGAAATCAAACAAACAAGAGTGTGGTAGGCCACGCAACAGCCTACACTGTTGCACGAATAGGCAGGTCCGGTAATTACCACGATCTGTTTTCTTGATTTGGTTTCTTTTTTTTAAAAACATTGCCCTCCCTTTAGGATAACATTATCCTGTGTTGTAAAGACGTTTTACAAACATAAATTGCACGAGGACAAACACCCAGATGCGAAACAACTATCTGTGGGTCGCGCAAATAGTTGTCCCGTGTGGGAATCGAACCCACGCCCGACACCGAAGCCAATACCTTGGCAACTGCGCCACGGAGTCATCAAAACACATCTCATACAAGACGGACGTGAAATGGTAGTGTTACACTTCTGCGATTCGTCTGGCGAACGAAGTAGCCGGGGTCCACTAAATTAAAATTTATTAACGCATCTACAACCGTACGGGCAAATATCAATGGACGGCGGTTATCACTTACTATCGGGTGAACCGCCAGCTCGTTTGCCACTTACACAAAAAATATAAAAAGGAGAAGTTAGTACAGAAACAGCATTAGATACAAATCAAACCGACCTGCAAGTAGACCGGGAACTCGTGGACGAACTCGATGACGCTGGGCAGCTGGGCGTCCGGTATTGGCTCCTTGCTGGTGGCCTCCTCCTCCAGAACTTCGTGCAGAAGCAGCTCCAGCGAGTGCGGGAAGTAGGGCAGCTGGGCGCACGAGCGGGCGATCTCCCACGCGTGGTAGCCCAGGTTGCGACGCAACAGCTGCCTCAGAATCTGGTGCAAGTACACCTGGCTCTGGAATAGACAACGAAAGATATATCTATCTCTCGTTTGCTATTATATATTGGAAAGAAATGGCCAGGTCTATACAAGGCGCGTTGAAATTGTTAAATCAAAAAACAGGAAAATTAGTGAATGAGGAGATTTTGAATTGATAAATCTGTCAAAACCAAAAACAACAACACCGGGCAACTACTGAATTATAGTTTATGTTGTACATGCAAGCTTAAAAAAAAAACAAAATCTTTAAATCACATTCCACATTTCATTGATGAATAATTTGTCACCACTATAATACAAGGTTTTACCGATTAATAACTTTTCGGAATCTGGGCTAAAGAAGCATTAATGCTTGTTATTTGCACATTTACATAATTCATCATCCACATCATTTCAGCCTTTTTGAGTGCACTGCTGAACATGGGCCAGTATGCCCATATTACTTATTCTAAGTACGCAGTCTAATTGTGGGTAGAATTAATTTATGTTTGTTTATTAAATGAAGACAAAATTGTATTTTCGTTAAAGTAAAAAGTACTTACCGTCCTGTTCACAACGCAAAATGGCAATGAAAACACTGAGTTGGAGTCGGACGCATAGAGGGTTGTGTCGTTCTCTGCCCCCAATAGTATCGCATCGTCGAATAATATGGCTGCAATTAAAATATAAAGGCCTCAATAATGATTCATCTCTATAGATGTATTTCTGAAACAATTTATCGAGGAGGCACTGTGACTTAATGTGTTCGGGCTCACGTTTAAACTATAAAATATCAAAAATAATCATCATTATTCTTACTCTATCTATCCCACCTAGAAAGGATCATCAAAACAATCGTGTTGTTAGTGGTATTGGCTAGGTTTTATGACCGGCCATTTACCTGTATGGAGGGAACCTTACTTAGGAACAAACAAGTAGATACGAACAAATACTTGTTCCGTGTGAAAATTGAACCCGACCCGCGGCGTCAAGACTAGTAGGTTAGCAACTGCCATCGATATCATCATTGTTACAGCCTTTTTTTGTATCGGGGCATATGACAGAGGTACGTGGGGTTCGTACCCACTAAAACCCCCTCGGTGGCCAACGTTTGAGGGACTCCGGGATCTGCTACGGAACGCACCGGTGTCCCTCAGTACTGCGCGTGAGCACGCTTCGAAGAAGGATAAACCTTCCCAGATTCTTTCGCCATCTTGCAGCAGCTCGAGACCATTTCGTGCTGCTGCTAATGTTCCCTTTTAGTCGCCTTTTACGACAGGCATTGGATACCTTAGCCCTGTTCTATAAGCCCGGGACAGGATCAGCCCTGTAGATCATCATTACATCCACTGTTGAACACAGGCCCCCACAGACTACCACGAAGCATGATTGAACAGATCGTGACAACTCTCGGGGGGTCGTTTGTAACTCCAAAATCGTTTCCCCTATATTGAGCTAACCGATCTTCCGAGCTATGTCGTTTAGCTTTGTTATTACGAACAAAACGTGCAACTCACTCAGCGGGTATATGTTCAGGTGGAACGGTAGCATTATCCGCTTGGCCATGAAGGTGTGGCGCGAGGAGTCGGGGCGGCGGGAGGCGTCGCGCGGCAGCAGCGGCAGCCACACGCGCGCGCCCAGCGCCCCGCACCACAGCCAGAGGGCGCGGGACAGCTGCGTCTGCGGGCCGGCGCCGCCCCGCGACCACGCGCTCTCCACGCACGAGGCCAGCACCGTGGCGGGGAGGCAGCTGTACGCCTGTTCACCACGATAACGGTTCTTTTTCAAGTTATTTTCTAAGAGTCAAAATTTTTTTATCCAAGATAGGTTTAATTTAAGCTCTTATTGAACGTCAACAAATCACCGGTTCACTAAGAACCTGTAAGACGCTCTGAGGTCTTGTATCTCTATTTTTATTGATACAATTATACAAACTTATTTAGGTATAAAATCAGTAGCAGCCTGGAGAATTGCAAGTGCAGAGCAAGAGTCATTATAATTTTTATAATTCTTTTGGCGCGTTTGGAAAAAAATGAGTGTACAAGCGTAAAGATGCGCGCGCACATCGACAGCCAAAAACAGAGTACTGGGACGGGGGATCATATTTTAGTTATTTTTCCTCTGTTACGCTAACGTTTTTTTTATGGAAAATATGGCAAACGGCAGGCCGAGGTGGCTTAACTTCCGTTTGCCACATTGTTAGTCATCGCCGTCCTTGGACTCTCATCTCACAACACCAGAGGAGTCACAAATGCGTCACGAACAAGTGGCTCAAGCAGTCACACCTGATTGTGAGTGAAGTTGGTAAAGCTTTATTTTACACCTTTACAAAATTATAGGAAATTGTTACAAGAGATCTTCAGTCTTTTCAACCGACTACAGGAAAGGAAGGTTCTCAATTCGGGCGGGGTTTTTTTCTTATGTTTGTAACCTCAGAACTCGGTGATTCACGAACTGGTTTCAGTTACCATCAGGTGAGCCTCCTGCTCGTTTGCTGCTTTTTTCCCATAAAAAAATAAATCAGTCGACACAACCGACTTCAACTCAAACTGACTCAAATGTCAAACCCCCTATATGCGCACTTTCTATATATTTTCAGGATTTCTCTGATGTGCGTTGGAGTTGCACGATCAGATCCCTCCCGCCCCTTTCCACCATCGGACAAACAGGCGGGCCTCCACCCTTATGCCGTCGACGTTACACGCACAATGACGTAGCAATTCGCTTCGTCATTCATCATCCCTTTTTTTTGGTATCGGGGGAGGGGGGGGGGGGGGGGGGGAAGGGGAAATCTTCAAACGATACCCTGTCACTTTACATGACAGGGGTATGTGGGGTTCTTATCCACTAAAACCCCCTCGGTGGCCGCCTTCTGTACATTTGGAGGGACTCCGGGATCTCCCATGGAACGCACCGGTGTCCCTCGGTACTACGCCTGAGCACGCCTCGAAGAAGGATAAACCTTCTTTCGATCCCCTCACCCTATTGCAGCAACACGAGACCACTTCATGCTGCTGCCAATCCGTGTCCCCTTTTAGTCGCCTTTTACGACAGGCAGGGGATACCTTAGCCCTATTCTATGAGCCCGGGACTACAGGGCTGCCGTTTTCATCATTCCTATAGCTAAGGAATGGAACAACCTGCCGGCGAGGAGTGAATGGGCTTTTATTGAGCTAGCGCGCTTACCATCATTGGCTCCATCGCCACTTACCTTCGGGTGGGATGGCAGTCAAGCGCTGGCCAGTTCTTAATAAAAAATATGTATCTCCGGAGTCCAAGGTATTAGGAAATTAATATGGGACCACACGGGAGCTAAACCGAGCCCAATGCAATATGTTAATTTTTAAAATCAATTCATATGTGACGGAGTATACAAACATAAAAAAAAATAAAACCCAATTGAGGACCCTCACTTTTTTGAAGTCTATTGAAAATACAATGTTTAAGTAGATAATAAATAGAAGGTGTAGTTAATTTTGTGATTCTTTAATGATTGTTTAGAAGTATCTAAATAAAAAATTCAAATATATAACTATAATTAAAAACTAGTTATTTCGCTTGCCAAAATTACTTATTATCAAACGCTTAATCTTCCATTTATCATAACTACTTTTTTTATTCTTATACCGGCTTGTGCCACCATAATTCTATCAATTTTAGGCCTGGAGCATCATTTCAAAATAATATCTGGCAAAATATAGTATAAAAAATATCAATGGATTGACGCATTCTAAAAACATTATATTCTAAGGGATTCATTTTAAAAAAAAGCAGTAACTGATGTTAAAAAAGTTAATAAAAAATCCATTTCATTTAAAGCATGACTGCAACTGCCTCGTTACTGTCAGCAATTAATAAAAAGGCAAATTAGTAATTATTATAAGTTAATTAAGAATCAGTTTCAAATTATCTTTTAATCGAAAATACTGTGAGGAATGCAAATAGAGAAACATTAGACGAAACACGTAAAGTATAAGCACATGATAAACATACTTATAAAAAAGATATACAAATAAAAGAAATATAATAAAAAATCGTCATACTAGTTTTCAGTTGTATTGGATAAAGTACGAGACTGTAGACGATTTCGAACGTCACATCGTCGTCTTCTTATAGTTTAATGAACAACTCATAATACGATTTTTTAAATGATTGTAAGGGAATATTGACAATACACACAGGTACTTTTGATTGTGTTCACTTATTCAATAATAAAATTTATATAGCACGTTTTAGTGCAACGGAATCTGGTTTACGAAACAGCTGCAAAGAAACATTATTTTTCCGGATTTTATAATATTTATTTAAAATTCGCGATATTCCGAATATTTTCTCAGTTCTTCATATACAGACTGTCAAGAGACGAATCGCGGTGCGATCACTGCACAAGGTGTAATTCAGAGAAAGAAAGGCTAAAAAAAATCCAAAACAGCAAAATCATATATAAGTATTGTAGCTGGTCTTATTAGATTAACATTTCAGTGGCGAAACGCAATTGTGAAATAAAGATGTAAATAGCAATTACATGCTAACAGAAATCGAATTTGCGTATTCAACAGTGCGATTTGTTTTCACGCGTCGTAAGTTCTGGCGTAACGGCTTGTTACCAGACGATAAATAACTAAATAAAGGCAAATATTGCATTCTTAACACATTAATAACTTATCATACGGGGCCTGTAAAATAAGAGATATCGCGTCATTTGGTGTTGCAGGTGTTCATGGGCGGCGGTAATCACTTACCATCAGGTGAGCCTCCTGTTCGTTTGCCCCTTTCCTCCATAAAAAAAGTCATTATAACATTTATCATCATCATCATCATCATGCTCATTTCGGCCGGTTCTAATCCACTACTGAACATAGACTGACAGGAAGCACGATCATGAACCACCTGCATCCATAACATTAACAATGTTTATACGTATATTATTTTTAAAACGTGTAGCTTCGTCGGTACGCCATAACTACCTAATTAATTCCATATCTTTATTGATTCCAGCACCATTTTAAACAAGTACAATAAACTTGATGTTTACATTGAGAAAACTTTTTTAAAGACTTTAATATAAAGAATGTGTGATAATGCAATCTATTGACAATTTGTTTAAATAAAAGAGAAGTAGAAATGAGAAACATTTCATTGATAAATGCTCATTTACACATTATATTAGAACTAAGCGATGTACGGTTCTGATCACTGTATTGTGCGATAATTTCGCACGGGTCAACTAGTTCTTTGTGAGAAGGTAGCAAGCGAGCTGGCGGTTCACCTGATGTTAGGTGATAACCGCCACCCATGAACATTTGCATCTGTAGGGTTACAGATGCGTTGACACCTTTTAATAAAGTGGGCCCCGGTTGCTTCACTCATCGGACAAAACGCAGAATTGTAACACTGAAGTAGATGTGTTACAATTCTGCGCCAGTCTTCTGTCAGGTCATGGGACTTCCCCGGACGGATCTGCCCATTCGTGCAACGGCCAACATTCGTACCACATGGATTTAACTAAACGTTAAATGGACTTACAGCAAACGTGAAAATGATGATTATATAATATCGATTGGATCGTGCAAGGTTAATTATTAGATTTCAGATTTCCGACTAATGTGTATACTTTAAACGTCGATAAGCCGTCGGCCGTTACGGGAGCTGCGGCTGGACGTAAATAGAGCGGATCGTCATAATAGTCATTAACTCGTGTTGCATAACGCTTCGTGTGGAGTCGCTCGATGTACTGATAGTGTAGTGACAAATATGAAATACCGAAACTATTTAAGTAATATATTACCGTAGGTAATAAATTTTCGCAAAGAATTCATTCGGACAAGAGATAAAAGTATAGCTAAGCAAATCCAATGTAAATTACAAGTCCCACCACCGGAAAATGCGCTCTGGGTTGACGATAGTAGAGTTTATCTGGTTCAGCATCTTTGAATGTTTTATTTTGAAGATGTTCGGATATCGTAGATGACACAAAAAAACCCAAATTATAGCTAAGAAACAGCTCGATCATTTTTCTTTTCTGATCTGGCTTTCAAACAAAAACCCCGCAACTTATTCCATGTCACAAACAAACACACAGGCAGACAAGAAAACTTATAACACTCTATTTTTTCATCGGGGGTTAAAAACGAGCTCCACTGCTACCAAAGCGATGAAGTAAGAAAATTCCAATATGATGTTTCCGAAGTTAGCCGATAAGATTAAAATATCTGGCGATCAAAATCTACGCCCGATTACACAATGATCTGCCTACCATTAGCAGGTCTTGGGCTGCATTCAATTTCGCACCGTGTTCAATAGACAATAAGGGCTAAAATCCGATTTCCCGGTAACAATCTACACGTACTTAGCACTTAGCGGTGGAAAGGGCAATTGAGCGGTGCAAGAGCGAATCCTGGGCTTGGCTGCAACTAATGAATCTAACACTAACCAGCTTGCATTGTATTAACATAAGTTTTCACCGATCGAAGGTTACCGTATGAAAATGAGGAAGAATGACGCAACCCTAGAACAGCTAAGCGGACACCAGCGGCGCGGGCGCGAACGATGCACATCCGCTCTATGTCAGGACACGAAGGTCTAAAGCAATCGCCTATAAATGTACCACGTCGTCCTTACAATGGCAGTACAGCTTTTGACACCTGGTGGTTGCCTCGCCTCCAGCAAAATGAACTACTGCTTGGCGGTGCGTGCCACATTTGAATATAGGTTTTGAATTTAGGGTTTGCGTTTAGAATTGCCTTTCGCTTCGTCCGTGGAATGGAATTCAAGTGTTTAGGGTCGCCTATCGCTTCTGTAGAATTGGATTCAAGCGTTTCGTGTTGACTATCGCATCGTCCGTAGAATGGGATTAAAGCAATTATTTGAACTTTATAGGTGACGTGTCTTCTTGCTTTAGCAGCAACAAGCAAGGCCGATGGGACGCTGGACGGACTCATCTATGCCCCGGGGCACTCATCTCCTGACTACTACGTAAGTGTTGGAGAGGAAAGAGAATTTAAAGTCGCAATGCAACTTATGTCCAAGTATTTGGACGAATTTTAAATAAACTATTGAAAAGAATAATAATAACATCTAATCGACCATTACGTCTTGTTTTCATGTTCGTAATTGTGAGTTTATTCGAATTTTTCACAGGCATATCCCAGCTACGCGTTCGAGTATGCCGTAAAGGATCCTAACACGGGGGACAATAAAGCACAATGGGAGAAAAGAGACGGAGACACAGTAAAAGGTTAGACATATTTAGATAATTCATTTCTATCATTAAGAGTACTATTTAGCATATGATAAATATTATAAAGTATCTGCCTATACATGTCCCACTGCATCGTCTGTACAGAGGGTATTAGTGCATAGTCCACCACGCAGTATCATTGCTGATTGGCAGACTTAACATATCTTAAAAATATTTTCCTATTATTTCGAAAATATGCAGGTTTCCTTGTTTCTTTTCGCCACTGAACACGTGATAAGTTAGCGCTTAAAATTAACAATTTCGTTGGTGCCGGCACCGGGGACAGAACTCAGCTGAGACACTGAACTACCACGGCTCAATATAATAAATGATACGATAAATAGTACAACATTCATAATATATAGAACCGCACCTAAATTGTGCTAACGTAAAAACTGTCTTCTAAATTCAACGTTCCCGCTTTCATCATAGACAATAGTGATACTTTTGTCACCGTAGGTGCGTACTCGCTGGTGGAGCCGGACGGTAGCCTTAGGGTGGTGGAGTACTGGGCGGACGCCAAATCCGGTTTCAACGCGGTTGTGAAGCGCGTAGGGCCCAACTTGCACCCGGCGTCCGCGCCCGAGTACAAGGCGCCCATACGCGTCCTTTCCAAGGCGGTGGTCGCCCCCATCAGCGTGGGCCCCGTGGCGAAGATCGATGCCCTATCCAGTGCGCCCGTCATAAGCGGCTCCCTCTACGGCGGCGCCGTCTCCACCGCTGCGCTATACAAGGCGGCACCGATAGTAAAATCGGTCGCCCCCATAGCGCCCGCCTACAAAGCACCGTTCGTACAGCAGATCATCGCGGAGCCCTACCCGAGGGCGCCAATATACACCGAACCCATCTACAACCCCGTACCGATTAAAAGCCAGCCCGTCATGGACCAAAGCTACTTGGCACAGTGGCCGCTGCTGAAGGACTCGCTGAGTCTCAACTCGCTGGCGTCATTAGGCGACGGCTTGCTGAAAGACTCCTTAATAGACTCGGGCAGCGGTTACGACCTTGGATACGGTCCACTGCTCTCCTCTTGGGGCTCCCTGGGACTGGGTTTGAAACATTGAATGTGGAAAGAAAGATGATAAGTACGTGTACCTGACGTCGACATGAAACGCCGCTACCAATAAAATGTTAAGGCCCTAGCTCCTTTCCAAAGTTTATAGAATGGGAAAAAATACTCCAATCAATAATGTCGGCTAAGTGATAAGTGTAACCATAGACCAATTTTTTTTAGAAAATAAAATTTACTTTGTTATTAGTCAAGGATGTGCACGAATAAAAGCATGAGCCACTATGTGGTAACTCTATAACATTTTTATTTCCATTCTCATTAAATGTTCTAGCAGTTGTAAACAAAAAAGTAAATACGTCATATATTATAAGTAGAATATTATGATAAAATTGTCTCGGCAAACAAAACAACCAGAAAAACTCTGCGAATAATATCCGAATTATAAGACATCAATAATAGGCTCTTTTGTATAAACTATTATTTTATTTCAAATAAGCCTGTATTAAATTAAGTTAAATCTTCGCCTTTCTCCACCCTTATCCCACCTTTGGGCTCGGCACAATATGTGAATCAAGTTGTAAATGGTATTGCCTAACTTTTTGACAACCAGCTTTACGTCAATTCTCCTTGGAAGCAAACTCCCGGACCCAAAACAATTTTATCTGTGGGCCGTACAAATGCTTGCTACAATGCTTGTACCGTCTGGGAATGGAACCAACAAACCCCGGTGACGAAGCCAATAAATAGCTCGGTAGCTGCGCTACATTCTGCTATAATGCAAATAATAAGAAATAACTAATACATAAACGAGGAATAAATATATTGTAACAAACTGATTAGTTTATGATTTTATTTATTTCTACTACTTACCGTAACAGTAGGAATAGCAAGAAAAACCTGATCTAGATTCGACGATAAGGTATTTAGATTATTCACTAAATTATTTACGAATCAAAAAACAAAACGAAGCAGATATGATAAAAAAGGTAAAGTCGCATCACACCTACATTCATTTTAATATTTCTAGATTGTTATTATGTTAATATTGGTTTGGTTTTTTTTTATGTGTGTGAAAAGTTGACAAGCGAGCAGGCGGTTCACCTGATGTTAAGTGAATACCGCCGCTCATGGACATCTACTACACCCGAGGGTTACTGATGCGTTGACAAAGAGACGCGAAAGTATTTGTCATACTTCCACTTTACGCCGGTCTTATGTGAGGTCGTGGTACTTACCCGGACGAGCCTGCCCATTTATGCAACAGCCGAGGCTGCTGTGTGGCCCTGCCACGGTTGGTTGGTGCATTGTTAAAAAAAAGGAAAACATTGACGTGACTATTTTTATATTTTTATCGTTTCTTCAGATACGCATGAATTGTGTTAAATGCTACACTAACGTTTGGTTTCGAATGATGAAAATTTGTAATAAAATCAAGTTGGAGATGCTACCTTACATAACAAGTGGTATCTAATGATAAACAACGAACTTAATATTTCTTTCGCTTCATAAGATTTATTGTATGAAATCGCGTACTTACGTACAAAACTATTCCAACAAGATAAATGTGTAATCATAAAATGTATATCTTTTATTATGATGATTTTTGGTGGATAATTGTAAGTACAAACAGAAGGATGTTAAGTAACAATTAACTGCGATCCCTCATAAATACACCGCAAGAAAACTGGGTGTGCGGCATTAACATTTTTGTTATGAAAATGTTTGCAACTCTCAAACAAGTTTCGTTTTTGCTGCAGCTTATTTACGACTGGTGAGTTATTCGATTACGTTTCAGGAATCAAATAATCTTTGGTATACTAAGCATATATCTAATTGTTATTTAGTCTTTTGTTAGTATATTATTGAGAAATACCTTTAATACTCACAGCTAAATCTCGATTAAATGTGAAATTTGGCAGATGATTCATTGTGGCAGCAGTTTACGAAAACAAAAGGCAAAATAAATCACGTCACAATATCAAACTTAAGTAGTTTATTGCCTAACAAAAAAGTTCTAGTCTCGAAAATATACTCTATATATTTGCATTACAACGCAATTTTGACTCCAGAATATATCGAAAAGAAGTATTTTTATGATGCGATTAGTTCCAACGATTGATTGATTTTGATTCTAACGATCGTATTACGTCTCTTCCACCTCTTCCACATCCATTTATTTTATGTGAAAAGTTGCCAGGCGAGCCGACGGTTCACTTGATGTTAAGTGAATGCCGCCACCCATGGACATCTGCTACACCTTAGGGTTGCAGATCCGTTGACAACCTTTTGAAAATTGAGCTCCGACCACCTCACTCAACAGACGAAACGCGAAAGAATCATACTTCCACTTTACGCCGGTCTTCTGTGAGGTCGTGATACTTACCCGGACGAGACTGCTCATTCGTGCAACAGCCGAGGCTGCGGCGTGGCCCTACCACCGGAAAAACCATACAGTCGCGCTTCCATGTTTTCCGATACTGCTACTTTTAAGGCCATCCTTTCCCACTATAGCATCATCTTAATATACTTTAGTTTAATCGTGGGTTGGCCAGAATGTTTGAGAACTTAATATAACGCTAACATGTGCTAATACTTGCTTGCTATTAACTTAAACGAGAGGAATGTAACCTATCCCTTGAGGTTCGGTACGAACCGAGATCCCTACGCTGCTGGTGAGAATCGCCCCCTGGAACGCGGGTGTACCTTGTAGTGACGTTATTTTCGTCGACTTCATCTATACACGTTTAAATGTTTTCACGTATCGGATTTTACAGTAACTTTCATCGCATACACTCGCTAAATATCGTATAGCATTAAGTAAATGAAGTCATTTATCCGCTAAACCGAGATTTAAAACGCCGTCATCGATTAAACGGCGAGCCTGTTGCGAGAAAAACTGCATAAACCAAAGACAATTTTACACTTTAGTTGTTTTAATCGTCTTACACAATATGTTGTCCAAAGTATGTAGTTTATTGGATTGAAGGCATAATTATGTTTTAAATTAAACGATACATTTGATTTCAATAGTCGGAAGCAACTGGTCTGAATAATTAAGGTTTATAGTAAATTATTAAGTGGCTGTCTTTACTTTAAAAAATATTGTTTTAAATTTTAGTTTAATGTGAGTTCAACAGATAAATTGTAGAATAATTTTACCCAAAACAGGGGCGTGGTTCGTGTCAAGATCATTAACACCCTATTTTTTTACTTTTTTTCGATTCCAGATCATTGCTTTCTTTATTTATTATTTTTTGTTATTTTTTTCCTTTTTTTTTAAAGTTGTTTCTTTTGTCAAAAACACCACTTCATATTTTCTTATAATTAGGCCGGTAAGATCGAAAAATATTATGCATATTTCATTACTCAGTAATTTGTATCTAAATGTAATTTCCAAAATATACGATTTACAAAAAAAAACAAACCGAGCAAAGCTCGGTCCTCCAGGTACTAAAAATTTTAACGTCATCCGTTGCTTTTGCTTAAGTTTAGGATTACTTTTTTTATTTATTTTACTTTTAATATAAAACTCGAAATTTCAACATTTTTAAGCTGTGGGCGTTTAACATATTACAGTGCAATCTGTGGGAGATGCCTATGTCCAGCAGTGGGCGTAAACAGGATGAAATGATGATGATAATGTAACATGTTGGAAGAGCAAGACCGGTATAAAGACATTCTTATAACATTCACGTGATTTTTTTATTTATTACATGAAAATTGGCTAATTGTCAGAAAATACTAGTTTCACATGGCAAATGTAGGTAACTAGGTGCAGTGGTGGATTTCCCTTAAGGCCCAATAGGACCAGCCCTAGAGCGGCCACATATTAGGGGCGGCCAATCGTGACCAAAAACCCACTGATGATAGCAAGACATATGATGGGCGCTGAGAAAGGGGCGGCTGGAACTTACTACACGGGCTGGGACCTCTCGCGGCGAACACGACAAATTCGCCACTGACTAAGTGCGAAGACTAAAATATAATTGCTTTTCTACGCACAATTAGTCAAACAGTGTACCTACTGTAATCGAAAGGTGGAGGATTACGGGTTTATATTTTTTACCTACTTAAAAAAAACATGTCGGTATGTTTTCCGTGAAGAATGAACGGACGGTTAAGCAAGTGAATAAGTGAAACACGCCTATTTCGTAGTCCATTTGTAAGGTGTTGGGAGACTAATAGTCGGTATTTCCTATTATAATCAAGTCTAATTACAAATAGCTATTTAGAAAGATAGCCCCGGTGGCTTCTGTACGTTTTACGATTACTTCATAATGAGGCATTGCATTTACTTATGTGATAGTATGTAAATATTAGTATATACTAGATAAGTACTAACACAGCATAAAACAGTCGTCCCGCTGTCTGTCTGTCCTATGTATGCTTAGATCTTTAAAACTACGCAACGGATCTTGATACGGTTTTCTTCACTAGATAGAGGAAGGTTTATATGTATAACTAGCTGTGCCCGCGGATTCGCCCGCGTGGAAATTAAAAAAAATCTAAAATAAAAGTATCCTAAATTACATCAGCTATTTGACAGTGAAAGACCTGTCCAAATCGGTCCAGCTGTTTGAGAGATTAGCCGGAACAAACAGACAGACAGACAGACAAAAATTGTAAAAAATGTTATTTTGGTAAATGTACCGTGTATACATCCATATGTAAAAAGCGGTTATTTTAATATTACAAACAGACACTCCAATTTTATTTATCTGTATAGATGTATAGATAAATTGCACCCGTACGAAGCTAATTCTAGATAAAAATATATTTAATTTATGCAAGGTGGTATTTATCCTTTTAATATGTTCGTAAAATTATTTCACTTTTTACATGCGAATTTGTGTACAAGTCAGTTTTTATTGATAATTCAATTTATTTATATTCAGAATTATATCAGAATTAAATAAATTATATTATATCAGAATTATATTCAGAAATGACCACAAAAGCAATTTGTTCACATTTCATACAAGACCTCGTAGGGCACGTATAGAAGTAAAAGTAGTAAAGTAACAGTCTATATATGTCCCACTGCTGGGCAAAATACTCTAGATTTTGAAATACAATTAGAAAGTCAAAAGTGAATTTAGATCAACGTTACAACATAATAATAGTAACTATAATATGTCAGATAATGAAAAGAAATATTAAACTTAATATAAAGCTCTATAATTTATCTATTTCTCTATTTTTATCGGCTAAATAAATTTGTTAGTCCTCTGAGACGACAACGGCTATTCAGCTGACAAACAAAAAGTGATAAAGAAAGCGAAACACGAAACTCTAAACACATTACGCACTTCGGGCGCATAACACTCACCCAAAGAGTCGGTCCCTCGTGGCCGAACGAAACGGGTCGAGCTTATGTCAGAGCGGTATAAAGAAACAAGAGCGGTAGGTTTTCCCAATATTATTCCACCGGCAGCAGCGTTCGGTACACATATAAATGCTCTACGAACAATAAATCACACATTCGTCAATAAACGGGCGACGGGGGCAATCGACCAGCGATATGAATCGACTTCAGATGGTAATTGAACCAATCATTCCCGTTATCGATACGATACACTTGATCGCATTATTGATAAGAAAAAAAAAATTGCGTGTCGCCTTTGGGTGTCGTAGTGTCACATCAGTGGTCCGCAATTCGTTAAGACCAATTAACAATAACTCGTTTTATATTTTGTTTTAAATGTTCTTCATCATTCACGGTGCTGTAATCTGTATCCTTCTTCTCGTTCGAGGAAACCTCGTTGAAAAACTTCGAAGGACTGAAACTCATGTATAGTTTAACTAAATATAAACATGAAATTTTCATTAATGTGAATAAGTCATCCTTATACATAACGTGATAAGTTTTCAATTTGTGTCTTCCTCTTTCGTAATAAAAGATAGATTTCGCAACATATAACTGCACGTATAATAAACATATTTTTATAAATCTTAAGTAAATCTATTATGATATGAATATGATTGTTACAGACTTTATCTTTGGTGGCGTTAGCGACCGGGGTCGTTTCCGGTGCTGTGATTTCTCGAAAGAGTCTTGTCTCCGAATACGTAAGTAATATACCATTAACTTAGTTGTCTTTTGATTTTCGCCAATAACAATACCTAATCGACCTTCAATATATTTATAAAAACATTAAAAACTTTATTCAGATATTTAACCGATCCATACATAAACCTAATTAGAACCTCATAATAATAATGAATTTGATCATGACACGGTCTGAGATTCTGAAGTTTTCCACATCGATAATGGTACACCACGCGATTATTGTAAAAAAAAAAAACTAAATCAATAATATTGTCACCGATCTTTTGCAGGATTATCCCCGTTACGCCTTCAACTACGCGATCAACGACCCAATCACTAGAGACAACAAAGCCCAGTGGGAGGCGAGGGACGGCGATGTCGTCAAAGGCGCTTATTCCCTGCGGGAGCCAGACGGCACGATCCGCGTCGTCGAGTACTCAGCAAACGATATAAGCGGATTCAATGCGCTCGTGAAGAAAATCGGTCCCAACTTTCACCCAATAACGGTACTGACGAAGACATCCCATGGCGTAGTCCCGATAATACCACTGGCGCCGATTAAAGTGAACCCAATAAGCATATCCTCGATCGAGACAGATTTGCCTATTGCCGACGTCAAATTAAATTACGGCTTCGGCGCCGCGCCTTTGGCTATTGGACTCCCGAAAGTAACCGCCCTGGGCCACTGGAGTCTGCCATGGGATCCCGTCACAGGGTCTTACGGGGGCTGGGTGCCCATTGACGGTCCGGTCCCACGCGGACCCTACGCCACGGTATACAGCAAGAAATACATCAACGGTAAGCTGCACGAGTGGTCAACAGGGCCTATACCCTTAAATGGGAAGAAGTTAGTCATCAAAACCAAGCATTGATCCAATGTTACTGTCAACAGCTTCTGTAATCGAAGAATTTGACAGTAAGAACGATATATATTAGGAACTGATTAAGCTACAATTATCTAGTCTATTTTACTGTTACATATTTATATAAGAGTTGTCAAGTTAACGCAAAATTTAAGCATTGAAATTGCTATCAAGTTTGTAAATTAAATATACTTTATGTTATTTTTAACGCAACTTTAATCAAAGTCGCTGCTGTAATGAGATTTTTATCTTGTGAATGCTTAGTAACAATTAATAAAAAACAGAAATACACACTTGACTTTTACTACTTCTATTTTATTTCATGCATTCAAGTTTTATATTTACAAATACTTTGATATTAAAAAATAACTATTAGACGTATGAAGATTCTAGTGACATATGTAATTAGTCCAAAGGCGAAAGAAATCCTATCACTGTGCAAACGAAAAAAAAGTCTTACAGTGCTCGGAATATAATAGAACAATAATAGACTCATATTTATCTATATATATATATATATATATATATATATATTTTCCTATATCTACGTATTTCCCTTGTTCACGCTATCACGCGTGAACGGCTGGACCGATTTCACTTTTTTTTGTTGTGTTTGTTATTATCAGAAGGTTTTTATGAAAGAAAAAATTTAAAAATTGTCTGGAAAAAGTCAAAAAACAACACTTTTCTATATTCCCCTACAAAAGATTCGTAATAATACTTAAAAGTCAATTTGAACTTTAATACCATACCATAAAGTTTACGTTATAGTGGAGGGGTTCCGGGAAGGCAAAACAAGTGAGTGACTGTGGTAAAATGTCACTTGAAATGTAAACGTCTCTTTGCTGTGCATCACTACATAGTATAAAACAAAGTCGTCCCGCTGTCTGTCTGTCCCTATGTATGATAGAGTGATTCAAGGGGAAGGTTCATATGTATAATAAATAGCACCCGTGCGAAGCCGGGGAGGGACGCTAGTACAATATATAAAAGATAAGTGTAAAATACGCCATCAAATCTATAAATAAGAAGAAGAAGACCTGGCAAAAGTTGTATTGGCATATAAATTATTTCTAAGGAATTTAAGAATCTGACAGCATAGAAAAAAAATTTCGGAACGAATTTTTTCTAACATTTTATGTTTGACAGGTAGGAACAGTTTGTATGGGAAAATAAAATTGTTGCTATTTCGGTTTTCCATACCATTTTTCCATAATTTCTCATCGTTTAAACCTTCCCTGGACTGCCACAAATATTTCAAAACCTAAATGAGCCAAATCAGTCCAGCCGTTCTCGAGTAGTTAACGAACAGCAATTAATTTTTATATATATATAAAACTTGGGGCAAGGTGCGAAATACTGTCGTAGTTACTTGTCGTAATATTATCACATAAAATCACTCAGTCGGCATACAAGAGTTCATAGTGTAGCCATAAAGACAGGACAAATTAGAGTGCCCTGCGGTAGTGAATGTTGATTCAATTAATCGCATTTGGTAGTAAACTAATTAAAGCTCATACAACTTAATAATTTAAACTAATTTTAATGATAGTATTAATTAATACTAAAGTATTTCAAATGAGAAGGTTCGAATATTGAAAGAAAAATGTGTTATGTTGTTGAGATCAGTTGTCATACTATGAAATTTAAAATTTATTGTGAGGCGCGTATATCGGTAAATAATAAGTTGAGGTAGTTCTATAAAAATATAGAAGATACGCAACTTCTGCGTCCATCCTTTATTTAATACTTATTTTATACTTTATTTAATACTATAAATGTTGTACACACCCGTTATAGGTGTACATATTAGGTCCAATGTTTTCTTATTTTTTCCTTTTTTGTAAGTTGTGTAAATATGTATACTGTTGGTGTGTCTTAAATAAAAAAAAAAAATTAAGAAATACTTAATTCGGAGTGTCATAAAGAGTGTAAAGAGTTCCTTTATTTTAATCAGTTTGTACCAAAAAATGTATCATAAAAATAAGGAAAGTTACAGCCTATACAAGTCCACTGCTCACATATCTCTGAAAATATATATCTATATATATTATTTTTATTTCCTAACGATTCTTACTGAGCACGCGATAATTCAGCACTTAAAATTAACATTTACATTGGTGCTGGTAGGATTTGCACTCTGGTTCCTGGAGTAGGATGGAGTAAAAGGGACTTCGCTCTCCAGTGGGACAATACTTTACTTTAGTTCTTTTTTAATTAAAATGATTGCCATAAAGTTAGTGTACATATATGTAACGGAACAGTTTGTCTTAATAAAAGTATGAATTGTTTTTTATAACATATGAACGAGAAATAACTATATTCTTAATGATGCTTTTGGTGGCGAACAAAGGTTTAGCTCACACGAAGATATTTATATCCCATAATCAGAAACGACGTATTTTCACTGATAAAAACAATCGAGCTTGCGACGGGGATATAAACGAAAAATGCAGAAACAGACGCTGAAAGGCGTAACTTACGTCTTTCAGCCTTTTTTTTTATAAGCGAACTTACTCATATTCAATGAACCTTTGAATTGTGACATGAAAGGGAACTCTAATAATAGTGCATGATAGTGCATTTAAAGACGACTGATCGACCCCATTATTCTGCCTGCACTGTATTACCTCACAGCGCAATCATAATTATCAATGTATTGTAGCCAATTAGCTATCGCTTCAAAAGAAGTGAACTAGTCAATTTGTATAATTTAGTGAGGTGCAACCCGTTCTGTTCGGTTATACGCAGGGGTTCGCGTAGTTGTATTAATCGAGAAGCACACATAGCAAACCATCCGTGGAAACGAGACGCCGTACGAAACCGGAGTGAGCGCGGCTCGAATAATCAGTGCGGTATAAATTGGTATGTGGACGATGACAAAAACACAGTGCACTTTCATTGCTTAGTGGGATAGCTCGCCAGCGAAATGAACATGTACTTGACGGTAATTATCATGCACACTGTGGTAGCCACGCCTTTCGTCTGGTGTGTGCGGTAACCGGAGTCCACTTTATTGATAGGTGGCAACGCATTTGTAACCCTATCGGTGTTGCCAATGTCCATAGGCGGCGGTTATCACTTAACATCAGGTGAACCAAAAAAAAGAAAACAGTGATCCTTGAGAAGAATGTAATGACTGTAGGCTGTCTTACAAATTATGAAGAACATTCTAGAACTTAAACGAGCAATTGCAATTATCGACAATCTATCTTATTAAATCGATAAGAGCCATTATTAAAAACGACAACCAAGCAATTTTTTTTTCTTTTTCAGGTATGCTGCCTGATGGCATCGGCTGCGGTGGCGTCTGCCTACCCGTCCTCAGTCGGCCTAGTGAACATAGCAACAATCGAGAAAATAGTACGCAGAACAATTTACTTTTACCAAAACTGCACACCATGATTATTTCAGCCTGTTCGAGTCTGCTGCTAAAAATAGACCTCCCCCACAGACTGTTACGAAACACTGATCCTGTGCTAGGGTGGATCGGGAAGCCTATGAACAATGGTTTAACAATGGAGGTTTCCTGTACATTTGCACAGGTCGTCACTCCATCTAGTGGAGGTCGTCCTACACTGTGATGGTCAATACAAGGCTGCCACTCGAGATCCTTCCTTCCTCGATGGTTATCGGTTCTTCGAGCTATATGGCCAGCCCATTGCCAATTCAGCATAATCGGTACAAAATACGAACTTTTTAGCCAAAATAGTGTGTCTTGTTGTAGATTCTAATTAATACGCACCTATTTAACGTTTGTTATTATATAGACCAAGAAAGCATTTAATTAAATTTTAATTAAATACTCGCTGACATTATAGGTACGTAGGCACAGTAAAATTTCAAAACATCTCAAAAGTAAAAGCGGATTATAATGATTTATGTAGTCAATTAACCTAAAATCTCAGTAGGTTGATATTCCCAGCGATTATCTCAAACTATATTTCTTCTAAAAATACCTAGTGTGGCCGTATGGGTTACATTTCTATGATAACATCGATAAATATATTAATCGGGTGAACTCCCTTCCGCAGCCTAACCCGAGTTACGAGTTCAACTACGCGGTCAACGACCCCTCCACGGGCGACAACAAGGCCCAATGGGAGAGGCGCCACGGGGATGTTGTCAAGGGCGCCTATTCGCTGGTCGAGCCGGACGGCAACGTGCGATTGGTCGAATACACCGCCGACGCCGTCAGGGGCTTCAACGCGGTCGTGAAGCGCACATCGCCCAACGTGCACTCAGAGTCAACCGTGTACGGGCAGATAGGGCCGCTGGTCCAAGAGGTCCGAGAGGTACAAGAGGTACAAGAGGTACAAGAGGTACAAGAGGCGCCTCTCCTGTACGCGCGGGAGGAGCAGTTAGCCCCCATCGCCCCTATCGCCCCCATCGAGCACGTGGCCCCTCAGGTAGAGCAGTACACCCCAGTAGTGGAGCCGGTGCAATACGCACAAGAGCCTATTTACAATGTCCAATCCCAACCGATCTACACGCCGATCGTGGAGTCGGCCCCCCTCTACGCCCAGTACCAGGCGTTGGACTACTTGCCCTACGTACAGGCGCCCCAGCCCGCCCCCTGGGTGACCCTCTCGGGCACCTCATACGGTCACAAGGGCAACATTGTACGAAGATGGGCCGCCGGCCCCATCTCCCTAGACGGTAAGACGCTCACCATCAGAACTAAGCATTGAGGAACCGCCCCACGTTCCAATTAACTAGATTTAAATGAAAACAGTAAGCCGCAACTTCTACTTGTATAAGTAACCGTTAAGTTACTCGCGACACTTGTGTGTTTTTGCACATCGTATGAACCCCCTCTCCGCACGTGTAAAAAGTACACATAGGTCCCAATAGAAGTTAAGATATTCGGCGCGTCCCAAGCAGTGAAGTGTACCTGATGACATATTGATGTACGACTTGTAAATAAATTATAATAATTTGCGAAAGATCGGAGTTCATTTATTTACCAAGATGATGCCCTTTATTCTGCTTGTTTCAATACAATAAAAGTACAACAGGTATCTTGTCAATACGATAAATACATAATTAGAGAGATAGTTAAGAAGATTTAAGAGCTTACATACATACAGGTCATACATTTCATGTATGCATCATCACATTTTATGAACATCAACTTAAAGATTTTTAAAATATTTCCTTAAATTATAAAATGGCATAAACAAGATGTAATAATTTCAAGTCATTGATGTTAACGTACCTTACCTTAAAAAGTATTTTATAATAGTACAAAAATTTTAAGCATGTAATATTTATAACTACAGAACCTATATGTAATAAATATCATAACATAATTATTACAACATTCCTTACCGGATTGTTGTCTTCGTCGACGTCGTATTCTTCTCTCTGCACCATCATTAATTTCCCACTAGCGTTGATTACCTGAGAAATGTACGGACCATTAAAAAAAGCATTGCTATAATACAATTATTGATAAAGGGTGAATTAACCAGCTTGGAATAATTGATAAATGTCATTATCGTTCGCTATGGTAAAACCATGAATTTGTTTACTCCCTTCATTACCTTTTTTACCAAACGCGCCAAATGAAGTATAAATTCAAAATTGTAATAAGTGTACCAGGGAGCCAGGAGCTAGAGGACTGATAGTCGTCTGTATCTCGACGCTCGGGTTTCACATGTAATATAAGCTTGGTCTTCGACAGTTACTTACCAGGGAGTCAGTAGCTAGGGGGCTGATGGTCGGGCGCCGCACCATGTGTTGCCGCTCGGGCTTCTCCTGTAATATGTCTGATCTTCGCCAGTAACCTACCAGGGAGTCAGGAGCTAGAGGGCTGCTAGTCGGGGGCCGCGCCAAGTGCGGGGGCCCGGGCTGCTCCTGCAAACGGCACAGCGCCGCCGACACAACGCACGCGGGGTGCGACAGGGCCGATATGTCCACCGCTTGCACACAGCGCATCTCCACGCCTCCGTCTGATAAGGAATAAGTTATTACTGACGGCGTTAGAAAGTAGTAAAGTCCCACAGCTGGGTAAAGGCCTCCTCATATAGTTCACTAAGCAGCCCAATGGCAGATGATTTCACATAACTTCGAACCTTTTTTGAAGTTATACTTCTTTCGGCCCGCTAGGGAAAAATGATAAGAGTAAATTTTTGCGATGAGCGTGCACACCGTCACGAAAAACCGACACCCTGAAGTTAGCTAGACACCTACGTATGTTTGCGTGAGAACTGACAACTGTATTCAAGTTATTTATTTTGTGATATTTAAATAAACGTTATTTAACTAGATAATGCGTTGTAATGAAACTTTCAATGTATTAAATACATCTTTCTAGTGTTAGTGTCGTTTTTTCTACAAACGTAGAATAAGGCGAAAGATAAAAATTTGAAAAGATTTTTATCTTGTTACGCCAAAGAAGTATAATTTCTAACGCGTGTACACACACACTTTTTTTGTTATTATTTAGAAAATGTGCAGGTTTCCTCAAGGGTTTTTCCTTCACCGTGGAGCACGTGATAAGTCAGCACTTAAAATTAACATGGTATCGGCACCAAGGATCGAACTCAAGTTGCTCGAGTATATTGAATTAAAAGCGAGCGCCAGGCACACCACATTGAGCTATCACAGTGGCAATAAAATTATTAAAACTTTCGTGAGAAATTATTAACGGAATAATGAAATCGACAAGTTTAGGACGTATCGCAGGTTCTACATCAGGGCGAGTGGGATGAGTTCAAAATTCCATCACGAAAGCGGTGACAGCTCAGTGAGCGTGGTAGGGCCACGCAACAGCTTCTTCTGTTGCACGAATGGGCAGGCTCGTCCCGTAAAGTACCACAGCTTGGCATAAAACCATCGCGAGTAAAATTTATTATACTCTCGCGTTTCATCTTGCCAACTTACTATCGTCATTGTAACGAGGTATATGCAAATCGTACTTTTGTCGATGCTCAGCTCGTAGATGGTGACGAGCGCGTCCGCCGTGAACACGACGAGCTGGTCGTCGAGCGCGTCCAGGGCGAACACTTGCACCTGCACGCGCACCATCTTGGCGGAGCGGTTGTCCAGCTTGGCCTCCCGCGGGTAGAAGCGGATCTCGTCGTGGCCGTCTATTATGCTGTAGCAACCTGTGGATACATGTGGATGTACTGTTTAAAATCAATTATATTGAGATAACACTTTAATAGGGTTAAAAATAATATGGCGCCTTTTTTCAGTTGGGTATTGAGTGATTATAGCCGCCCATGAAAACCTAAAAGAACTGTTCGTTTGCACGGCGTGCCGACCGTTTAAAAAGCGTTACAGTTATCTCTCCCGCCAGACGGAACGCAAAGTATACTTTCATTTCACGTTAGTTTATGTTATTAAGCATTATACTCAAAAATATTGTCCAAAACATGTAATTGTGAAGTACAGAAAAGGCTTCGGGCGAGGGTCGCGGGTTCGATTCTCACACTGGACAAGTACAGATAATTGTTCCGAATAAGCCGGAAAGCACCTAGGTTGTAATGTCGCTCGTATAGTGCTGTACTACACGAGCTGAACTACCACGCCTCACGTTCAAGCTTTTAACTGCAGTGGGCCACGCAACAGACTTCGCGTGTTGCATAAATGGGCAGGTCAGTCCAGGTAAGAACCACGACCTCACAGTAGACCGGCGTGAAGTGGGAGTGTTACCCTTCTGCGTTTCGTCTGGTGTATGAGGCAGCTGGTGCCAACTCTATAAAAGGCGGCAACGCATCTGCAACCCTACGGGCGGCGGTTATCACTTAACGTCAGGTCGACCGCCAGCTCGTTTGCCACGACCTCACATTGAAAAAAGTTGTCGCCAGCGGTATTTCCGGACCGAAACGACTCAGGGACCTTCAAGGAGAGAGCCTACGCAAGGCTCAACCGATGTTGCAAGTTTCAAGTGTCTGTGGGCGTCGGGGATCGCTTACCATCAGTTGACCGGCTTGCTCGTTTACTTCCATAAAAAAACGGGTGCGTGTACTTATCTACGCGCGTGAGAACTTATACTTCTTTAACATCAATAAAAATAATTTTTAACAATAATTGCATGCAAATAAAAAGACTGGAAAAGGATATTAATAATAAAAATAATAAAATTATGAAAGCGCCCCCTACATACTTTATTGAGAACTGTAACGGGCGAATGTGATTGAGACTATGCTGCCATCTATAATATGCGGTTTAGCGGGCGGCTTCAAAGGTGTGAAGGTGCGTTAAACGTTTAACGCAACATTGTTGGAAGTCGCATTAGAAGTATAATTTAAAAAAAAAAGCGGGCGTTCGAGTGACGTGCCTATCACGACGTGGTCCCGCCACCAGAGCATGCCCCCGGTGACGACGAAGTCCTTCTCCTGCGCCTCGTTGCCGAACAGCTTCCAGCGGCGAGACGCGCAGCTGTAGTGCGCCAGCCCCGTGCGCCCCGCCACGCAAACGTTTACGCCGCCCTCGTCGATCGCGCTGTACTGTTGACGGACAAAGTTCTGGTGATTACTTTTGCAGCGTTATCCCGAATTTTTTTACTGTGGTAGGGCCACGCAACAGTTTTCACTGTTGCACGAATGGGCAGGTCCGTCCGGGTAATTACCACGACCTCGCAGAAGACCGGCTTGAAGTGGAAGTGTTAGGTACACTTCTGCGTTTCGTCTGGTGAGTGAGATAGCCGGGGCCCAGTTTATTTATAGGTCACGCATTTGCAACCCTAGGGGTGTTGCAATGTCTATGGGCGGCCGTTATTACTTAACATCAGGTTTGTAATTTTTTTTAAAAAAACATTGCCCTTACCGTAGAACTTAACATTATATCAAAACATTATAGTATATATACCATAACATTAGCCTGTGTTGTAAAAACGTTTTACAAACATAAATCTTACGTGGACTAACACCCAGATGCACTTTGGGTCACACATATATTTGTCCCATGTGGGAATCGAACCCACGACTCCCAGCATCGAAGCCAATACCGTGGCAACTGCGCCACGGAGTCCTCTTTCTTTACCTTTATCCTGTACCGGGCAGGCAGCCGTTCGTAAAAAAACATAGACAAAACCTCTTAAAACATGATTCACATATTTTGGCAGACCCTACCTAGGTGGGATAGGGGCAGAAGGATGATGATGACTCCCGCTTCGAAAAATAAACTCGGCCAGCGTTCATGAACGTGCTTCCCAAGTCCATTTATATTAACGTAAAACAAAACCTACTTCAAATATCTCGCTCTGTATTAATTTTATAATTGATTTCCAGAAGTTCCCTGGAGTATCTCCGGAGCCCAAGAGCCAATTCCAATATAATTAATATAGGACCACATGGGAGCTAATCCAAACCCAATACAGGAAACGAATTTTAAAATCGGTTCATAAACGTCGTATTTCTGAGGCAACAGACATAAAAATAAAAAAACAAACGAATTGAGAACCTCCTCCTTTTTTGTAGTCGGTTGAAAAAGCTTATAATGTCAAAGTAGCTAGAACTTTGACATTATAATTAACTAGCTTGCCTCGCACAACCACTCTGTGGAACCAGCTGCCGCCGGCGGTCTTTCCGAGCCGTTACGACCTGGGAACCTTCAAGAAGAGAGCGTACTCTTTCCTCAAAGGCCGGCAACGCATTTGTAAGCCCTCGGGTGTTGCAGATGCCCATGGGCGGCGATGATCACTTACCATCAGGTGAGCCTCCTGCTCCTTTGCTGCTTTTTTCCCATAAATAAAAAACAAAAAAAATACTTTAATTATAGAGGCACTTACTCTGAGCGGCCAATTAGCCGCTATATACGTTGCAGGTAGCGGCAACACTTTCCACTGTTTCCTGCACTCGTTGTCGTCAACGAATTCCCTGTACTTGACTTTGTTGTCGTACTCCGGTGCGAGTTCGTCCGTCAGACCGTTCTCTTGGTACTCTGATGAGTCGATCATTGATATCTTCGTTCGCCTAGTCAGGTTGTCTTCTAAGTTTACGTAGAGTTTGTCGTCCGCTTGCAAATATAAGTGCCTTTGGTTACTCTAAAACGAAGAAGAGCAATACATTAATATACAACAAAATTCAAACATACATTAAAAAGAAACAACACGAACTAATAGGTCTTCTAAAATTGCCACCTTTTTGCCAAAATAAAACGTGTTTAACTAAAAATACGTATCTTTGAGTATAATTTAACTTACCATACAAGGGTTAACGCTTAGCGGACTCTTTATAAAATCCATTTGTATTAAATTAGAACTTGAGTCTCCTTCAACTTTTACCATCCACAGTTGGTAGCCTTCCGTCGCCCATTCCTGTCGATTGAAAGATATTTTATTCAATAATATTAAAGGAAAAAATAATATTAGAGAGAACGAGAGCATGCATGCCATTTCTATCCCTAACTCCCCTCAGATTTTTTAAATTAGTATTGTATATTTGGATATTGATTATGGCGATGTTATTATGAGAATGCAGTTTGTACATGATTAATTTTATTGTTAGCGCTAGTTTGTATTCAATATGAAATTTAAATAGTGAATTTCTATCGATTTTATAGACTTCATCGGGTTTCATTTGCATACGCGACGAATAATTCATTGCATCAGGGACATACTTTTTTTTATTTGTCACCTCACTAGGTAGCTAGAATAATCTAAACGTCCAAATAATAATATTGTCTACATAACATACATGATGCAAGTCCAAAATAAACTCAAAATCATCTCAAATAACTCTAATCTGGTAGAGCAGTATCTCTAAGATGACTATGCACTAAAGAGCTGGCACCATTGGGTAAGAAGCCAGTCAAATTGATACAGAAGACAGGCGTAAATAAGTAAAGAATCACTATGCCATCATAAAGTACGGTAAAATTCAAGTAAGTTTCGCTATATTTTAAGCAGACTAACCAAATACTAACGAGTAATCGGGTATGCTCGTTTTTTTTTTTATTTATTTGGTCGAAATTCGAAAGTAAATTCAACAATGAATTATTATTTCTCTCAGACACATTCGATCAATATGAAATTTTAAATTACTTTTGCCACAATCTCTACTCTGTTCGACCACAGACTATTGTGTATGACATTGACGATAACAACGTGAACAGTTACAGTTATATTTTGTGTAGGTATGTGACGCACATTTGTATATAACTTTCGGCAAATTCCCGGTATACGCATTAATTGCGCCAAATATCATAACTGCCCGTGCGAGCAAAATTCCTATAAAGGGATTATTTTTTCGCGATCTTTTTTTTAATATCACCCTTACTGTACGATAATAGAATCCCAATTTATTTGTAGGTCACACAAGTAGTCCCGTGTGGGAGTCGAACCCACGACCGCCGCCGTTGAATCCAAACATAATCAGCACCGGCGGCGGAGTCATCCTGATTTGGGCCGTTGTAGAGCGCCGGGGGCGGACCGACCATGCTGGACACGACGAGCGGGTTGTGCTTGCCCAGGTCCTGGCTGAGCCCGTAGTCCCACGCGAGCGAGCACATCAGCAGTGCACCGAAAGTGCTCCAAGTAGACACGCCGCCCCCCTCCCAGCTCACGGCCACGCTCCGCCCGTCCGCCGTCCACCTCGTTGGGTGAACAACAAAAATCTGAATATACTCTCAGTGGTATTAGCAGGGCCGAATTTAGAGGTCAGGAGGCCTAGAGCCAAATTATTTTCCAAATAAAATGAACATTTGTTTCAGTCGATTTTTCCAATAAATCATTTATTGTGAAACTAATTATAGATTCTTTAATTATTTAACGAACATATAAATATTATCGGAAACAAGAATTATCTAAAATTAAATTTTAGCGTTTACGAACGGAACCATCCGAGCTTTTTTCTTCTTTCCGTACTGTAGGTAAAACGCGCAAAAAAAATATGAAAGCAAAAGTTGTTTACTAGTGTTTAGAAGAAGAAGAAGAAGAAACGTTTATTCACGGTCTAAGCACAACAGATACATACAACACTTAAAAATAATAATGTAACTACACAATATGTAAAATAATATTAGAAAACTTAAAATAAATGTAAACAACAAAAAAAAATAAGTGAAGGTCTGTGTAGCAGCATAAGACCGTGAAACGGACGGGACTCAGTAAAAGTCTAGATACAGTAACTAAGATTCGTTCTGATCCCGACACCGGTTTTCAGTCCGCCGTTTACTAGTCTGAATTTGAATTGTGGGGGCCCCTATTTCGTGGAGGTCCCGGGGCGGTTGCCTTGCCCTAAATCCGGCCCTGAGTAGTAGCACAGAGCCGCGATAGCTCAGTGACGGGCCGCTAGCTCTTTATTCAATACACTCGAGCAACCCGGACTCAAATCTCGGTGACAGCACCAATCAAATTGACAATTTTAAGTGATGAATTACTACGCGATCAGCGGTGTAGGCGTCAAACATCGTTAGGAAAGCAGCATATTTTATAGTAACAAAAATATTACGAGTGGAGTCACATGGTGGATTACTTTGCTGGAAAGGCCTTCTACAATACAACGGGGCATAGTCCGCCACGCGACCCCTCTGCGGATTGGCAGATTTCTAATATTCTCGAAATTTAGTTTCAATATTTTTTTCATTATTGTGCACGTGATAAATCCGACTCTTGATATTGTAGTTAATATTTCATTGGAGCCGCCGACTAATTTGAACTCAGGTTGCTTAAAGTTGGAAGATAAAAGTTTACGCCTGGACACTGATACTATTACATAATGATTTCAATGTATATGATTTACCATATTCACTGCTATTATAAACGTGGAAAATGTAACAGTCCCTATATTTGTACAGGATGTAAATTCGACAGGCTGAATACTATTTATATTGTATTAGCTGACTCGGCAAACGTTGTTTTGCCATATAAATTATTTCTAGAGGAATCGGAATGCGTTCAAAAATCGTTTGACAGGTTACACAGACATAGTTGACAGGTTGACAGTTTATATGGGAAAATAAAATTGTCGCTATTTCGATTTCCCATGGAATTTTTCCATAATTTCTCATCGTTTAAACCTTCCCTGAACTGCCACAAATATTTCAAAACCAAAATTAGCCAAATCGGCCCAGCCGTTCTCGAGTTTTAGCGAAACTAACGAACAGCAATCCATTTTTATATATAAGATATATATATATATATATATATATATATATAAGAAGATTGATGAAAAAATATTCATTTTTTAATATAACATTTATTGAGCATAAACTCGAAAGTTTGACCAGTCAATCTGATTTAAAGAACCAGTACCAGAATACAGTATACTATTTGATCGGACTTTCTTACCTGATGCACTTTACGGGTCCAGGGTCCCCGGGGAAGTCCTTAGAACTCAGGGCCATAGTGTGGGACAACTCCAATCCGCCCGTGACTTCGTCTATCGTAAACACGTCTACTTGCGAACTAGAAAATATTAAACACACAAACAATGAGACATGATATTGATTTCTTGGTTTTACGCGAATACTTTACATTACAATACTTTACATAAAAAAGCCCGTTCAGTTTCTTTCGACGGTTCTTCTCGGTACAGTGGCTTTCTTTACCGAACCGGTGGTAGTATTTTGACTATCAATAAGCTAGTGTAATACTCCTATGTTGAATAAAGACATTTGATTTTGATTTGGTTATAAAACTATTTTAGGGATTTTATTGCGTTTTAATAAGTTTTTTTTAATTCCCGAGGTTTCAGACTTATCGACGTATAAGCTCCTTTTGAAAAATCGGAATAAAAATTAATAATAAAATAATTGACGGTAGCCCGAGTTAACGCTGACTTTAAAACGTGAAACAACTCGGTCCATCCCGTAACCATGAACGCTAGAAAGGGATCGAAACGTCGGGAATTAAAAAAAAAAATTAAAACGCTATAAAATAAGAACACATAAATTATACTATATTTTGTGCTGTTGGTGTACCTAATAATAAATAGATCAAATTCCTAAAATAGTTTCATTTAACAATGAAACATAATTTTGCTGATCAAGCCACGCCGAGGACGCAATAGATACATATGCAAGCGTGGGGGGCGGGCTCATCCTGTGCTGTACCACAACCTGACGAAATACTTACGTAAAGTAGATATATCTATAGTATTGTATCACTTCTAGTGAGTGAGGTAATAGAGTCGTGCCCGTTTAAAGACTTGCAATACCATCGCTCGTTTACCACATTCTCGAATGAAAAGCATCTTACACTGAGCATCGCTTAAATGATTAATGGTCCAATTATATTGTTGACTCCGTGGCGCAGTTGTCAAGGTATTGGCTTCGACGTCGGGGGTCGTGGGTTCGATTCCCAAAACACAACTATTAGGGGACAATTATTTGTGTGACCCACAAATAGTTGTTTCGCATCTGGGTGTTTGTCCGCGTGAAATTTAAGTCTGTAAAACGTCCTTAAAACACAAGATAAATATATCCTAAAGGGAAATGTTTAAAAAAAAAGAAATAAAAAAAAAATATTCAAAACTGCACTTGTATTTTGCAAGTTGACAACTCACTTTCTCCTTCCGATGGCGATAAGTCTAAACTTGTGATTGACTCGTACGCAGGTCGCGTCGTCGATCGCGGGGGCCCAGATGCCCTGTACCGCCTGAAAACAACAAAATGGTGTGCTGAACTAAATTATGGAAAACCCAACACGAGTATTGACACTACAGTATGTGCTATTGGAAAACCTAGCGTGGTAAGATGTAGGGCTAGCATAGAACACCGCAATCTCAAATGGACGAGCACAGATAACGCATCGTTGTCTTACCCCCAGTTCCGTGTCCAGTAAGATCTGGCCGAATGAAACATACATATGAGCACGTTAATAAAAATAAAAAAGTTGCTAGCTAAATAAAACTTTTTTGCGGATTTCGTCGAGGTCTGTTTTTAAAACGAGCATTGACGTTTCGAACACTTCAGCATTCATAGTGAGCCGTTTATGTCCAGGCTTTCTTTTTTTTATTTGGCCCGATGTTATCAAAATGTACACAAAGTCTCCTGAGATCCTGCAGTGTTGGTGTGGTTGAAATAAATATTATAATTAAAGCAGTTCCAAAAGCTGGTGGTGAAGGGTATGTTCGGTAAAATAGTTTTATTCAACAAATTTCGCGTCATTCGTGTAAATATAGGAATTCAATAATTAATCATACCTACTTAGATGTTATATTTATCTTTATTCAATGAAATTGCCCCTCCTCGAAAGGCTTCTTAACAAAAACCTAATAATTAATTAGTTTTTAAAAGAACAAAAACGAACTATTCAATACGCCAATAAATTGTGCTGCATAATTATGGAGTTGAAAAATAAATTGTGCGATAAAAAAGAAGTTACTGATTTCCGGTATTAATGCAATTTTAATATAAAGTCCAAAATTTAAGTTGAATCAAAGGTTCGATTCGACGTTATAGCACGATGGCTCGACTAGCCTAGTAGTTGAGTAGACTTCCATTTCATAGGCCGTGAGTTCAATTCCCGGGCAGGAATAAAATTTTATTGAATCGTATCGTTCCGAATCCGAATGATTTTTGTCGTCTTAAGTTGATATACAATTCATTTTACATATTTTACTTAATTTTTTGTTAAACGTATCATCAGTGTAACAAAGAATGTGTAAAATCAGACCAAAATTGCCCCTACACTCGTGTTACTTCTTTTTCTTGATAATTCTAGATTTACCTATAAGATAAATGTAGACATTTTTCAATTTTGGTTTTAACAGTGCAAATTCGCCCCTCCGCCGATCACTTCTTTCTTCACGAGTTTTGGCGATTTTTTCTATGTTGAAAAGTGGCAAACGAGCTGACGGTTCATCTGATGTTAAGTAATAACCGTCGCCAATGGACATTTGCAACAGCCGTAGGGCTACAAATTCGTTGCCACCTTTGAATAAATTGGGCCTCACCTCACTCACCAGAAAAAACGGGGAAGTGTAACACTCCTACTTTACGCCGGTCTTCTAAGAGGTCGTGGTCCCGGACGGACCTGCCCATTCGTGCAACAGTGAAATCTGTTGCGTGGCCCTACCACGGTTAAAGCCTACTAGCACGATTGAAGCGTATGTTAATACCACGTCCAGTTTGTATTCACTTCAATCAATGTCCAAAAATCTACTGCAAGGGCGAGTTAAAAGCTTACGTTGGGGTCAAATTTGAGGTTAGGCGCGGTAAGGTAGGCCGCTCGGCCGTCATTGAGGGTTATCCCGAAGCCACAGACTAGTGGAGAGTACTCTATGTCATTTACGTGTGTGTTATCTTCGAGGATGGGTTCGGCTGGAAAAGAAAATTCAATTAGTCTGAACTCAAGTGCTCAAATACTTTTGTGTACAAACAACTTTTAATAAGCCAAGGGTCACGGTAAGCATGCCCGAACGACGAACAAAAATGCATTGGGAGATGAAACTAAAAAGGTGTTGATGGTATATCAAAATATTATTAACTGGGGAACACTAGTTGGCGCTAAACATTATAAAAAATCAGAGGAGTCAGAAGAGATTTTCGAGCCGTGAGATCGTAGGCTTAATTGATTTGAAGCGTCGAAAGTTTTTGTTTATTTATCCAAAACAATCACATATTAAGTGGTTTCTTCTCTTTGGTTCTGCATAATCCGATGGATTGTCTTAAGTATTTATTTCTAATTTTCTATTCCTTCCAATTAAAAATTGTTCGTATCTTTGTAGTGTTGTTACATATGTAACAAAAGCGTTATATTTTATTTCAATATAAGAAGGAGACATTTATAAAAAATTACATACATATGTATAATATTTTTAAAAATATCTCGTCCGAAAGTACCACGCCTCAAAGATCGGCATGAAATGGAAGCATTATACTTTCGCGTTTCGTTTAGTGGCTGAGGTAGCGGGGCCCACTTTTTTAAAGGCTGGCCGTATACCTGCAACTTTCCGTTGCTGTAGATTTGCTTGGGCGATGGTAATCACTTAGCGTGAGGAGAATCACCCGCTCGCTTGACAAATTTTTGCGTAACAAAAAAATTATTTAATCTGACATTACTATCGAAGTAAAAGTTAAACTAACTCCTGGACTATATAAGTCAATATCCTATTATTTGTCCCTATATAATGAGTAAATAATTTTACTCAACTGTTTTGAGTAAAATTATTTACTCATTATATAATTTGCTTGTATTAAATAAGCAATTGCACAAAGAGTATTTTCCATACATCTTGGTCCTCAATGTATTATATCACATAATAATAGGTTATTTTAATAACGTTAATTTTCATCATAATAGTTTCTTGGTATAATATTCGCACGACCGCTTGTGCATGTCATATATACCTTTGGACACCTGTTGATTTATAGAGAAAGGTATTCGCCCCAGGTCCAAGCAATAGTCTCTGTTCTGGGTACCATCCCAACGGTAACGAAGCAGGTGGGCCCTGGTGGTGCACACCAGTATTTCTGTGCCTGATATGCAGCACATACGAGTGATTTGACCGTCCCATACCAGGATTTCTTTGAACTGAAAGAAATTATTTATTAATTTAAGAATTTTGTATAAAATTGTTTTTATCCCCATTAATAATAATGGCAATAAATGACATTTTTCCTTAATCAGCTCTGTGATTAAATTAAATAGACTAGGCCAGTAACTATCACATTGCAAGCGGATGACAGATAACAAATAATGTTATACAAATAAAAATGCTCTTATGGGCATTAAACAAATTTAAATTTCCATATACAGGGTGGCTTTTCTGAAGGTGCCCAAATAAATGTATTTAATTAAATACAAGTGATTTTTAATATTTATCTTTTTTGTGTAAAATTATTTATGTCTAGAATTTAATAAAAAAAATGGATACACTTAGAAAAGCCTCCCTGTATATATAGAGCGTGTCATTACGACCGTGACAATAAATGAACATACGTCTAACGCTACTTGCCAATAATCATAAAAAAAAAACAAAATAAAAAAAAAACGTAATTAAAAAAAAATTCCAACAAATTAATGAAATAAAAAAGAATCAAAATTTGTAACATCCTATACAGCTACAACTGACTAATTCATACATTCAGAGACTTTTTCGTTTGCCACAGCGTTGCGATACAAATCTCTCCTTTTAACAGTATGTTATCTATTTTAAATTCATTCAACCCATTCTTACGCTTTGTGACCTTAACAAATAAACTTTATGTTACAGTTTTATTTTTAATATATGTTTAGATATATGCAGTTTCTGAAACACTGATCATTGTAGAAATTAACTAATCAGCTGTCAAATGGCTTTTTAAATTTTATTTGAGTTGCCAAAAGGATTGCTAAACTCTCTGACTTGATCAGAATGATCTTCTTAATGATGAAAGATTTTAACAATCCTTTTGGCAACTCAAATAACATTTGAAATCTTTCCACTTTCAACCATAAAATGAAAACTATTCAATCAAAAGTAATTAATTTAGTTACCACTGTAATTTTTAATGAAGGTATCGTTTCTTTAACAAATAGTTCTGCCGAGTCTCTCCGCAGGCTTGCCGTGGGTGGATCAAACTGATTGTATGCTGTTTGTTCACTTTGCGCCTCCACATTGTAGATAATTAAATGTCCTTCTGAAGTCTGAAAATCAATTTCTTCATATTTAAAATGTGACCTCATTTTGCATCTGTAAATAAATCTTTGGGTGATAGAAAACAAAATAGGTAAGATGTTAACTCTTTTGTTTTAAAAAGTGCACCTTACTTTTATAAAATAACATTGGAGATAAAGCAATTCAAATATTCTCACCGATATGCATATCATAGAAGAGTCAGGTTTCCATTCAACTCCTACATTAAAACCTAGTCTCTCCACAGAATCCGCATTTCGCTTATGAAAGACTATTGGAACAGTAGGCTGTAAAAACAAATTTTTTTCATGCCTAATAAAATAAATTGTATAAGAATATTTAACAACTAGTTTAAAGGTATATTAAAAAACACAAAAACACATCAAAGATGATATAAATAAAACTGCAATTACATATTGAAGAAAATAAGTTTTAAGCAAATTTCTTTTAAAATTGTAAATTTATTCATGACTATAACATATTGTTTTGACATTGTTTTGACAAACAACCACGGGGATAAGTAAATTTTTAACATTTCATTGCTTCCCCATAGGTTTCCTTCCTTCAGAATCTTATAGAGTACATTATCATCCTCACTTAGGCATTTACCTAAATATGCTAAACATTTCAATTACAATACTTCATATAAAAAAGTAATACTTTTAAAATAAAAAAGTCATTACCTTACAAAACCATATGACAAAAGATTCATTGGTTAAAGACACAAACAATATTTTATCCCTGTTGGATACAATTTGTTTGATTACTTGTCCGTCTGCTTCCAAGTTCTTGAGTACTTTTGGCCATCCTATTGGAAAGTACATTATGGTCTACCATTTGACAAGTTTAAGAATAAAAACGGTGCCCTTTAAGCCGTTAGTAAAAGAAATTTTCTTCTTCTTCTAAGGCAATTAGCGGTCCATATGATTAATGATATCGCCAATGACACAATAATGATAAAGAAACAAATGGTTTTAAATATCTAAGTATATTATCTGGTTGTTTATTTTTGAAGCTTTGAGTAAAATAAAAACTTCTTCTAAGGCAGTTGGCGGTCCATATGATATCGCCAATGACACAATAATGGTAAAGAAACAAATGGACATTCAATTATCTAAGAATATATTCTGGTTGTATATTTTTGCCCCGTTTTTAAATTGAAAAAAATCAACAAAAACTTAACTACAATCATTTAAATTAGTTGACAATTTGACAAACAGAAGTAATTTTTTGTAAATGTTGACGCGATGTTGACGTTTACAATTACATTTATAAACAAATGTTTAGTAAAAATGCAATCAGCAGTAGTGATGCGACTCAAGTGATTTTGAGTGTGAAACAATACAAGTCAATTATTTTTTAACGAAAAACAAAAACGAATTCAAATATCTAATCAATATATATCAATTTTATAATTGATTTTTAGGAGTTCCCTTCGTATCTCCGGAGCCCAAGATCCAATATTAATGAAATTAATATGGGTTCACATGGGCAGCACAAGCGTTCAAAAAGAATCATCAAAATCACTCACTCGGAAGTTCTGAGGTAACAAACATAAAAAAATACAGTCAAATTGAGAATCTTTCTCGTTAAAAATTTATAGAAAAAAGTACGAAAAGGTTTTTGTCGCTGCAGGAATCGAACCCATGTGTTCTGAATTGGCGCCCAGACGTTTTTAACTATTAATCTAAATGGCTCAATGCCAAACGACAAAAAGCTAAACGTCTTCTATCACATTGTTTTTTCGTATTTCAAGCAATACTTGGTGCATCTATTGTTACATTCTTTTCAGCATGCGCAATAAAAAAAGCAATTAATCAGCGACATTTTAAAATACCTTTTTTTTGTTCTCCTAAATCGGGATATTATTGCATTCCCGAGGAAATTACTAGAATATGACTTGAATAGGACCACACTTTTTAGCCAAGTCGGAAATAAACGTTATCAAGCTAAAGTTAAAGTTTAATTGCATCGTAAAAATGATCTTATCTTATAAACTTAATTCAGGTAGGCATTAAGTATTTATTATTATTTAAATCTCTTTAAGATTTCTATTTTTCTCCATTTTTTGTACTGCTCTAATAATGTGCTCTTTTTTAATAAAATTTTCTATACAGTGAAATACTATTTATTCTTTATATCTTTATAACTTAAATGCCTTGTTACTAGGCCCTAATAGATAAATAAAATACGTAAGCACGTAGTTATTTTTATTGTTAGGTACCTTACTTAGTAATACTAACACTGCTGTCTGTCTTTCTGTCCGTCTGTCTGTCACCAGGCTGTATCTCATGAACCGTTATAGTTAGATGGTTGAAATTTTCACAGATGTATTTCTGTTGCCGCTATAACAACAAAAACGGAATACAATAATATTTAAGTGTGGCTCCCATACATACAACATACATGATTTTTGCCGTTTTTATGTTTTTAAGCCTCAATGTGCTAGTCCAACTCGCACTTGGCCGCTTTTATTAATTAATCTAGTGATGGTTTCAAACAAACAAAAGCACAAAATTGCATCATAAATAATAATAATTTTTCTATCTTTTTTATTTCCAAAGGTTCAACTTCTACGTAAGATTTTCGATTCTACATCTGATGGATATAATAGATAAGACATCTAAACTAATTATAATGTAGGTTCATACTGTTCTAAAATCTGTTAAAATCACATTGACTTACATAACCATAAATATTTAAAATATTGTCATATGGCAATTTTAAATCACCCGAAATCACTAAAGTGGTATTATTTTAGATAGTATTTGGTAAATGGTAATTTGTTTATGGCGATGCTTAGAAATCAACATAAAATATTATTGTTCTTTCGTACCTGGTGTACCTACATGATGTGTTGTTTATAAAGTAGTTAAATTTAAGGCAGAATATTACTGAGCATGTTTTATTGAAATGAAAGTTAATATCATATGTTATGTCTAAACAAATTAACTTGGAAAGTAACAACCCCTGTTCTTCTCTGGAAGATTACAGAGCAGTATATATGTATCAAGAAAACCGCTATAAGCTTTCTCAAAATACGTCAGCTCATTGTTCTTCATCAAGGCAGGACAATTTCACAAGACAGTCATCATGTGAAACTGAAGTTGAAATATCTTCAACTGTGGATGATCCAAGTGTAAATAGTGAATCAAAATCATGCAACGATTCAAAAACAAGCTTGAAAGTGGTTCCTGAAAGCAGTGTGTATGAAAAAAAGAAGGCTAAGTCACCAAAAAAAAAGGTAATTACAGATATAAAGATTGGTAATATAACCAAAATTAAAAAACGACAGAGTGTAGATTGTGATGACAGCTGTGATAGTAGTAGAAGTGCTACATCTTCAAAATGTAACGACAACAACATGTCTGATGTGGCCTTAAATAAAGATAGTGCAATCAGAGATTCACATGTTAGCACTACACAGGAAACACCAGAATCCCTTGAAGAAGATAACTCCACAGCAGAAACCAACGAAACAATTCCAAATCTTTTACAATTGGAACAAGTCAATGTTCAAATGAAAAAGCCAATTGTATCTAAAAGGGGAAGACCTAGGAAACATTTAGTTTCAGATACGGTGACCAAACCTAGCAACCCTGCTGATGAAGTAGTAATTCAATTTGACCCAGAAAAAATAAAAAAATATAAGAAGCGGGGTCGCCCAAAAAAAGTACAAACTGAAGAAGTAAAAACACCTATATGTTCAGATAGTGAAATAAAACCTAAGGAAGTAAAAGAAAATTCTCTTTTGGAATGTCGGGCAAGCATAGTAGTGCCTTCTGAAAATTTGAACACAAACCTCTCTTTACAAACAGAAAAGGACAAAAAATTAGTCCATAAAGTGCATAGCCCACAAAAAAGGACAAACACTCAAGTAAAAAATAATATCTCTGAAGAAAGCATTTGCCCACAAGAAGTTGTTGCATGCCCTGGCAATAAACTATTAGAACATAATCAACATTCTCATGAAAACGTGGATGAAAGTAAAATAAAGGAAATTAATGAGGAACAGGCTGCAAATGAATGTGACTTTAAAAAAGTCTTGCATGTTTCTAAAGAAAAATGTGATGAAGATGAAACAGATGATATTTCCCTTAGTAAATTGAAAGAAACTCTAGAAACTTCTGATAAAAATGAACTATATAATACAGTTCCTATTTCTTTACAAAAAGGATCAATCATACTTGATAAAGAAGGAAAAGATCATTCGAAATTAAATGAAAATTCTACTAAGAGACATTCTAGAATGCCACACATGTCAGATTTTGAATACAACATAGACAGTATAGTGTCAGATTCTGCAGTTAATCTTAAAAATGATGAAGAAAAAATCAATGTAGTGAATGATGAGCAAACAACTTCTTGCATAGCAGAAAGTTCTAGTGGGGGGAGATCACTGCGTAGGAAAGGCAAAAAAATTTTGCATTATGATGAAAGCTCTGATGAAGATCCCTTTGCAAATGTTGAATTGTCTGATGATGATGGTGAACCCAGAAGATCTAAAAAGGGGAAAAGGTATTTTTCAGATGATGAATATATACCAGGTAAAAAGCATAGCCGAGCGTCTACATCTGATACAGCTGACAGTGACATAGACAAAACTGAAGATGATTTAAAAAAGACGAAAAGGAAAAAAGTTGTTAATAAAAGTCCAAAGAAAAAAGGAAAAAAGTATGATGCTGATGTTTTAAGAAGACCTTCATATAAATCACTAAATGAATCTAGTTGCATTGGAGAAGATGATTTCAAATTTTGCTCAGAAAATTCTGTTATTAAGATAGATGATGATAATGTGTCAGATATTACAAAATCTATGGATACATCTGATGAATTTGAAAGTTTTCTAGCTAAAAAGATTCAAGGTACAAATTTAAAAATAAAGAGAGTAACAAATGTTGAACCTAGAGCCATAACTCCACTAGAGATTCCTATTCTTGATCACACAATGATTAATAAAACTGTTGAGATTGCTTCCCAGACAAATATTACTAAGACTAAAAGTACATCAGTACAAACAACAACATCTTATGATATACCAATGAAAACAAATGTACCTCTTTCAGTTGAACAAGCAAAAAAAGCTTGCACATTTCTTAAAGATATTGTACAATCAACTTCTGAATTAGGTGAACTAATGACACAAAAATCTGAGGACTTTATTAAAAAAAAAATAAACACTACACATGTTACTGATACATTTAAAATGGATTATTGTGTAAAAAAATCTTTTTTATTATTCAAACTCGCCAAACACAATCTTATGCAAATGGAAGAAGACTTATCTAAACAATATGAGACTTTTCTGAAGGAAAGTAATTTAATGCAATATAGGGAAGAGCCAAAAAGTATTATACCAACATCAATGATATCAGATAATGACAGTGACTGTGAGATAATTGAAGAATCTTTAGATTCTGGTACAGAGAGGGTGCAAAGTAAGGCAAAACCTAGCTTCAATCTCAAGACTGTCTTTTTAAATAAAGAGTTGTCAATCAAAATTGCCAAAAAGCCAAGTGAAGAGCAAAATGTTAAAGACAAGATCAATATTGAAGGCAAAAATCGCGTATGGATAAGCGATTCAGTGCTGGTTAAAAAAGTGAAACCTACACAGTCTTTTTTAGAACAGGACAGCCGCAATAAAAAACCTCCTGATATATATGTAACAAATGAAATGGTAAGTGACTTCTTTCAGGAGTATTATCGTCAAACTGTATCATCAATTTGTGCACCTTTTATAAGCACAGAATGGCAAAATTATAAGCAAAACCCTATTTGTTGTAACTACTTTTATGTTGAAACAATACAGTGCAGCGATAGTGTTAGTAGAAATTTTCAAAGTGAAGGATCAAATAACATCGATTTAAATGGTCCTAGTCGTGAATTAATAGATGAACAGACTTATACCAATATAAATGGTAGAAATTCATATCCGAAGTCTTTGTTTGCACTGTGTATTCAAGCTATCCAAAATATAAATGTTTCAGTGTCTGAAATTACAAATGAACAGACTAATACCGATATAAATGGTTGGAATTCATATCCAAAGTCTTTGTTTGCATTGTGTATCCAAGCTGTGCAAAATATAAATGCTTCAGGTCCTGAAATAATAAATGAACAGTCTAATATCACAATAAATGGTAGGACTACCTGTCCAAGAACTTTGTTTTCGCTATGTGTTCAAACTATGCAAAATATTAATGCTTCAGGTTCCGAAATTATAAGTGAAAAGTCTAATACTATGATAAATGGTCGGAATTCTTATCCAAAGAATTTAATTTCACTATGTGTTGAAGCTGTTCAAAACATAAATACTTCATATCCAGAAAAAATAAATGAACAGTCTAATACTATAAAAAATGGTAGGAATTCATATCCAAAGAATTTGTTTTCGCTATGTGTTCAAAGTTTGCAAAATGTAAAGGCTTCAGGTCCTGAAATAATAAATGAACAGTCTAATACTAAAATAAATTGTAGGAAACCATATCCAAAGAACTTGTTTTCACTATGTGTTGAAGCTGTTCAAAATATAAATGCCTTAGGTCATAAAATAGTAAATGAACATTCTAAAACCAAATTAAATGGAAGTAATTCACATCAAAAGACTTTGTTTTCACAATGTGTTGAGGCTGTACAAAATATAAATGCTTCCTCAAATCCTGAAATAATAAATGAACAGTCTAATACCACAATAAATGGTAGGACTTCATGTCCAAAGACTTTGTTTTCACTATGTGTTGAAGCTATGCAAGATATAAAGGCTTCAGGTCCTGAGATAATAAATGAACAGTCTAATACCACAATAAATGATAGGACTTCATGTCCAAAGACTTTGTTTTCACTATGTGTTCAAGCTGTGCAAAATATAAAGACTTCAGGTCCTGAAATAATAAATGAACAGTCAAATACTACAATAAATAGTAGGAAACCATATCCAAAGAACTTGTTTTCACTATGCGATGAAGCTGTTCAAAATATAAATGCTTCAAGTCCTGAAATAATAAATGAACAGTCTAATACCACAGTTGATGGTAGGACTACATGTCCAAAGACTCTGTTTTCACTATGTGTTCAAGCTGTGCAAAACATAAATGCCTTAGGTCATAAAATAATAAATGAACATTCTAAAACCAAATTAAATGGAAGTAATTCACATCAAAAGACTTTGTTTTCACAATATGTTGAGGCTGTACAAAATATAAATGCTTCTTCAGATCCTGAAATAATAAATGAACAGTCTAATACCACAATAAATGCTAGGATTTCATGTCCAAAGACTTTGTTTTCACTATGTGTTCAAGCTGTGCAAAATATAAAGGCTTCAGGTCCTGAAATAATAAATGAACAGTCTAATACCACAATAAATGGCAGGATTTCATGTCCAAAGACTTTGTTTTCACTATGTGTTCAAGCTGTGCAAAATATAAAGGCTTCAGGTCATAAAATAATAAATGAACATTCTAGCACCAAATTAAATGAAAGTATTTCATATCCAAAGACTTTGTTTTCACAATGTGTTGAGGCGGTGCAAAATATAAATGCTTCCTCAGATCCTGAAATAATAGAAGAACAGTCTTATACCAAAATATATGGAAGGAATTCATACCCAAGCACTTTGTTTTCACTATGTGTTCAAGCTATGCATAAAGATATGTATCAAATGATTAACAATAAAAGTGATTATGAAATTGATAATTGCATAAAAGATGATGCAGATTCAATACAAGTTAAAAATCATGAAAGATATGGAAATCAAGAAAAACTGTCTCAATTGTGTTTAAGAAATATTAGACTTATGTTAACTGGACACAATAAACACACCACTGATTTAACTTTTAAACAAAATTATACCTTAGATACAAAGACAGTTTATTCATTAAAATCATTGTGCTACTATAAAATTGTTCAGGAAACATTTCCTCCTACTATTCTGATGGATAATAATGAATATCAAAATAAAGCTAATAACAAGTTAAGTCATGAAGTTGAAACACTAGTTTCATTGTGTTATAGTACAATACAGTGTGGTCAGATAACAAATAACAATAATGCTAAGAAGCATAGAAGCATTATATTTAAGAAAAATACACCAAATTCACTGAAACAGATAGCATATTCTACATTGATAGAACACTATTATATGAGAAATTATACAAATAAAAGTCTCATTGATGATAATGTTGCTGATGTTGATGACTTATCAAATAATAATAATAAAGGAAAGATTTCGAAAAGTACTCAGTTACCTGAGGTGCAATACATAGAAAATAAAACTATTAATGAGAGTGTGAATGTATCCACTGATGTTCCACTTTGTAGTTTAAAATTGAAAACTGTTAAAACATTGTATGAAATTTGTTTGAAAACGATATTCTTCATTTTTAATGCATATTGGAGAGACAAGATAGAGTGTAATATCCAAATCAATTCTGTTACCACTGTACCTGAGGAAGTTTTTGTTAATTTGCAAAATGGTGCATCAGGTTCTCATGATGACATTGATAACATTGATGATGAAGAATCAAGTTATTATACAGATGACTTAGTTGAAAATGACTGCGGAGAGGATTGTCACCAAGAAAAAAGTTACCATCAATCAAATGTTATTAATGAATTCAAACCTATTGTCATTAAAACTGTCAGTAATAGTAATTTGAAAGAAGTAATTACAACAAATACAAAAAATGACTTACTTGAATTGGGTCAGGTAAAACTAGAACTTATAGACAATGATATTACATTTCATGATGAAAATACGTTCATTAAACCGGAATTAACTGATAATTTTGAGGAAACAAATTTTATGCCTCAAATTGAAAACATAGCAATTGCTAAAGAAGAAAAAAGCTTACATTCATCTGCTATAACAAGTACAGAAAAAATTAACGATAGTTATCTGAGTGATTCAATCGAAGAGCTACTATGTCAACAAAATATTCCAGAAAATAGAAGTGATGTGAGTGATGCAAGTGATACAGAACTAAAAGTTTTCGGCCAATGTTCATTGAGAGTTCGGAAACATTTCGAACCCGATTCCGACCATGAAACTGACGATACTATGAGCTTATTAGTACCACAAACTTATGAATCTTTTGACATTGATAAATCTGTAGATGTAGAAAATATTAACTTGGAAGAAAAAATATCAAATAAAAAAAAGACATTAATTAAAACGAAGCCAGAAAAGCGCAAGGCAAAACCAAAGCTGACATTAAAAAAAGACAATAATACAAAAGAAGAAATGGCTTTGGCAAATGAGCTCGCTTTATTTGCTGAAAAACTGCATGATGATATGACAGAAGGACAAGAAAAAATTAGAGATAGGAATACAGATTGTGATTCTGATGATAATATTAAGTTAAAATTGAGAAGTCATGGAAGATTAAAAAAAGATGTAGCAAAACAGCCCACTGTTGAACATAAGTCATTAACAAATGAAGAAATTCAATGTAATGATGTAGATTCCACCCAACAAATCACAGAAAATAAAGAAATGTGTTCTATAAATGATAGTACAGAAATAGATTTGCCTGGCACAAATCATGGACTAATGGAATACAATGACTTTGTCAATACTTTATATTCTAAAATAAAAGATTCAAATAATTTTACTGATTTAGAAAAGGATTCATTGAATATGTCTAATATTTCTGGTTGTGTTGAGAATTTTGACGAATGGGACAGACCATATTCACCAGTGGTGCGTTTTAATGAACATACAGAATTAGTACAATGTGAACCGACCATGCCATTACTTAGTAATGACACTGATGAGGGCTGTGACAAAATAGAACATGATGCAGAATTAAAATTTGAATCTATGGAATGCAACTCCTTTAATAATGGTTATATTAACAAAGAGACCCCATTATCTTCTGAAAAACTTTGCAAGTGGAAGTGTTATCCTATTGATATAAAAGATACTAAATTATATCAACAAGCTATTGTAGTTTTAGATAGATTGCCAGATACCCTTATTGAATCATATTTAAAATTTCATAATCTTTCTATTAAAGGTACTGATAATAATGAAATTAAAAGGTAAATATGAACAAATACTTCGCCTTTAAATTCTCCAGGTTATTTGTTTTATTTAAGCATATTTCTTTTGACAGGTTAAAAAATTTACAATCATTGGACCAGAGGGAAATTGAAAGTACATTTGACTATACTGATGCTGATAAAACAGTTGAAACAGATTCCGTTGTTCATCCTTTTAATCCTGATCGGAAGGCTTTAACATCAATAAATGTACGTATTTTACAATTATGACTAATACATGTGAAAGTTACTTGTTTAATTATAAGTGTTTACAGGGTCATATACACATATGTACAGTCACACCCCGTTACTTCCGATCCCTGTACCAATACCAATAAAATTGTTTATAATGATCAAAGTGGATACTTATCACATGGTCAGTGGTAACTCAAAAAGTATTGATAGAAAACAGGCATGTCTATAATGTAATAGAATTAATAAATGTTTTGAAATTTTTATGGAGAAATTTCTCATTTCGCTGTGTCGCATTGGGGAATATAATCTATAATAACATTCTCCATATTAAGGTGGTGCAGGTGCTAAACCAATTAGTTCGGCGGTTGTGAGTTTGTTGAGTTGTGCTTTCCATGTGGGACAATGGGAACTATAAAACTAATATTGAACCCTTATAAGAATGAATTTTGAATGGATGAAAAGAAAAAAATATATTAATGTATGAAATAAATTTTTATCACATATGTATTACAAACAGTATACTTTGCTTTATTCTGAAAAGGTTAAAACATAAGCTGAAAATTAGCCAAATAGGATTAACTCTTGTAACTATTTTATTTGGAGTTAACAAGTTTTTTTTAAAGAAGAATTCCATATTAAACTAAGCTATTAAATAGATATTTAAATGCCAAAAATCTAGAAATGAATAATATTGCAAACAGTTGAAATAGTATGAAATTTAAGGTCATAAAAGTTTTTGTTTTTTAGGGTCCATACCTTAAAAGGTAAAAAAAGGAACCCGTATAAGATCACTCTTGTTTGTCTGTCGTGTGTCACAACCGATTTTCACATGAATGGGTAGACTTGGCATGTTGAAATTTATACCAAATACTGAGGCTATGTAGTCTATAGCCGTTATAAGGTGTATAAAAATCAAGGTCGACACGATAAAAAGATATGGGCAAATTTAGATTTTCACAAAAACTTGTAAGTACCAAAATTTTCAAGTTGTTGTATCTGACATAAATTTCAACTTACTAGGTCCACCCGTTTGTGAGAAAATCGGTGGTGATAATTTTCCAACTTTATTATGGCGGTGTCATAGGTTACAGTACCGGTACAGGTACAGGTACAGGTACCCATCGGCGTACTAGTACGACATTGCCCAGTTTTTTTTTTCAAAATTTATTGTAAAAGCCCACAAATCCTAGAGTGTTTCAAACTAATTAATTTACAGGATTCAGAGATAAAACAAGAGAATGTTGTGATGGAGAGTAATGTTAAAACAGAAGTCCAAGAAGATATGCAATCTGATCAATCTATTAAACAAGAGACAGAAGATATGGAAACTAAAATACCGAAAACAGTACTTCATAATAGAAGTTGTATAAAAGAAAAACTAGAAACCTCATCAAGCACGGAGACTCTGAATAATAATCCTGAAGTATTAATGTTGACGGCTGATAAAATGATGAGCAAAGAACTACAATTATTGTATTCGCAACCTGGAGTAAACGATGATACACCTCATATTAACAACATAATAACAACCCCAAATACATCAACTAAAAATCCTGTAAGTGATATTTTGGATATTGTTTATAGTTACTGTAAAATTTAAGATATTAAGCAAAAAGACCAACCTTGATTACATTAATATTTCACATTAAGATAATATGTGATAAGTGATAAGTTATATGTTGGGGCTAACTACAAAAAAAATCGTGTTAAATACATATTAACCAGTGTGAGTCCTGCCACATATGCCACTGGGTAAAATTATTTTCGAATTTGGAAATATAAATAATATAAATCTCTATGTATTATTTCTTAAAGGTGTTTTGCTTTATTATTGGAACACAAGGACTTCTATAATTCTTCATCAAATTTAATGGTTCAAAGACCATTTTAAATGTTTGCCTCTATTGGCAAAAAAAACTTATGTTTTTATAAAACTTTTTTTTAATAAGTTCCTATAATGAATATATGATGTAGCCAAGTGCAAAGACATAAAAATGATTTCATTTTACAACTTTTTTCTTAAAAGATAACCTTTTACACATTATTATTTTACCATTCTGTCACTCATCATGATAAAATAAAAGTACTTAAAGTATAGTTCTAAAATATTGCGCGCCTCAACTAGTAAATATATATTTCTTGTGTATATACAAGTTAGAAAAAAATATTATTTGTAGTTTAATGAAATATTGCTATATTATTATTATGAATAAGATTTTATTTGGTTATCTAACTTAAATTTTGGCTTTGTAAATGAAAATAACAAAAGTATATTTTGTTTGTTATGTATTTTCCTAGAAAATAGCATGCAAAAACGATGATAATAAAAACGCACGACACAAGGAAGACGTTGAAGACAATTCATCTTCGGAGGAAGAAAAACAATGGGTCAATACGAAGGAGAAGCTGTTGAAGAAATTAGAGAAGACGCAGGAGGATTTAAGGTGTTTTATTGTTATAATAGCCGAGTAGATAATATTGCACTAACGCCCGGTTTCTGAAACACTGATCAACGTAGACGTCAACTAATCAGCTGTCAAATGCATTTCAAATGTCATTTGAGTTGCCAAAAGGATGTTTAAACTCTTTAAATTGATCATTCTAATCATAAAGAAGATCTTTCTGGTCAATTCAGAGAGTGTAACCATCCTTTTGATACCTAAATTGTAATTTGAAATCCATTTGACAGCTGATTAGTTGACATCTACGATGATCAGTGTTTCAGAAACCGGGCGTAAGAGACGCAAATCTGCGTTGACGCATTAAACATTTTTTGTATCTAATGAACCTTTCAATCGATACTCAATACACATATGAGTTGTTCTATGCACAAATAGATTGACTCAACTTTTTGGAAAATTTTAATAAATTATATTTTTTTAATAAATTATAATTTTAAAAATACCATTAATTTATAACTAAATTATTTTAATAGCCATTTTGATTAACTCCATACTCTAATGTAAATTATTTCAATAAACCTATTCAAATACTGGCAAGCGCTAAATCATAACGGTAATTTTTTTATTGCCGTCTTACCAGAAAGAGGCGCGGTAGAGCCGCAGAAGAGTTTCTGCTGTTGCATGAATGTGCAGGATTTTTCGAGGAAGCAACATGTCCTGATAAAAACAGCGTGAAGGAGAAGTAATAATAATAATGACTTTATTCTGAAGAAGCCTAATTACATTTTAATTTCTTTCTGGCTCCAAAGTAGGCAATGCGCCTGTCCTATGGGGACTATAACATTATAAGTTCGCCTTTCGTCTGGTGTTTGGGATAACCGTGGCCCACTATAAAATATGTCAAAGCATCTGTAAGCCCTCAGGTTTTGAAGATATCCATGGTCCGTGGGCGACGGTTATCACTTAACATCAGCTCAACCGCCAGCTCGCTTGCCACCTTCTCACAAAAAAATAAGCGTCAACTCTCTGAAGACTATTTTCATTGACCAAAAAGGATCGTTTATTTATTGTTTTTTTATTATTCACAGTTTGGAGGAAGCTAAACGTGCAAAGATTGTTAGCGAGTTTTTGGAGAAACACGATGGCCCGGAGATGCCCAGAAGGAATTTGGCAAGGAGAGGTACTCGCTCCAGAAGGAGCATATTGGAGGAGCAAAAACAATTGAGGTAAGTTTTTGGCTTTTGTTAACAAACATACACTTTATCTCTGATTTAAAGTGTATTTTTGAATTCAGAAGTTCGTAGTCCAAATTGTAAAAATTAAACGCAATATAGCATTATAAAACTCACGCCTGGTTTCTGAAAGTAGTTTAATTTTTCAATGATTATAAAAATAATTTTCTATTTCGCATTTCCCTTCGCAGTGTCCTGACGGGTCCTGAGTTATTCGGCGAATCCTCCGGCGAAGCAGTTATGGCGGGGAAGAAAGGCTCGCAAACATTCGGCAAGGGGCGGCGCAACATCAGAAAGGCAAGTTATGGATCATGTTCAATTATTGTACACTCCGAAATTGGGATTTCAAAAATTTTTGTCAAAAGCAAGTCTACACAAATTGCTTGAGCGTGGGAGTAACTTAAAATAAGTATCATCATTATCATTTCAGCTTGTTTGAATCCTCTGCTGGACATAGGGCTCCCCCATAGACTGGCACGAAGTATGATCCTGTGCCACCAGCATCCAACGACTTCCCGCACATTTGCACAGTTCGTCACTCCATTAGGGGTCGTCCTACACTGCGATGGCCAGTACGAGGCTGCCACTCGAAAAAATTTTTTCCCCAAAGTTTCTACGAGCTATATAGCCGGCCCATCGCCCCTTCAGCTTGCTAATCCTCTTAGCTATGGCGGTTATCTTAGTTGTAGTGCGGATGTCTTGGTTACGAACTCTATCACGCAGAGAAATAGTGAGAATAGCCCGGTCAAAGTATGTACTTCGTCCAAACAATCACCCTGTATAAATTCTTATTGTGTTTTTATTTTACTATTCACCTTATGTTAAGTGATAACCGTCGCCCATTGACATATGTACCACCCGCCCGTACCACCCGTAGCCTTGCAGATACGTTGCCACCTTTAAATAGAGTGGGCTCGGCTACCTCACTTACTAGACGAAACGCAGAATTATAACACTTCCAATTCACGCCGGTCCTCTGTGGTCGTGATACATCCCCATACGGACCAATCCGTTAGTGCAACAGCGAAGACTGCTACGCGACCGCAGCAAAAGCTTTCCGGTTCACTTGATTCATTCTGCGGAAAATGCGGATTTATTTTTATTTTATCCCGTCGCAGGTCATAGACAAAAAATCTCTAGCGAGGAGTACGGTGCTGGCCAATAAGGAAGAGTTTGAGCGCAAGAAGCGCCTCGTTGCACGCCGGGCCCAATGGGCAAGTCTCTTTTATTTTTTTTTTCTTATTCTTGAAGCGTTCTTTAAAAAGCCCAGTTTATACTTAAGAACCCATAGCAAGGGCTATTTTAAGAATTTGGTATGGGCCCCGCACTTGCTTAATCCGGCACTGACTGGTGCTATTGGTATCTGGCCTTGCTATCCTGATTACTATCCAACTATGTTTTAATAATGTTAATTAATTTACAAAAGTGTTAAGTATTGGACATGATAGATTTAATAATATTTTGTTATATTATTAAATCTATCATGTCCATTTCTCATCATTTATCATATTTTGTCTCTATTGTGAAAATTTACATAAGAAACGTCGCTGCGACTCAACGACCCTAATTCATGGTCAGATCGTCAAGCGACCGTCTTAATCGCTGCTCAGCACAATTGTTGGTGAATACGGCATTACGCATTGCAGAAAGAGTTGCTCGGCAGCGAGGACGTGCTGGTAGTGGACGGAGAGGTTTGCCTAGAGTACGATTTCAATGTGGGCCGGCCTATTGTTAGCATCCACCCTTACTTCACGAGCACCATGAAGGCGCATCAGGTACGTTAAAAAACAGGAAAATCAGGCCGTCTGTATCAGATGTGCTGCTTTTTTCTTGTAAAAAATCTGTTTTGTCTCTTTTTTTTTTACAATCGATTTTCACTTTTATTCTGAACTTTTTCCCTTTTCACATAGTCCCGGTGCCGAAACCGATAAAATCATTAATTTTCAAACGCTGATTTGTCACGTGCTCCGCGGTAAAGGATAACACAGTGAAGAAACCAGCATATTTTTTCTCTTGTACTTGTACTCTTGTATTAACTGATGTTTTTGCTTTCAGTCCCAAGGCTATTAAATGTTCATCTGACTCAGAACCGGTCTGCTAGCCAGAACCCACGGGTTTGGGTTTTATTCTCACTGTGTTAGGACCACGCAACAAACCTCGCTATTGCACGAATGGGCAGGTACGTCAGGGGAAGTACCACGACCTCACAGAAAACCGGTCTGAAGTGGAAGTATTATACTTCTGCGTTACGTCTGGTGAGTGAGGTAACCGGGGCCCACTTTATTAAAAGGTAGAAACGCATCTGCAATCGTACGGGTGTTGCAAATGTCAATGGGCGGCGTTTATCACTTAACATCCTGTGAACCGCCAGCTCGTTTGCTACCCTTTCACATAAAGAAAATCTTTTCAAAATAATAACAATAATAATTAACATAATTATGTTAATCCTTTGAACCCGCAGTGGGGACGCATCGTGGACCATGCTCTAATAACATCTGTACAGAGAAGGCCAATTAGTATTTTTTTTATAGCGTGTAATTCATAATCATTTCTTTAATTTTTAGCGCCAGGAATGACATAATGCGTAGGTGAACCGTAGAAATTTATTTTCTCGCCGCCGCTACGAAACCCGTGGGCGGGGAAACCTTTCGGAGAGAAAAAAAAAAAAACAAAACTTCTACGATCCGTCCGCACATTACGAACGCCATCGTTTTGGCGAGGGTGTCGGACTGGGGCACCGCGCGGGAACCCCGACCTGACGGCACCGTCGCCCGACTGTTCCCAGTACGACGGCGTGAAGTTCATGTGGGACGCGTGCTTCGAGAGCCTGGAGCTGGTGCGCGCGGGCCACCCGGGCGGCGGCTGCATCCTCGCGCACTGCATGGGCCTCGGGAAGACGCTGCAGGTGCTCGCCCTGCTGCACACGGTAACCGTCCCCTTTACTGACGCGGGGAGAACCTTCCCACGGGAGAGCAGTGGGAGGGGAACTGTAAACGCTTTGGGAGTAGGTGGGAAATCCCGGACAGAATATTTTTTTTAACATGGGGATTATACAGCGTGTCGTTACCATCGCGACAATAAATGAACACACATATAGGGGATAACTTTTTAAAGTTGTATTAAACATTTAAATTCGTTAGACATCAATATTTACAGAGTTATTAAATTTTCCAAAACAAAGAATTTTAGAACACCCTTACTTATAAAAGCGTAACGTAAAGTTCATTTGTAAAGGTCACAAAGCATATGAATGGGTTGAATGTATTTAAAAGAGACAAAACATACTGTCAGAAAGAGAGGTTTGTAATACGACGCTGTGGCGCGAGTTGTATAGGTGTTACAAATTCGAAGCCGGAGTCCCACAGGGAAGCTGTGTTGGGCCAATTTTGTACGCGGTGTACACCAATGACATCCCCACCCTGGAAGGTCGCCTCAGGGAGGGAGAGAGAGGGGTCCACTTAGCGTTGTACGCCGACGACAGTGCGTATCTTACGTCATCTCGTCGGCTCGAAATAGCAATCTCGAGGATGCAGAGGCTGCTTGACTTGCTGCCTGACTGGTTGGATAAGTGGCGGATAGCGATCAATGTCGCCAAAACGTCCGCGATCATCTTCGGTCGGAGTAGCACGAAGCGGCCTCCGTTGGCTCTCCGAGGGCAGAACATCGAGTGGCGTCCCACGGTAACTTATCTCGGGTGCACGATAGATCGCGCGCTAAGCCTAGTCCCCCAGGTTAACAATCTTGTTAACCAAACTAGAGCCGCTCGCGCGATACTACGTCCCGTCTTGGCATCCTATCTGCCGACCCGAGCTAAGATCGCCGTGTACAAAACGTATGTTCGCTCTCGGTTAACCTACGGGGCACCTGCGTGGTACGCCCTTATATCCAAACGCCAAAGGCATAGATTACAAGCCCAGCAGAATCTCGCTCTTCGAACTGTCGTGGGAGCGGGTCGCTATGTCAGAAATGACATTATTGCGAGGGATTTGGGAATCGAACCCCTCGAACATTTTATAGTCCGTCGCGCGTCGTATGTTCGACCGCGCCGATAACGGGCCTCACCTTCATTTACGCGGATTCGCACCGCTTCACGCTCGACCACCAGAGTGGCGCGCGCTCCCACGAGAGGTGTTGCTATTGTCCGTCCCGCCCACGCATAGGGGGGCGAGGGGGGGGGGGACGGCGAGACCGACGCAAACACCTAATACCGTCTATATAGCCGTTGCTATGGTGACAGTTTACTGTTGTCATAGCAAACGCTGACGCAATTAGCGCGTGTGTAAATAGTGACTGCCAGTTGTAGACAATTAACATTACATGATTAATTTATTAATTATGTAGTGTTGAATGTAAACAAAGGGCGGTCCATTTACATATGCACTAAGGGCGATTGTATGCTATCAGTGAGATGACGTAGCGTAAATTCACGCGTCACAGTCATAGTGTCCGAGCCGAGTTAGGCGAAAACATTTCCCGGGGGGACGGTGCGCCCCTCGAGACAATGCCCGGGGCATGGGGTTCGAGTCCCCGATACCCGTACCCGCACCTACCCGACTGTTAGGGCAGTGTGTGGACGACCCGTGTGTGTGTGTTACAAATTTTGTTTCTTTTTTACTTAATTAGTTTGTTTGAAAAAAAATTTTTTTGTCACCTATCATATCCGCTGGGTGTCGTTAAGGGTTCGCTTCTACAAGTAGTTGCAAAATGACAGCTAACCCTTCACATTACACTATCACCAATGCTTATTTGGAACATTTTGTATAGTAAACGTTATCCACTGAAGAAAAAAAAGGTTCCAAGCTAATTGTTCCTTTATTTCTTTTCTCACTAATTATCAAGGAGTGTTTGTTAACTGGTTCAGGTATTGACTCATCCACACGTGGGTATGCAACGCGTTCTGGTCTGCTGCCCGCTCTCCACCGTTCTTAACTGGGTGGACGAGATACACAAATGGATAGGCCCCGTTACAAACAATATCAAGGTAACTTATTTTCTTTACTTATTGTTAGGAATATAAACTAATTGCAGGATATGGTATAAGAAATTTTAATTTAATAAAAATTTGAGAAACTTTATTTACAATTTTATGATCTATGTACTAAAAGTCTCTATAATTTAGTTATAGTACTTTATAGTTTAGTTCTATTATTTACAGTTTAGTTCTATCTCTATAGTTCAGTTATTGTACTTTGTTATTGGATTAAATAAATAAAAAAATTTAAACTTTATATTACATTTTTTTAATTTACTAAGGTACTTTACCAGGTAATTGCCCATACGAGACTCAAGTTTATTCTATTATATCGTTTTAGTAATAACAATAATGGCGTTCTATTCTAACCAGGTATTCGAGCTGTCCAAGCTGAAGAAGACCTACCAGCGGGCGTACCAGCTCGAGGACTGGTACAACGGCGGCGGCATCTTCATAATCGGCTACGAGCTGTTCCGCAACCTGTCCACGCTGGACCCGAAGCTGGACGGCCTCAGGCCGACCATAGTGGCGAAGATACGCGCCGCGCTGCTGGACCCGGGGCCCGATATCATCGTCTGCGACGAAGGCCACCTGCTGAAGAACGACAGCTCGGTGCTGGCCGTGGCGATGAGCCGCGTCGCCACCAAGCGGCGCATCGTGCTCACCGGCACCCCCATGCAGAACAACCTGCGCGAGTACTACTGCATGGTCAACTTCGTCAAGCCCAACCTCCTCGGCCGCTACTCGGAATACGCGAACAGGTTCGGAGTCGTTAAAACAAATTGTTTTTGTTCGGTGCAGTTTCAGGCTGTGGTATGGCCGCCCGGGACGGTATTCTCCATTGCACGAGTGGGCGGGTGAGTACCACGACTTCAAAGAGAACCTGCGTGAAGTGGAAGTGTACGGTACTTCATCGTTTCGTCTGGTGAGTGAGGTAGCCGGGGCCCACTTTATTATTAGGTCGCAACGCATCTGCAACTCTACCGGTGTTGGAAATGTCAATAAAGGGCGGCGGTTACCACTTAACACGAGGTGAACCGCCAGCTCGTTTGCCACCTAAAATAAATAAAAAAAATATATGTTTACAATAAATTTAAGTCCACTTGAACGAGCTTGGAGCGATCAATTCATTTCCGGAGTGCGTTATCATTTGAATAATCATAAAGCGCGTTAGGGAAAAATGATAAGAGTGAAATACTCGATAGTTTAACGCCGTTAAAATTGAATCACCATGCGCTGCTTAATCAACAGATTTATTTATCGCGAGTAAACCTCACTAAACTTGCGTGACCTGTTTCAGATTCGAGAACCCCATAATGAACGGCCAGCACCGCGATTCGAGGGAGGAGGACATAAAGCTGATGAAGGCGCGCACCCACATCCTCCACAAGGTGCTCGAGGGCTGCCTGCAGCGGCAAGAGGCGTCCGTTCTCTACCCGTACCTGCCGAAGAAACACGAGTACACGGTGTTCATACCGCTGACCAAGTGCCAGAGCGACCTCTACAAGCACTACCTGGCCCACTGCACCCGCCTGGGGAAGCACAGCGTTCTCAGGGACTTCCACGTGCTGCAGAAGATTTGGACCCACCCGCAGGTTCTGCATCTGTTCCAAGTGAAGTCTCGTCCTAGCGACGAGAATGCCAAAGTTAAAGGTGAGGCAGATGAGGTCAGGCTTTTTTTAAAAAAGTGCATTGGATACTTTGCTAATTTGGATTCAACATCTTTGGATACAAGGCTTTTCACGCTGAGTTTACCCAACTCCTAATGGCCAAATTATAAGCTCCATGAATTGCAATTGGGGTGGATCAATGATGAAATAGATAAAAAAAATTTAAGTCTGACTAGAAATTGTTTTTTTTATTTAACAATTTAATTTAAGTGTATCAGTATAAAGGACTTTTAATTACTTTTTAGTAACTTAATAATTTTTTATGTTTTTTAGCGGAAAAGCTGGAGGATGATCTGGCTCGTGAGGACTTGACCGCCAGCGAAGACTGCAAGCCCGACAGCACGGAGGTCTGGTGGCTGCAATATCTAGAAGGTGGCGATATGCTCCAATCCTTGGAGAGCTCCAACAAACTGCTCGCCGTTTTCCGCATACTTGACGAGTGCACCGCCCTAGATGACAAAGTGTGAGCCATCTAATCTTCTAATAATGTTTTGGCGAATGAAACAAAACGTCACTCTATTTCGATAATATTTTGTCATTAATTTCTAATGCACTCTGACTGTATAGATCAATGGTTTGTGTGGGTAACCTTGGCAACCGTAATTGAATCCAGTGAGTTCGATCCCTGACTTAAGTTCTTCCTTAATGTATCTGTTATTTGGGCGATTATGATGTGTTAATTCCTGGTGTCGTTTTTTTTTTTCTCATCAAACATAAAACCCCATTGCTCTACACACGATCGATTGAATAATTTCGCCTTGGCGTTGTGCGTTCCAGCCTGATATTCTCGACGTCGCTGTTCTCGATGGACACGCTGGAGTACTTCCTGAAGCGCATCAACGGCTGGAGCCTGGGCAAGGAGTACTACCGCCTGGACGGCTCCGTGCCGCCGGAGGTGCGCCAGAAGTGGTGCCGCGAGTTCAACTCGCCCAACAACACCACCACCAAGTGAGTTTCCCAAGCACCGGTGGTTTTGATTTCGCACCTGTTTCCCGTTAGAAGTTAGCAAGACACCTAAAATGTCTCCGGTTGCAGCAATTTCACTTGCTTCTTACGAAAGTAAAACATTTTCATTAACAAAAAACAAAACCTACTTGAAATATCTTATTCACTATACATTATCTATTTGATTTGTATCATGAGTATCCTGGTGTACCGTCTGAATCCAAGGTCCAATAAAAAAAGCTTAAGCAAATCAAATACATAATAACTTTTTAAAATTGGTCAGAAAGCTTTGAGAGGTAATAAACATAAAACCTCCAATGGGAAACTCCTCCTTTTTTGAAGTCGTTTGAAAAACCACCTTCTTATATTTGTATTCTGTATTGGTTAGTTCCGTCAAAATCTTCGAGCTCTGTTAATTTCGCAGATTTGAGAAAGCGTCGTTTCAACTACAACTTTTTTATACTTCCTTACTAATGATTTATACTTCCTTACCATACCAATTATATATACCTTTTTTATGTGAGATGGTGGCAAGCAAGCGGGCGAAGGACCTGATTTTAATTGATAACCGCCGGCTACGTCACTCACTTTACGAAACGCTAAACTATAAATACTTCCACTTCACGACTTTATTCTGTGAGGTCGTGATACCCGGACTAGCCTGTGCGCGCGACTTTTTTTGAATTGGAAAACTTAACAATGAACTATAAAATTAAAATGTTTTTCCAGATTGTTCCTAATATCGACTCGGGCCGGTTGCCTGGGACTCAATATGACTGCTGCGAATCGCGTCATCATCTTGGACACATCATGGAATCCAGCGCACGACGTACAGAGCATCTTCAGAGTCTACCGCTTTGGACAGAAGAAAGACTGCTATATATATAGACTTGTGGCATTGGTAAGTATCCAGAAGTAAAAGAAAACCTAAACCAGAAACCTCTACCAGAGTTAAAAGAAATGCGGCGTTGTTGAAGAGCCGGTCTATCGCGGTGATATCGCATAGGTCCTATAATAGTTAAATAGGTTCTTTGTTTGCATTTTTCGAAATGTGTATAGGTAGTAAACTCTTTACTTGCGAAGTAACTTTGGTTTTATCGTCAATCACATCGTCAATTTCGTTTTTGGTGAAAATCTACAATATATTTTAGCGGGGACTGTTTTGTGATTGCCGTTTTTACACATAAAGTTAATTTTAATATACGCTGGTATATTGTATGTGTTTACGTAATTATATAGTATTTTACTTACACCGCTCTTTTCTAAATACGATCGCAGTCTGTACGAAAATAATACCTATTTAATATAAATAACAAAAATTAGTTTGTTAAAGGAATTAATTACTTGCACTTAGTGTTATAAAAAATACTATCATCTAATGTATATTAATTACCAATCAATGCAACAATTGACTTTTTTTTATTAAGAAATATTTCTTTTAATCATAGAGCACACACTACACACACAGGGAAAAAATATCGATATTTTTCCACACAATTATCGATGTAAATTAAAAATTAATTATTCATATGAAAAATGTAAAACCCAAAAAATATGTTAATGCATTAATATTTGCTAAATATGTATTTGTTATATACGTTTTCTTTCAGGGTACGATGGAGCAGAAGATCTACGAGAGAGCGGTTACAAAGCAAGCGGTGGCGTGTCGCGTTATTGATGAGCAGCAAATTGACAGACATTACAACATGGATGAGCTAACGGAGCTGTACAAGTGAGCTACTGTCGATTTAGACATTTAAAAAAAAAGCTATATCTAAAAGGAATTATAGAGGGCTACTTCGTAATAAAAAAGAGCTCTCGGTTACGGACTACCTGTACTAAAGATGAAACATTAAAATTTGTAAAAAAAATGGAAATAAATTGTCTACATAAAATACCTTAAACATTTTCTGCGTTATGGCGCGATCGACGACTTGGATTCAATTTCCGCAGCGGAGAAAAGCATTTGGTCTATTTTTTTTTTTACAAATTTAATAATGATAACATGACAGTTGCGTGTACTGGCTAGTTCGTAATAAAAAAATAAAACTAAATGTAAGGTGCGATATTAGTCGAGTCTGTCTGTACCGATGAATGAAAAGAGTGAGCATCAGAAGTAAAGAGCAATAAAATCGCACAAAAATCTCAAATTATAGCTAAGAACCGTCACGTCAACTTGTTGTCAATAAAACCGCACCATAATCTGTCCATTCGTTCAGAAGCGGGGGTCAAAGAACGAGCGTACGAAGTGACCACAGAGCGGACAGAGTCCGCAAAGTCAAATGTTTTTTTTTAACACCAGTGCCTTAAAAGGGAACATCGATATTGATATTTTAATAAACATCGATACATCGATATAGTGAGTGAACAAACGACGACTGCTCAGGTTCGACGAGACGGGCGCCGGCGTGGCGGGCGGCGTGGCGGTGGGCGTGACGGACGTGGCGCTGCTGCGGGTGGCGCGCGACGCGCCGCTGCACGCCGTGCACGAGCACGACTCGCTGCTGCGCGGCTCCGCGGAGCAGCAGCTGCCCGAGCACGAGCGCGCCGCCGCCTGGCAGCAGTTCGAGCGCGAGCAGGCCAGCAGGCGTACGTCCCAACGCCCGGCCGCCCACTCTCCCTCGACAAAGAGATAGAGCCGTGAAGGACGGAGAGCTCCCCTTCTCTATCTCTTCGTCACTTCGCTTTATTTTATCTGAAAAGTTGCCAAGCGAGCAGACGGTTCACCTGATGTTAAGTGAATACCCCCGCCCATGGATATCTGCTACACCCGAGGGATGCAAATGCGTTGGCAACCTTTTGGAAATTGGGCTCCAGAGCCTTATCCGTTTAATAAAGTGGGCCCCGCTTACTTTACTCACCAGGCGAAACGCGAAAGTATTATACTTCCACTTTACGCCGGCCTTCTTTGACGTGCTATTTAACCGGACGGACCTGACCATTCGCGCAACAGCGAGGCTACTGCGTGGCCCTACCACCATAACTTTTCTCTCTTCCTCTGTCTCCCCTCGTTCCCTCCGTCACTAGTGGTAAAAAAAATCTACCGCTAAGTTTCGTTCGCCAGCTCTCCAGACAGGTGGCATATCTTTTCTGAACCAGCAGTAGTAGAATTCTAACAATCAATAAATAATACACCTACACCCGGTTTCTGTAACCCTGATCATCGTAGAAGTTAACTCATCAGCTGTCAAACGGCTTATTAAATGTTGTTCAAGTTGCCAAAAGGATGGTTAAACTGGTATTGAATTAATCTGAATGATCTTCTTTACGATTAGAACGAACCAATTCAAAGAGTTGACCTTTTGGCAACTCAAATGAAATTTGAAAAGCCATTTGACAGCTGCTTAGTTAACATCTACGATGATCAGTGTTACAAAGATCGTATTAAAATTTTGACAATTTTTATTGATTCTCAAAATTATACTACTTTCTATATTGAGTACTTCGATATTGACGTTACATATTTAAATTTTAATTCACTTTTGCTCTTTCCTTCTCTCTGTTTTATATGCGATATCTATCTCTCTCTTTCTTCTCGTTTGTCTTTAATCGTATCGCGCTCACTCTCTTCCAAATAAACTTTATAACAACTTGTAAATGCTCACGCACGCAATGGAAAAAACTGATACATTAATAGGCTCAATATTTAGATGCGTAATAACTTACTAATCCTAAGTACAGTACAATGAAAAGAAGCTAATTTCTCCTTACTCTCTTTTGCAGAACTAAAGAACCTAGGGGGAAGAAATCGATCCCCCACCTTTACCATGCCAGTGAAGCGACTCCACGGCCACGACTACGCGAAGTCACCAATTAAACCACCAGATACCAATGAATCTGCAGTTAACGACAGCACGATAGATGAAAAAGTAACTTTACGAACAAGAAGGGAACGCAAGTGCACTTTAAAATATCGTGTCGATTTTGATGAAGAACCGTGCACTAGTGCGCAAGCCGCGATCCAGTCACCGAACACAAATGACGTTGACAAGGAAAGATTAGTAGTTGAAAAAATAAAAGCGATCTTGATTCAGCACAATTTCCAAAACAAGCACGGGGCCGCCGAGATATCGGCCTTGGTAAACAGCGTGCGAGAAGTTATAACCGCTGGCTTGAAAGGTAGCCCTTCCGAATCGAGCAACGTTCTCACGGCGAGTATAGCGAAAGCGTTGATCGATTCTAAAACTATAAGCACCCAATCGGCCGGCTCAATCTCCGAAAGGTTCGCTCAGGAGCCTAAGAGGGAACCAACACCCGACACTGAATCGCAAGACGAAGTCGACGATTCGCAGAACAAGATTCAACACGAAACCGATATAATATCAGTGGATAAGAAAGTGAACCTCAAGCGGAAAGCTGAAGGGGAGGACGTGCCTCCAGTGACTGAAGACAGCGCAACCGGCGCGAAACGGATGAGAAGGGCCGCTCTAAATGCGAGAAAGAAATTTAGCTTGATCGATTCCGCTTTACCTGTAAACATTGACGACGACGACGAGGAGTGGACTCTCGAGGATAACAATAGCACACAGCCGCTTAGGCTAAACAAGAGTGAGAACAAAGCGCGGCCTGAGAATGCCGCCAACGGGAAACTGTCGAGCTGCGATAACACCGCCGCCAGTGGCGAACAAACGAAAGCAGTGACGACCGTCCATGTCAGAGCGGCTGTAGCGGAAGAAAGCATTCTACTCAGCGACGACGACGACGTGATAATATGGGACGGCGAGCCAGAGCAGGCGGCCGCAAGCAAAGAGGACGAAGAGCCAAAGGGGGCAGCCACAAGCGAAGAGGACGACGAGCGAAAGCGGGCAGCCGCAAGCGAAGAGGAAGACGAGCGGGTGCCGTTGCACGAATCGGTGCTGAAGAGCCCCAGCTTCATCAAAATAGTGGCGCACACCTATCAGTCGCAGAATCCCGCGCTCGAAGACGGCGCCGCGCAGCTAGCGGCTGCTTACGCCACGCAAAACGTCCTTAAGGCCATCCAGGCGGGAAACGCCGTTTACGACGGCCCTATATACGACTTAGCTATGAAGGTTATTACCTATTTACATTGAATAAATATCTTCGGACATATGTTTACACAACATTCTCTAGTCCCAAACTAAGCAACGCTTATACTATGGGAACTAGAAAACTGATAAACGTACTAATATATGCTTTCCTTTTGTAAATAAATACATAATTTACACCTATAAACACCCAGACGCTGGAGAAATACTATGTTCACCATACAATATTTTAAGTAGTGGGGTTCGAACCCACACCCGCTGGCGCAAAAGGCAGTTTGACTGCTTCCCACGCCAATCGAGTTGAGATCGCCTCTAAGTTATGTTGTTTACACTTGTGGTTAATTTATTAGGAAGCTCATGTTGTATATGTGTATAACGCATGAGTTTTTTACGCAAATAAAGTGGCTTGGTGCGATCGTTGATCAAGAAGAATTTCGTACGTAGACCTACCTTAAGATAGCGGTCATTACATTACATACATTCTGTGCGAGTGTGGAGTATATTGCATATATATCGGCAATATATTGGAAGAGCAACAAAGACAACAAAACAAGTCAACGTACGAAATTTTTCCTGTTTCGTGACGGGACCATAGTGGTCATTTTTAGAAGCATTTATAATTATTGTATCGGTATTAACTTATATAAATGGTATAAAAAATCTTATTTCAGTACAGTAACAGTACAGTAAATAAAACCATTGAAAGTATCGTACTTTTATTGTGTAAAGGCTCTAAACACCGAAAATGCAATAAAACGAATAGTACCAACAGCACCGTATTATAACAATGTCCTTTTTTTGTGATCAGTTCGATATATTTTTCATTAACCACTGTAGAAGCCGAGCAATTTAGTCGGTTAATTAATACATTCGTTTTTTCAGATAATCACCAAGGATGTATTAAAGAAGCTTCACAATTCCACTTCAAAAATGACCGAAAACTTAAAGATGAATCAGAACGAAGACATTGATAAAACGCCCAATAAGCCTTCTACAAGCCAAACCAAAGTTGATAGCGAGCCTTCGGAAATAGACAAACTAAAAACATCACGGACCGAAAAACACATAAACGCCTCTTTCATAGAAAAAGGCGTTAGCGAACGAACGCAAAAAACGGAAGATTCTCTTACCCACGGCAGGCAAAATTCACAAACAAATGAAGTGCTAAATTCTCGATCACTGGAAAAGGAAATTGCCGGATTAGAAGAAAGCCAAATTTCTAGAACGCGACAACTGAAAACTTATCAACCTCAAACACCAGAGAAGCATGATTCACGAACACAACAAAGTCAAACATCTAAAACACAACTAGTTAACACTTATCGAGCACAAAAACGAGAGCACTCTCCAGCAAAAGAAGAGCAAATTTCACAAACACAGGAAAAGCAATATTCTTGGTCACGTGCAATACAAAATTCTCAATCACAACATGTAGAAAATTCTCTAACAGAAAATGTGAAAATTTTGCGAACTAAAGAAGAGGAAAAACCTCAAACTCAAAAAAGTGAAATCTCTCAAATGCAACAAGTGAAAATTTATCAGGGAAAGAAAAGTCAATATCCTCCAACACAAGAAGGGCAAAATTCACGACCACAAGTAAAACAATACTCCCGGTCACGAGCAATTCAAAATCCTCGATCGCTGTTAGTGGAGAGCTTTGGAGAACAAGAAATGCAACATTCTCGATCACAAGAAACGCAAATTTCCCGAGCACAAGATGGGCAAACTTCTCGAACACAAGAAACACAAATTTCCCGAGCACAAGATGGGCAATCTCGAACACAAGAAAGGCAAAATTCGTCGGACTCGGACGATTTAGTACTGATTGTGGACCCTGCAGGAAACGAACCACCTACTAAAATCAAAGACAGAGGTAGCATGGAAGATTCAAAGTCAAGGCGTATTAAAGACAACGTGTCTAAGGTGTATTTCCCAGTGAAACATAAAAGTGCACCCAACGCCATTTCTACTACGAATGCGCCAGCTTCCGTCCAGAAGTCAGCCCCTGTTAAAATGTGAGTATCGTATCCTGGTAAAGGGACAAAGTGAATCAAATAGATTTGGTAACATTATTGAAAATATGTTTATCTTTAAGATAAATTACATCGCTTATTGATGATTAAATTTTAACATAAATTACCCTAAATAATACATCTATGATTTAGGGTAATTTATGTTAAAATTTATTATCGGAAGCATGTTTATTTTTAGAACTAGCCAAGCTGGGCGTTTTTTTGTCTGTCTGTTCGTCCGTCCGTCCGTCCGTCCGTTCGTCTGTCCGTGCGTCAGTCACCAGACTGTATCTCATGAACAACATGATTTATAAAAGAGTTCCCCTTTTAAAGCTATACTTTAACAAAAAACAAAAACTACTAACCGTGGTAGGGCCACGCAACACGTTGCACGAATGGGCAGGCCTGTCCGGGTAAGTACCACGACCTCGCAGAAGACCGACGTGAAGTGGGAATTTCATACTTCTGCGTTTAGACTAGCGAGTAAAGTGACCGGGGTCCACTTTATTAAAAGGCGGTAACGCACCTGCAGCCCTACGGGTGTGCCAAATGTCAGTGGGCGGCGGTTATTACTAAACATCGGGTGAACCGCCAGCTCATTTGCCATAGCTCATTTCACATAAAAAATTAAAATTTTCATTTTCATAAAAAAACAGGTGCGTGTACTTATCTACGCGCGTGAGAAGTTATACTTCTTTAGCATCATTAAAAATAGTTTTTAACAATAATTGCATGCAAATAAAAAGACTGGAAAAGGATATAAATAATAAAAATAATAAATTTATGAAAGCGCCCTCTACATACTTTATTGAAAACTGTAAGGGGCGAATGTGCTGCCTTCTATAATATGGGGTTTAACGGGCGGCTTCAAGGTGTGACTTTTGTGTTACAGTGATGCGCGCGCATCTTAAAATTTCACTCTCATCGTTTTAAGTTTGTCATTTAAAGAAGTATAAATTCAAAAAAAGTGCGTGGAGTCCCTCCGCGCGGAAGAAGTGAAACTTCGAGTGCCACGCATTCGCTCTCGCTTTGTCTCTTTCTATTGGCCCTCTCCAAGAGTGTTCAAGGTTTAACGCAACAGCACTTTTATACCCCCTCCATGGTAGCCTTAAACGTTTAAGGCAACCTTGTTGGAAGTCGCATTAGAAGTTTCACTTTAATTAAAATGCTATCTAAGTCTCTATCCCTCTTCAATGTTATTTTTTAATTAATGTCATTCACTAATGGTTGTGTCGTTCATTTTTCGAAAGTGTCATTTGCGGAGGGCAAAAGGCGTGTCCATTCAAAGAGGAGCCGCCGAGAAGAGAAGGAGGTCCGGAGAAAGACGACGGTGATGACGTCGTCCAAGTGATGGTCGTTGACCCCCCCATGCCTGCCGTAAGCAGCATTCCGAAATTGAAGAGACGCCACTCTAGACATATGGCTGTCAACCGTGTACTGGCAACCGACGTACTAGTTTCGCACCGCCCACCGACGCACCCAGCTGACACATCTATTCAAATAATCTTAGACCCCATCACGACGGCATCGGTAAGCCAAGTCCCGCCTGTGGAAGAGCCGCTCGTAATATCCGACATCGATCCGATCATAGCTCCACCCTCCGAGGGGGCTAACGTACTACAAAGCACCGACGCCCCAGGTTCGGATGCGATATGCATAGACAGCGACGAGGAAGAGCCCCTCCAGATGCAGGAGATGCCAATGTCGCAGAGTCCCGAAACTCCGCAAGGCGGCAAGCCACCATCTCATGCGCTGACCGAATCATTAGAGGATGTTGGACTAAATGAAGCTGCATCCACATCCGCACAAAATCTTGAAGATACTGCAGCCGGCCAATCCGATCGTACACCAGATATCCCAATAGATATCGATGATTTATATGGAGACCACCCAAAGAATCTTAACCCTCCCAAACTTAGCACCGACGACGGCACTTTCATCGAGGTCGACGACGAGGCCGATTACGTCATCGATGAACATCCGCCTGATGCTAGCGCAAACGCTACACCGATCGCGACTGCAGCGGTGCATGCCAACGCCCCCAAATGTGTCAAAATCCTCCAAGTCGTGAATTTCCTCAACGCTAAGAAAGCTGCCGCCAACACGAATAAAGCTGTCGACAACACGAATAAAGCTGTCGCCAACACGAATAAAGTTGTTGCTAACACGAAAAAAGCTGTCGCTGACTTGCACGGTAAGGAGAAACGCAAAATGACCGCGACTAGTTCCACGGAAGATCCGGTCCAGATATTACACGAGTTCACTCGCACTCAAACTGATAACTTAGACACCACGGATGAAACTCAAACACTACAACCCGCTCCGGCCAAAGAAGGTAACATTTGGACAAACACGAGTGCTAAAAAAATCGTTTCAAACCAGATCCTCCCCATACGCAAACAGATTAATTCCACCAGGCCCGCGCCTCTAACGTTGCTGCTGAAAAAAATCAAACAGATAAGGTCATTAAACACGAAGACGAATCCGACCTTGAAACCACTCTCAGAGGCGAAAAAGTTGGCATTGACAAAAGTTGACACGGGCAGTAGTGGTTCGACGCGAAAAATCGTGAGCGTCAAAAGAGACAGCGGTTCTAAAGGCAAAAGTCCTCTCGTAGCGAAAAGCGACGCAACGAAGAGCTCCAGCGCGATTGTCGGATCGGCGAAAGAGATTATGATCAGTCGTCGAGTGGACACAACTCCGCCGATGTCCAGCACGGTCGACTTGACGTTAGTATTCTTATAATATTTACCGTTTTAATAAGTCTTTTCATTAAAAACTTTCGTACAAAAACCACGGCGAAACAATGTTTAAATATCCAATGCAAACAGTATGTGATTGTCTTTGATATGTCTGCAATAACAAAATGTAACATAAGTGTGTATTTAATAGACAAATTGTTATTATCTAGTAATTAAAAGTGTCGGCGCTGCCAGGAAACATTGTTAAAAAAATTATAGATATCAAAATTCTCGCTTTGTGAGGATATCGCTTAGCTCATTTGGCTTCATCCAGAAGTCGCTGGCATGAATTCTTGCAGTGCTGAAAAAAATTAACAAGAGTTCAAAAATTATTGAATAAAAACACACAAACATTATACAGCGTGTCGTTACCACCGCGACAATAAATGAACACACTACTTGCCAATAATAAAAAAAAAAATAATGTTAAAAAAATCCATAATTACAAAAAAATATTTTTCAAACAAACTAATTAGGTAAGAAAGAAACAAAATTTGTAACACCTATACAACTACTTATGACTGATTCATACATTCAGAGACTTTTTCATTCGTTGCCACAGCGTCGCATTACAAGCCTCTCCTTCTAACAGTATATTTTGTCTCTTTTAAATTCATTCAACCCATTCATATGCTTTGTGACCTTTACAAATGAACTTAACATTAAAGTTTTATACGTAAGGGTGTTCGGTGTTCTTTGTTTTGGAAAATTTGATAACTCGTTAAATATTGATGTTTAAAGAATGTAAATCTTTAATACAATTTTAAAAAGTTATCCTCTATATGTGTGTTCATTTATTGTCGCGATGATAAAGACACGCTGTATATGGAAACAGTTACCTTAATATTACCACCGCACGTACATTTACATTTACACATTCCACAATGCAAAGTCGAGTACTACGAAAATATACGAGGCGTATTTGCAGTAATACTGTTTAAGAAACTGATTTGAGAGTTATGTTGATATGAATATTAACAATGTCTGTTTTCAGGAATATATATACTAATTGCGAGGCACCGATAAAAGCCAACGTCGGCCAAACCAGTGATTGCAAGAAAAGGACGATAAAATCCACCAACTTAGGTTCAGCGAAAAAACCGAAAACTGGTTCTAACAGTGAGTATTTTTTACGAAATAAGCATTGGTGCTTTCAAAATTTTGTTAAAACTGTTTAATTTCAACCATGTTGGGTGTGTTCAACAGCAAACGCTATCGCGTTAGAATCAGCAAATTGCAATTAGCTTCAAAAAGGCTTAGTAACAAATTCTTCATTTCTTTTTTTTTTTCAGAACTATTAACTCTGAAGGATTTCAACCTTGACGACATTGACGATATCGATGATATCATAGAACTTGACTAGTATTTAATTATGATAACGTCTTATTACATATGTTACTAGGGTCGCATATGATAAATATTTTTTATTGTTAAAAAATAGATTTGTATGTAATATTACATTGTCTTAAAATAAGGGGAAAGAAAAAGATGACTGCCCGTATCTGCTTTTAATTTTGTTGCTAATTGTGTTTTTTATTTTATTTTTTAAGTTCTTTGACGATAAGGTTAAGAGTTATGCAAATACATATGATAAAAAAAGGAGTTTTGAATGTTGGAAAGCATAGAACTGATTAGATTTCCTTTATTCCATTATTACGTTAAATTTCTTAATACGAGGAAAGATCACAAGAATATTTTTGATCTATTTTTTTTGATTGATGAATGATGTAATTTAAGTAGTTTTCGTAAATCTCTACATATAGTCACTTGCATATAACACTTATTTACTATTTCTTTGATTGTGATACTATGATTGTGTACTACTTTTGAATATAAATTGAATTTAAAATAAAAAAAAATGCTGGGTCAATGTTCTGTATTAGAGAAAATTGAACCTTCAATTTTAATTGAATTGTTCTAATTTGCATGATTACACATGATAGCAGTTTGAATATATTTTTTTGTGTTATGAAGATATCATTCTTCACAATTTTTATAATATAACTTAGTAGCAATTTCTCGAAATTGCTGTGGTATATAGGTCTACCTAAGCATATAAATATATCTTGTAAAATGGGTCCGGCATTTAAAATTTGGATCATATTTAAGATTAAAATAATAGATGTTTGCTGCACACATGCTTGTATGTCTTGTTTGTAGCTGTTTTAATGAGAATAAATAAAACAAGATGATTGAAATAACCATATATTTTCTTTATCTTAAAACAATGATAAATCTTATATTAAAATAATTTATAATCCATTATTTAAAACATTAAAGCTTCTACATAGATATAGCTACTAAATTAATTTTAAGATAAACCAATAGGATGACTGACCAGTCCTTATATCACTTCAGTGTTTTCAATGTATATTTTGATTACATTAAAAGATCAATTAAATTACATTCTACTGATTTATTTTTAAAACATTGTTCATAATTATCAATTAAATATAAAGAAATAACATTTGCCACTATTTAATTAACTTAACTATTTTTGTATATGAAATATTACTTTGGCATGTGGCCAGAATTGTATTATATTGTTTTTAACACATGCGCTATTAAATCATTCAGAAACTCTTCACAGGAATTGTGTGTAGTGTTTGTCCAAGATCAATTACTTTGAATCTTTATGCAGTCACTTGGAAAAAGTTGTCCATAGAGCACTTACTGACATAGACAACGGATTAGCAATTTTGGCTATTTTATGCCCTACACCATGCCCACATAGCTTGTTGAACCGACAATTGTTTGGGATGGAAGGTTTAAAACGGAGTATGTATATACCAACACACTTTTATTATTATTATTATTGGATGTTGGAATCCATTGGATATAGTTGGCTCTGTACCAAACTTATTTGCAATCTTTATAGGATTTCTTCCAGCAGTGGACTGGTTTAAATTTCATGATGATGACGAAATATTAATAATTTGTTTGTATACAAAATACCACCAAAGCTAGGATCAAACATGGTGATAACCATATCTTCAAATCCTAGTCTAGTAGCAAATTGAGTGATAAAAAGCGGTTTCTTCCCATACATTTTTATGAACTTAGAATAGTACTTATATGCTAATAATACGGATTTAAATGCTTAAACAAAATTTGATTATAAATCTTAAACAAAAAGTGGTGATTCTTAACCCATAGTACATTTTTTTTTGCAGATAACATTTATTTTCTATTGAAAGATTAATAAAAACATTGCATGATAATTTATTGTATTTACGCCAATTACACCGATTTATCAGTCCCGTGTGACAACTGTGAAACATTGGCAACTAAAATTAAAAATAAATGCGTAAAACCGCCATATTTCATTTGGGACAACAACAGCTTTAAAATGAAATGACACTGTTTGCTTAATAAACATTATTATTTAATAAAAATGCCCAGATTATAAAACAATAATCACATACAAAATGAATAACACTTTTGTGAATAAATAAATGATAATAGGTATATGACTTGATCAACAACATAAACCACTACTGAGCAATTATTTAATTAAACGTTTGTTAATTAATAAGACATAAGTATACAAAAAATAATTAGTTTTATATGATATAAAAATATTCTTCATATTCTGTAAAGTATTCTTTAACATCGTTAATAAGTATGTTTTGAAAATAATTGTTACAACAATTAATATATATAGCTCTGGAATAATTTCAATTTTAATAAATTTTAAAAATAATGTACTTATATTTTTATGTCCCAAACTACATAAAGAAAGAAAAAAATCGTGGTAAATACATAGTCATATAGAATAACTTACTACGTATTTTACATTCAAAGAATTTTTTTACATATTTATGATATAAGTTTCATATATATCTATTGTAAAATGAAATTTTATGTAAAATTGATGCTTATCAAGCATATAACGTGATAGACCTCTATCGTGCAAAGCAATTTACAACAATGTAAAATAAACATTTATAATATGATCAATGAATTTTATAGAAAAGAAGAAAAAAAGATTAGATAATTAGGTATTGAAATAAATATTTTAAGATGTCTTAGGTTATATACATCTTTGGATAAATAACTCTGACTTAGTTATAGTTTATATAGGCTTCAATAGAAAAGACACAAAATATAATTTAGACATTTGAATTTTATAGTTCCGATATTATTTTTACTTTCACTGCAGTTATGCTGGGAGGAATGGTAATGGATAACAACTAGGCAATACATATGTTACAACAGATTGTTGTAACACATTTAATAACATGCCTAAACACGTCCTTGGATGTTATTTACTAGAAGAAATTGCGTAGCAAGTTATTGTGTTGTGTATATGTGTGTGTGTGTGGTGGTGTATAGTGTTGGGGCCGATTCTCCACCGAGATTGTCACCCTCCACTGATGGCGGCGCAAGGTGACACATACGACCGCACTCAGAAATCTCAATAAGTTAACGTAATTTGATCAAATGTATTTTTCAAAGTGACAAAGAAAAAGTCCTAAGTCTACCGAGATATGAGGTGACATTGAGATTTTCCCCGAGCATCTGAGGCCACTGGATAGAAGATTGGGTAAGCGTGAACTGGGCGTATTTTTTTCATGAAAGCAAACGAGCAGGCGGATCACCCGCTAAGTGATAACTGCCGACCATGGACACTCGCAATAATAATGGAGTCACAATTTGCCGGCCTTTGTGGAAGGAAATCTTGAAGGTCCCTTCCTTTCGAAGGTCCTTTCCTAAGAGATGCCTCACCGCGAACTGACCCTGGAAAGGCGCGACTTGTCGAAGGAGCAGATCGCCTGCAGAAGAGCCCCGCGACCCTCGGAGGGGCTGACGGTCGCCAGCGAGCCGTTGCCGCTCATGTCGCCCGCTTAAATATGACAATCGGTTGTTTGTTTACGAAAATTACTAATAACTGACGCCCGCTTTCTGAAACACTGATCATCGTAGATGTTAACTAATAAGCTGTCAAATGTCATTTAAGTTGCCAAAAAGATGATTTAACTCTTTGAATTGAAACAGAATGATCTGCTTCATGATCAGAATGATCAATTCAAAGAGTTCAACCATCCTTTTGGCAACTCAAATGACATTTGAAAAGGCATTTGACAGCTGATTAGTTAACTTCTATGATGATCGGTTTTTCATAAACCGGGCGTAAGTCTCTAAGGTGCGGTCTACAGAGAAACGGCACTAACATAACTCACATACAAATTTCCTTTTTTTTTAAATGGAGATTAATAAATTTCTCCGATATATATGTAGTACAAATCAATTTCCATTTTAGGTACAAATTATTTTTCCCAATTGCTTTCTCTCGCACTACATAAATGAAACAATTTTCAATGTTTCATTTATGATTTGATTAAGAGAATTAAATTAAGTTCAGATCAGCGCTATAAAAAAATATTAAATAGCAACGGCGGCAACTCTCGTTCGAATTGTCGTTGTAAAAGGATTTTTGAAATTATTTTTGTTGTGCAAAGGACATAAAAATAGATGTGCCAAGTATTGCTTAAAATACTAATAAAATACGTTGAGAATTTCGTCCGTATGGCAATCAGCCGTTTAGCTTAGTGGTCAAAGCGCCTGTGCGCGAATCCGGAAGACTTGCGTTCGACTCACGCAGTGGCAAAAACTTTTCGTATATTTTTCTACAAAGTTTAAAATGACAAACCGTTAAGTCAGTAAAGTGTAATGGGGGAAAGAGAAAGAATTCCTCGCCTTCCTTTAAATGCGATTTCGGTGTGAGTGTAAGATTTCTAATATATTTTAGAGATTATTACACATATATAGTAAAACTAGATTATAGGTTTAATCGAGTTTTTTTTTATTTCGATAATGTCGAATTTTCTTATAACATGCAGCATTCATGGTCACGGGACGGACTCAGATGTTTCACGTCTATCAAGACAATTGTGACTAGAGAAAAAAAATCGAAAGTCGACAATTTAAAAAAAAGACCGTAATAAAATCTTTTAAACCATATCTTATTGGTAGTAATCAGTCCATAAGAAACGAGCAGATAGTGAGGGTACTGCCATCCCTTTCGCACACTGCACTATTCAAGCAAAGTGGTGATAAATCAAACGGACAAGAAACTCACAGTGCGCGGGCGGTGTCGGCGAGGAGCCGGTGCTGGCGCTTTGCGATCGGACCGTTTCGGCCAGTGAGGAGGTCGATTTCCAAACGCCGTCGCGTTTCTTCTGTTGCAGACAAACGTGAAAAATAACACAGCATAAAAATTCAAAACGACCAAAACATGTAACTGCGTCAGAGCCAGGCACAAGTCTAATATTTATGACTCTGTGGCTTAGTTGCTAAGAACAATTAATTTTAACATGTTTACGTATAATCCGCTAAAGTTTGCGTTTCTTCTATTGGGTAAGATCTAAGGCAACTCAGATGCAACCCAAACGGTGTTGCTGATATACAATCAGGTACACCGTGAGTAACCTTTACTTAAGGCGTACAAAGTTTATATACATATGTGCAAAGATAGTCAATCTATATTGGTCAAAATTCTAGCTCGGTGCGCGCAGTTGCTTATTTTTTTAGATTTTTTTTAGCGAGCGTGAGTGATCACCGCCTCCCGCTGCCGGACTTTGAGGTCGGGTTTGACTCGCTTCTTGAAGGTCAATCCCTAAGTCGTGTTGGTCCAGGAATATAGCTGACTACAACTGGTTTCATGAAGTGGCTGAGTTTTGGCTTTTAAGTTATCACGGGCTGTGCATTCAATCCCGCGCGGGACAAGGAATTTGTGTTACCTGCAAATGATTATTCGGGATCTAGGATGTTATTTCATATATATAATATTACATAATACACATAATTCAGTCAAAAGAATTATTTTTAATAAAATAAAAAATATATAAGAGAATTTTGTAAGTTCCCGTTAAATTATACATTCAAGTAAGTAAGTGGTCATGAGTATAATTTTTCCTCTGAGAAAAAAAAATAATATAATACCAACTTCAATTTTATTTTATTATATGTGATTGTGATTGTTTCTATTAAGCATTACTTACAGCTCTCCGTTTTTGCTTCTTCATCTCCTGCTCCGAGTTGAGTATTTCCTGTATCCTAACTTCTCTCTTTGCACTTCGCAGCTGTGAAATAATTTGAAAGATCTATTGAGTATTTTATACGAATGGAAATCATAAAGCAATTTTTTTATACGGACGTTCTGTTTGTTGTAAGATTAAATTTTATTAGGAGGCTCGGAAATTCATAACCCTTTTTGATGCCACAAAAACATAATAAATGTTCGGACAAGAGCTAATATTGTAATTAATATCTTCTTGAAGGACTGGGGAATTCTTTTACATGCAAAATCTTTGACCTTTATCCGATCTTCATAGTTTCGGCCGTTAGGTGTTACAAACTTCTATTGACAAAATTCCTTGCCGCCGAGTATAGTTTTCGTAAACATTTGAGTCTCATTTGACGCCGTTGCTAAGGCTTTGCGTGTTACCTTAGTGTCCGTGCATTCGCTTTTGATTGAATATACTTGAGTTATCAGTAGGTAGCGGTAGGGTCGCGAGGCGCACTACGCCCTAATACCGTCTTTACAGAGGTCTTTGTCCAGAAATGGGATATACATAGATATACATGCTGATACTTTAAAGAGACGAGAATTGAGTACTTTTCTTGGGCGATGACTCTGTGGCACAGATGCCAATTGCTTCGACGCCGGGGGTCGTGATTTCGAATCCCACGCGGCACAACTATTTGTGTTAACTACGTGTTTTTGTCCAAGTAAATTTATGCATTTCAATCGCTCTTACAACATGTGCTGACGCTATCGTATAGTAATGGCAATATTCTAAAAAAAACATAAAAACTTTTAAGCTTACTTTGTTTCTAAAACGCATTGCATCGCAGAATAATCATTACGAAGGGCAGTTAAAAGACACGAGGCGAGAAATGGCACTTTGTGAAGTTATTTCTCACCGATTTCTGATCAGCCTTGAGCCTCATCTCGACGCCGGCCACCATCTTCTTCAACTCTTCCTTCAGCGGCAGCGGGAACTTGAGGTGGGCCCTGGTCGGACACCAGTGCGGCGTCAGCCCGTTGAGGGTTGCGCGCGTGAAGAACGGATGCTTGAGTAGTTGCTCCAGCGACGGTACGCCATGTTTGCAAGACGACGACGAGAGGCACAGTCGCAACACTGATTCTGGAATTGGTGCACTTTGTACTTACTTTGATGGATATTGTATGAAAGGGGAAATAAACCGGAGTGCGAGCCGGAATCGCGCACGAAGTGTTCCGTACCATCACCTATAAAAACATGTCTTTTGTATGGGAGCCCCACTTAAATATTTTTTTATTGTTTTTTAGTATTTGTTGTTATAGCGGCAACAGCATACAGCGTCTGTGAATATTTCAACTGTCTAACTATCGCGGTTCCCGAACAGACCGACAGACAGTGGGACTTAGGGGTCCCGTTTCACCCTTTGGGTACGGAACCCTAAAAACTAAGTGATTAAATGAGTAATAAAATTATACAACACCTATCATTGTATTAAAAATGGACTGCCTATGGAGCTTTTCAATTATATATTTTTGGATTTCTTGTTATTCCTGCTGGCAAATTATGTTTTATTTGTAATCCATTATGAAAGTAACCATGTCCCATAGACCAATGTATATTTAAATATAATACGCACCTAAATCAGCCGAGATTTCATCAGGAAAATAATCACAAGAGTATTGTTCTAAAGAAACTGCAAATGCCATCTCATACAGAGTGCGACCGAAACAGTACACATCTGTGGCTTCAGCTGTGGTGTTATGCCTCATTTCCAAGAGGAAGGGTCGGTACAGGCAGGGCACCCCCATCAGTATGTTTTCTAAATCCAGCAAAAGCACCTTTTGGTTCTCTATTGTTATGTTACCTGGATGTATATGGCCTAAAACAACAATACTGAAAACAATACTCATTGCTGTGACACTTGGTACTTATTTTTACGTCAATAATGCATTATTTGATGCGTTATTTAATATCACATTCAACTCCATATGCTAATAGTTACACAATCAGAAGAGTAGTTGAAGTATTTATAGACATGAAGCCCCATATGTTGATAAGTAAGTACTTATTTACATTATAAAATACATTTCATACAGTGATTGCATGTTGTTTCAATGTAATAATAACTATCTGTATATTATTCCACAAAAGTTTTTTTTTGTCCAAACACCATTACATCTACAATTGTTCATTAAATTTAATGCTACAAATACCATTTTAAAGCTTATTTTTAATAGACAAGTAGAATAAAGATAATGTTATCATAAATAGCAAGCATTGTGCGTTGAGCGTTCAATCGCCCGCCGAGTGACCTTGAATTTGTGGCCCATTCGGTCATTACTAGTAGGACGAAACTAAACGAAGTCATTCGCCAGAGAACTAAAGTTAACGACATCGCGCGCAGAAGTGGTAGTGGGCCGGCCATGTCTCCAGACGTACTGATGGTCGATGGAGCCGACACGTGTTAGAGTGGACAACACGATTAGGAAAACATAGTGTGGGACGGCCTAACGACTTAAGAAAGATGGACGGCGATAGGCTGATATTGTATCATAAAAAACTTTCTTTTAGAAATATCTTTCAAAGAACACACTGATTATGTATGACCGAAATTTACCATTACTCTTCAAAATAAGATATGTTTCATTGATAAACACTTAATTGCACATTATTATATTACCATTCATCAACATCCCACACACTTGCACAGGTCGTCACTCCATCAAGCGGGGGGTCATCCTACACTGCAATGGCCAGTACGAGGCTGCAACCCGAGAACCTTTCTTCCCCAACGGTTATCGGTTCAACAATTTATATGGCCGGCCCATCGCCACTTTAGCTTACTAACCTTCTGAGCTATGCCAGTTAGCCTTGTTCTACTGCGGATGGATGCTGGTGGCTCAGGGGATTGTGCTTTGTGGTATTCTGTGGGGGAGGCCTATGTTCAGAAATGGACTCAAACAGGCTAAAATGATGATGATGATGATATTACCATTTGGCAATGGATCACACTATGGTGCAAAAATGTGTCAACAAAGACAAATGAAATGAGTACACTTCTGATAAAATTCAATAATTAGATAATAGAGAGTTATATCATTACTGGTCACAACCCTCTCATAAAGATAGTCAAACAATTGATACAATATTCCAAAAAATATATATACATTCTATTATAACATTATTTAGGCAGGCAGTTTTTATCTCATTTACGCTCCCCCTCCCCCTCATTGTCAGCTTACTATATCCCAAACTTTTTAAGTTTCTTACTATTACTAACTATTATTATTTATATAACAAAGTATAAATAACTTTCTGTAAAAGAGAATACATGCAGATCACAAGCAGGTATAGTAAAATACATACGAGTCCAATTTTGCAACATACCATGTGGTAAGCCCTTGTCATGTAAAAATTTCAATGCTTGCAATATCTGATACCCATAATGTGATATTTGTCCCATAGTGAATGGTTTTCTTACTTTAGGATTAGCATACTTTGCTAAATAGCTCTTTGAATACTCGGTACCATACAAAATATCCCGAATACTTCCATTCTCATGTATTCTCCTAACCACATAAGCACCCGATTCCAGATTTTGATATCCTATTATATCATCAATATAAGGATGCTGAAAAAGAATACATAAAAGTATGAAATAATTCTACATAAAAAGTCATTTCAATAAAAAAAAATTATTTGTATTGATCCGCCTACAGAAGTCTATTGTAATTTTTGGTTGAGTTAAAATAATTAAAACCACTTACAGAGATACTCTGCAAACTTTTAAATACAGTGTTTAAATCTTTACTGCTTAAACATTTATCAGGACCAAAGTTCATCCATGAGAGCATGCAGTTCAGTTTTGTATCTGTGTCAGTTACCTGTAGGATATCAGCAATTTAATTTCCATAACAAAATACTCCAGTGCAATAAACTCTACACTTTGTTGTTTTTTCTATCTTGCAATGATAAGATATTTTAGGGTCAAATCCCTTGAGTTGCACTACTTGATGAAAACAATTGCTATATTGCGCATAAAATAACATAAATTGCAACATGTAAACTTTTATTAAGACAAATTAAATAAGTTTTCATGTAATTTCTTTTATTAGAAAATTTGTCAAGTGAGTAGAGGAATCACCACATGTTAAATGAATACCGCCACCCATGAATATCTACAATACAGGATGGCTTTTTGATGCACTGACAACATTTAAAATTGAGGACCTCGGTTACCTCACACATAAGATGAAAAGCGCTAGTTTAATATGATTGTTTCACTCCAGTCTTCTGTGAGGGCATGGTACTTCCCCGGACAAGCCTTCAAATTTGTGCAACAGCAAAACCTTATGCGTTTGCAAAAGTTTGAGATCTTTTATTCAGAATAATACTGACTGAGCAACTTCATATTATATGTATAATATTTAATACAATTAATCATAAACACAAAAACATAAGTTAAAATGTAACAATAGTAGGTGTAGAATATTTACAATATTATACCAGAAAGAACTGTTTCCGAACCCTCCAGCCTATCTCCGTGAGAGGTTCCTGTAATTCATAGCGGCCATCACCCCTTAATGCAATAGAAATTGTTTGAACAGCTTGCTCTAAACAAAAGAAAAATAATGTAAAAATAAATATTTTGCAATTAATTAATACTGATTTTTCAGTTATATTGAAACTAAATTTGTTAGATTGATAGCTTAAACAAATAAAAAATTTGTTGAATTGCATCTAATTTACCTCCTATGGATAAAGAATAATTCTTAGGATCCAAGAAGCTCCTCACTGGCAATGACAAAGCTAGGACCTGATGCTTTAATACTTCATTTATGTAGTTCTGAAAAATGTGAAGTAAATTACTGTTTGATTTTATAGATTTAAACAAATACTACACTGTAAAAAAACAGTTTATGGATTTTATCACCTTTAAACTAGTGTTAAGAAGAAAGGATGGTGTAATTAAAAATGGAACAAAAGATAAAACCGCAATTCAGCATTATGCATTATAAAATCAAAAGTACTTACTTGCAGAGCTACTTGTCTCTCAGCAATAAAAGATGGTTGCATGTTCCCAATAAGTTTTTTTGGTGGCAACGGCAAATCAATATTAGATTGTTGTAAACTTGTATGAAGTGCTGCGAAATCTTTGTACCTATGTGAAACATCCCACTTATTCTCTTTTGAGGGTCCCCGTTGTACTCGTATAATATATTCCTGTGGAAAATTAACAATTCTTAAGGATGAAATAACGAAGACGTTCTTCATAGTAAACTCTTCGAGAAAAGATCTTACTGTATGCTTATCAATATTTTGTGCATTTTCTAAGGTACAAACAAGTTTTTCTGTATCATCCAGCATAGATTTACTTAGAAAGGATTTTTCGAATATAGCCATCACGTTGAAAATAATAATAGATTTAATTTAATAAACGAACAATGAATACTACACATTTTGTTATCACTGTAAGGGAAGCAGCAGTAAGGGATAATTTTAATTTCTTCATCAAAATATTTCTTCGTATAGACACTATAGACCAATAAACAATAAATGAATAAATTAATGACAATTGACAACTGACATTGACATAGGAGTAGGACCACAGGCTGTTATTTAATTTTTCTCCTTATAGGATAAATAATACTAATGTATGTATGTTGCGTGAGAACCATAGATAAGACATATACAGCGTGTCGTTACAACCGAAACAATAACCACTAGGTTTAGTTGGTAGCATAGATAAGACATATATACTGGTTGGTAGAATTGGCCTGAGTTCATACATTTAATTACCTACATTTCATTTTTTTGTATGAAGTTTCCACGCACTGGCTTAAAGTAAAGTAATACTACGGTGTTTAGCCACCAAAAATTAGCCTGTGCTTGTATTATTTGCACTGCTATCAAAATATTTATTCTAAACATCACATATTACTACAGGAAACTAATCTTAGAACAATAGTTTATAATATTAAAAACAAAACTTTTTTATAAAATAAGTTGTAATACCTATAGAAAACAAGGATGTCGAGATCGATCAAGTCTTGAATGAATATAAAATGAATCGAACTATAAACAATATTTTATTAATCTAGATGGACGATTATACCTTTAGCCACCTGGTAATACACTTCGGTCATATACTATAAATAGCATTATTTATTTATAGCCACTACCATTAGCAATAGCCTTCATGTTAACCAGCGGCATCGATCATAATTTATAGCAAATCATAATATTAAAAAATTAAATATGTATATATATAAGGTTAGCAACAAAGTGATTGCGAACTTCAGTTATAGATTGTTTCTCCCTCCTATTTTTATGATATCCGTAAATATTATGATCTTCTTATATATGTTCACTGTCATCCTTACCTAGCTGTACAAGTTCATTGCGTACATATTGTGTTAGTTTTTTTATCTCTCCACTTAAGGACTGATAAGAAAACTATTTATTTAAACTTTAACATTTTGAACTTATTTTTGATGGAACGTAATCATTATGGAATTTTTACAAAATACGAGTTATGTCAGAAGACATGTTACTTCTTCAAGCAATTTTTACGGAATCAATCAAATATGACACAGTTCAGTCTGAAGAAATAAAACTAACATTCCAAATTTAAAGTAATTCAAAGATAATACATAAATCAAATAGGTCTGAGTTGACATCAAAAGAGTATGAATAATCTGAGATTATCAGATTACCAATCAAAAAGTACTATGACAAAAATGTATTTAGTCATAAGCTGCCAATGAATTTAAATATGTTATGTTTATTTTTTCGTGTAAAATGTGTATATTACCATTTTTTACTGTCTTTTTTTTTTTTCATAATAGCTCTTCACAACAAATCCTAGTGAGGTACTGAAACATCAGGCCTGTATAATTGTTTGTACTAGATTTAGATTTATTAAAGCAATAAATAATAAATATAATTAAAACATTTGTTTATTTATATTTTTATAAACTTTATGAGGTAATTGTAAGACTAAAATAAAGTAGTGAATTTATTAAATCAATGTAATGTCACTTGTTATGAAGAAAAATTCTAATAATTATTGATATCTTATTAGAAATAACTTTAATGCTTCGCAAATATCATTGAGACTTGAGAGTATACTTTTACTGAGTGAAGCACACAGTTCAGTTAATTTAATAATACAGCCGAAATATTTTGGAACGCCCAGCTATCTAAGTGGTTACTGGTCCGCTTTGCGCATGAACCACAGACAAATCTTATTGATTGTGTCATTTCCGGTAATACCGCAACGAGTCGCGAGCGGAGAAGTACACGGCCCTCTTGTCTGCCATTAATATTGAACTCAAGTGAAAAATGTCGCTGATCTCCGCTCGTTTGGCCTCCTCCGTGGCCAGGCGTCTGCCTAATGCGGCGTCTCAGGTAAATCATATTTTACTTTGTTACCGATTCACCTCAATAATTAAAATAATCCCTTAAAACTGGGTGCTCCGGCTATCACGTTCAAGCAGTCCATTATAAATTATATAGTTTTCGATGATTATTTCTTTAGATAAAAGAAATTTCGATGATGTAACTGCGTATGCCCGTGGCTATCATGTTCAAGTATTTCAAAGAGTATTTATCGAGAAAAATACGATAATAATTCTAAGGACTATTAGTTATGTAATAGTGGATAATCGGTATTTTGTCACATTACGATGTAACTGTTTACTTTATTACCTTTTGTAAGTAATAAAGTTATTTAAATCGGAGAAAAGGCCATGTTTCTGTAAGAATATTTCATAAAATAATTTATTTGCATTGGTTATGTTCGCCGACAGGTATCGAAGGTCGCGGCTCCCGCGGCTGCCGTCGCGTCGCGCAAGCTGCACGTATCATGCCCACAGCGTGCTGCCGAAATCTCCACCATCCTTGAGGAGAGAATCCTCGGTGCTGCACCAAAGGTAGACAGCCGAATTACATAAACCAAATATCTTTAGTTCAATTTATATAGTAATTATGAGTATTTTACAGATTTAAATGACAACGGATAAATATATGCATTCAAGTGGAAAAAATGGTAATTTACTGTTTATTGTTACGACTGTACCAATATAAATGTAAATCTATTTGTAAATATTAAACAGCTGATTATTAACCAGCTGATTATTAACCAGCTGATGTTTCCACATTGCATAGTGTTTCGAAGATGAAAATTTGTGAAATGACACTATGTGCTGATCAAGTTGTCAATTAATACAACAATAAAATATTACCTATTATCACATAATTTTGTTATATAACTTTATACATCTTTTGTATTTTATATTGACAAATTGTAAAATTGCACAAGGGTATAGGTACGGTAAGAATTTGCTTTAATAACATGATTGACAGGCAAAGATATCTATAGATAGTATCTTCAATATTGTACTTTATTTTTGGTTAAACATAATAGTTAAAAAGTCAATTGGAAATAAGCAATATGTCTTTTCCTACACAAATTAATTATGAAGTAAATTTTTGTTTTATCAACTGTTAAATGGTAAAAAATATATTGATAGTTGACAGATAATGGAACAAAAATTTACTTTATAAAAAAAATATAAAGTGGATACATGTATTTGTCTATTTACCATATGAGAGTCAATATTACTGACTAAATATATTACTTACTCTTTGTTTTATTCAACCTTGACATTGGCAGAATCATCAACTCATATTTTGATGGAGCCATAAAACTAAAATTGGATTGGAAAAGACTATAAAAAAAATAACTGAAAATAAAAATGTATTTTATCGCAAATAGTTGCGATCAAAACAAGAGTATAAATTTTTTAATTTAATCGATATTTTTTACTAATTTTCCCTTGATTATTTCTAGGCTGATTTGGAAGAGACTGGCCGTGTGTTGAGCATCGGTGACGGTATTGCCCGTGTGTATGGTCTTAAGAACATCCAGGCCGAGGAGATGGTGGAATTCTCCTCAGGTCTTAAGGTACATTCTTGTTATGATTTCAGTATTTTTTCTGCTTTATAAAGTTCAAGTTAAATATTTCTTTTTAATAAATAAATGATACAGTAGTTTCATTCATGATTATTGTATTTTTGTTAACATTCTAACTTATTACATAATATAAAGTAAAACAGTGTATAGCTGTTTTGTAAGAAAGCGTTTCATAAATTTTACTTGGTTTCTTGATATTGAATTGGTTTCATATTGTATTGATTTAGGGAATGGCCCTGAACTTGGAGCCCGACAATGTGGGTGTGGTAGTGTTTGGTAATGACAAGCTGATCAAAGAAGGAGACATTGTGAAGCGTACTGGTGCCATCGTAGACGTGCCCGTAGGTGATCAACTTTTGGGTCGTGTAGTGGATGCCTTGGGTAACGCCATTGACGGCAAAGGCCCTGTTGACACAAAGTCGCGTATGCGCGTCGGTGTTAAGGCTCCCGGTATCATCCCTCGTGTGTCTGTACGCGAGCCCATGCAGACTGGTGAGTTATTGCATTTCCATTTTTTATATGATTTATTAAACAACTGCCCTGGAAGTCTAACATATCTCCAATTAGTCCACTGTCAAATGGAGGTCCCTTCCAGCCCTAAAGAGTAAGCCTTCTGTCATACAAATATCTTTCTGCAATCGTTTTACATTCATATTTCTTCAGTTTTGTTTAGAATTTTAGCATTTAACTTTTAAAATGTAAAAAAAAACTTATTTTATTTTTAACAGGTATTAAGGCTGTTGACTCCTTGGTACCCATTGGGCGTGGTCAACGTGAGTTGATCATTGGTGACCGTCAGACTGGCAAGACCGCTCTTGCTATTGACACCATCATCAACCAGCAGCGCTTCAACAAGGGCCAGGATGAAAAGAAGAAGCTCTACTGCATTTACGTCGCCATCGGTCAGAAGAGATCGACCGTTGCGCAAATTGTGAAGAGGCTGACTGATGCTGGTGAGAAAATGTCATCAAATTTTTAAAGGTGTAAACTAAAAATCAGTATGTATATTTAGCAAAAAAATAAATTAACAGGTGCAATCAATTACACCATCATTGTGTGCGCTACTGCTTCGGATGCTGCTCCCCTGCAGTACCTTGCCCCTTACTCGGGCTGTGCCATGGGAGAGTATTTCCGTGATGCCGGCAAGCACGCCCTAATCATCTACGACGACTTGTCCAAACAGGCTGTGGCCTACCGTCAGGTACATTGAGACTTACAAATTCACACTAACTATTTATTGCGTATATTGACATATTTAGTAAGCCTCATTCTCTTGATATCTTCGTTCATAGTTATTCACGCGACCCCACTGCATGAGAACCCTCCCCCTCCCCTGGCAGAGTTCACATATCTTCGATTTTTTTTATATTATTCAGGAAAATATGCAGGTTTCCTCATGATGTTCTGCAATGTTGAGTATGTGATAATTCAGTACTTGAAATTAACAATTTCATCAGTTCTGGCACCAGGCTTGAACTCAGGTTGCGTATTGTGTATTTTGAATTAAAAACACGGAGCTATTGTGACTCGAAAATAGGATAATAATGAGATTTATTATAAATATAACGAATATAATAGATATTAAATCTAAAAAAATTTATTGTAGATGTCTCTTCTGCTGCGTCGTCCCCCAGGTCGTGAGGCCTACCCCGGTGATGTATTCTACCTCCACTCACGTCTGCTTGAGCGTGCCGCTAAAATGTAGGTTTTTTTTTTTCATTATAATTTGAAGAAAATCTGAAGTCCAGAGATTAGCACAATAAAAAATAAAAATTCTAAAAATCCTGTTAAGTGTCACTAAGTTTGTCTTTGTAGATAAATGTTCTCTCATAATACCATGTTATAAAGTCATAATATTATTCAATTGGTAATTTATATTTAAACAATGTTTTATTGCATGATTTTTAGGTCTGACAAGATGGGTGGCGGCTCCCTGACCGCTCTGCCCGTCATCGAGACCCAGGCCGGTGACGTATCTGCGTACATTCCAACCAACGTGATTTCTATCACCGATGGCCAGATCTTCTTGGAAACTGAGCTGTTCTACAAGGGTATCCGCCCCGCTATCAACGTCGGTCTGTCCGTGTCTCGTGTAGGCTCCGCTGCTCAGACCAAGGCCATGAAGCAGGTAAAGTCTAAAATTGTCATTGCATTTAAACTAATTTGAAATTAAATAGGAATTATTTTTATTCAAACAAATTTTTTCTTACACAGGTTGCAGGTTCTATGAAGCTCGAGTTGGCCCAATACCGTGAGGTCGCTGCTTTCGCTCAGTTCGGCTCCGACTTGGATGCGGCCACTCAGCAGCTGCTTAACCGTGGCCAACGTCTTACTGAGTTGCTCAAGCAAGGACAGTATGTGCCAATGGCCATTGAAGAACAGGTAAGATTTCATTTGTTATCCAAGTCAAATTTCTACAAATGCCACCATATGTAAGCTTCATCAATATTTTCCTGCATTGATTTCCATGTCCCTTTTATTGAAAAATGTAAAAAATAAGGGATTACTTTATTTTGTCTTCGTTTTTATAAATCATGGAAATTGTCGACCTTTTTTCCTTTCCGCAGTGACTTATTAAAATCGCTTCTGCAAGTGAAGAAGCAATTTTAATAAGTCACTGCGTCACATTAAACTAAGAAACTTTTCACTATGGGTAAAAAAGAAACGATGTACGCAGTGCGTCAACGGGATTGGATGGGTACGTGCACAATACAAAACATGCTCGAGGGGTGTAAAATCAACAACTATATTCTTCCTCATGTAACATAAACATTCACTATAACCAAACTAATGCTCTTAGGTTGTATCGAAACTAAACTTCTATTACAGTTACATCACAGTAAACAATTGGTCATTATGGGCAGTCATTTTAAACAAATTCTACTATAAATCTATATATACCTGTTTGTTACATAAATTAATACTTTGGAATATCAGGTTGCCATCATCTACTGCGGTGTCCGTGGTCACTTGGACAAACTTGACCCAGCAAAGATCACCACTTTTGAAAAGGAGTTCACTCAACACATCAAGACAACCCAGCAGAGCCTCTTGGCCACAATTGCGAAAGACGGACAAATCACACCCGAGTCTGATGCTGCTCTCAAGAAAGTCGTCACTGACTTCATGGCCACCTTCACCCAGTCGCAGTAAAATATCTAGAAGTATATGATAGATACACATAAGATTGTTACATGTTAAGTATGTTACATTATTTCATCCACTTAATATGCAATAATCTTAAGTGTTATGTGTACACTGAACTCCAAATATTATGGGGTTGTTGATGAAAGAATTGTTTCTTCATAGAGAAGCAATTCTTCCATAAGCAGTCTCAAGTAGTTATCATTCGTATGGGCTGTATTGAATGTGAATACAATCATGGAATGTATTTATCTCTCGATGTCAGGAGTGGTTAATAATTATATACACATACATACACATGGTGTTTTATTACTTTTTTACTGTTGCACCAATATAATGAAGATCATTTTATGATTACAAAAAATTATATTGTGCTGGCGATTGGGGGCATAGAAGAAGGGTGGTAAGGATGGTAACTATTGTACCTGTCCACTAAAATCATCTCTTTTGCAGGAGACAGTGACATTGGCTCTTTTACAATACAGTGTTGATATTGCCTTTGACAACTACTTCACAACTGGTGGAGCACAGACTCGTTTTTTAAAGTCCATTTGAGGCTTCTACCTTCTAGTGAGTGTAGCTTATAAATTAAGCCGCTAAGCCTTCGCGATGTCGAACAAATGTTTAACAGTCGTAGGGCCACGCAAAAGTATTCGCTGTTGCAAAATGGGAAGGCCGTCCTGGTAAGTACCATGACCTCGCAGAAGACCGTGAAGTGTTACACTTGCGCGTTTCGTCTGGTGGGTGAGGTAGCTGGGGCCACTTAATTAAATTGTTTCAAAATATTATCAATGGGCGGCAAGTAATGGTAAATTTACCACAAATTTACAATACATGAATAAAATTACTACTACTGTAAATCTTTTTTCATTCTTATAGGTATTGCACGTACTTTTTTTTGCTATCCTTTGCTCTTTTTATAATGGATATCTTATCATTATAGATAATACACATAGATAGTAATTAAAAAGATATCTTACCTATAACCAATAGGTAATTAAGTATATAGCCAATGATGGACAAGTTGGATTTTTTTTACTCTAGTTGATATGGCTACTGATTCGAGTCGCAACTCGAGTTGACTCGAGGCTGATAAATACGTAATAATAAGAATGTTGATTCGTGATGTGATATGGCTACTCGAGTCAATTCGCAACTCGAAACTTTGTTTTCATAGCAAAGAATTCTCACGCTACACCATTACAATGGAAAACACAACAGATCACTAAAAAATGTAAAAGGTCAGGTCGCCAACGGTCAACTAATAAAATTAAACAACAAAATGTCAATCAAAATAAACTTTAAATGTGGGTTGACACAATGAACACGGCACCCCTCAAGCCTTCCGCGGGGCAGCAGTCAGTCCCACATCTGCCGCCCCGGGGCTTGGTATCAGGGGGAAGGTTGCGCGCGTAGGCCAGCCTCCTGCACCTGTGGCGATTGCCTCCCTTTCTCTCGCCGCGGCCTCCTTCCGGGTGATTATGTCCTCGCAGAATGCAAGGACGGCACCCCACGATTTCTCGCTGTCCACCATAGCGTGAACCACGGCGGGTAGTGAGAGATCGTGCCTCACGATAGTACTCAGCTCTCGGCGCTGCTCCCGCCAGGCTGGGCACTCCTCCAGTGCGTGTTAGGCCGACTCCTTGGCACATATGTCGCAGTGGTAGCAAACCGCTGTCGCCTCCCTCTCCGCCAAATGGCACAGGCACCTCGCGAAACAGCCATGTCCCGAGAGAAACTGCGTCGCCCGGTAGGTGAGGGTGCCGTGACGCCTTTTCAGCCACCGACTGAGTACCGGACGTATAGCCTCTATTGTTCTTAGGCCGGCACTGGGGTGCTCCACCCTCTGCTCCCATTCGGCGATAGCGAGTGAGCGCAACCTCAGTATGTACCCCCTCAACTCCTCCAAGGCCGGCAGATGACCCCGAGGTGTTGTATCTCACTCAACTCGATGCGAGTGAGATGTAACACCAAACGAACGGCGCCCGCGAGCCGCGTGTGTAACTTGTCAACTCGTGAGGCCCCCGTGTACAGCGTCCGGTTTGCGTTTCAAACTCGAATCAAATAACTCGACTCGCACATATGTATTGTTTTTTATGTGAAAAGTTGTCAAGCGAGCAGACGGTTCACCTGATGTTAAATGAATACCGCCGCCCATGAACATCCGTTACACCCGAGGGTTGCAGATGCGATGACAACCTTTTGAAAATGGGCTCCGGCTATTTCACTCAGAAGACGAAACGTGAAAGTATTATAATTCCACTTTACGCCGGTCTTCTGTGAGGTCGTGGTACTTACCCGGACGAGCCTGCCCATTCGTGCAACAGCCGAGGCTGCTGCGTGGCCCTGCCATGTAACTATTATTGCAATATTACAAGAGGCGTTCAATGTATTATTCTTGGCATCAGGTTGATATACTGATGAAGAGAGTAATATTAAATTATCTCATTAGTTAGAGACACACGCAGTTTCTGAAACACTGATCATCGTAAAAATTAACTAATCAGCTGTCAAATGTCATTTGAGTTGCCAAAGGATGGTTAAACCAGGTTAAACTCTGAAATGATCATTCTGGTCATTAAAAAGATTATTCTGTTCAATTAAATACTTTAACCATCCTTTCGGCAACTCAAATGAGATTTACGAAGTCATTTGACAGCTGATTAGACAATTTATTCCAGCTTTTATTATATCTCAAATAAAGAGGAAAATAAATGTAGGTGCCTTTAGAGAGGTAAAGGAAAGAGCTATGAATCGGCAATGATAGAGGGTGTTACACAGCTAAACTACTGAAATGCTGCACCGACAAATTAAAGAAGGTATTTTTTTTTCCTTAATTCATGAATTTCCTACACACATTTGAACGCTCTCTACAGAACAAAAACGTGTTGAATCTCAAAATTTACCACGTAGTTTTAACTAAAATATAGATAAATTTTGTTTAAGCATGAACACAACCCAACCATTTAAAAATACAAACTGTGTGAAGTAAAGTTATGCAATTATTGTCTTTACATCCAACAGACAAGGTCCTCTGTGAGTTCATATTACGTTCGTGGAATATAATATTGGGTGGCATTACTCACTTGTTCCTTTTTCAATACATTTCTACGTCATTTATAAAATGAAATCATAACGACAACGCTATTAAGCATATTTTTCAATTAATAGCAATTAACATTTAAATTTAAATATTGTGAATAGTTAATGTTGGCATTGTAATAGCAACTAAGATACATTAGTAGTTCAAAATACGACACAAATATTATTTGTGCGAGTATGGCAACAGACAGCCGGTCCGGTAGGACCGGCTGTGAGATGAGAATGAGAACCACTTCCCGTCTTCCACTGATTTCTCTATTCCGCGCTTTGTAAGTTATATTTTGATTAAAGATTTATTGACCTGATTAAAGATTAAATAAACATAGAGTCAGATTTTTGCTTTGAAAATCGTAGAGCATGGTCAGAAAGAAGATATTCTTCAAAAATTTTAATTATAGCGAATTGAATGATTAAATAATGCACTGTTTATTCAATCACGATCCCGACAATACGTTTCACTTTGGAACGTTTTCGTTTGATAGGTCTGTGATAGATTATTTCTGGTAATTTTATTGAGTTGATGACAATGACAACTATTGACATCAAAAGTGGCATCACGACACGATATTGATTTATTGAATTGACAACAATTATATATGTCAACATGGTTTTGAATTAGAAAATTATTAGGTACTGAAAAAATTAATTTATGATATTAAGGGAAATATAATAATCATTTTTTTGTTGACGCAATTTAATAGTTTTAATATAAGTAAAAGTTTTTTTTCATAAGAGGAAAATTTTTAATATGGAGTTTTTCGAAAAAGCTCATTCATTAAAAAACGCGGATATAAGAAAGGGCGCTAAATCGGAGGAAAAAATTAAGAAACAACTTAAGCAGATGTTGCATGGGTATAAAAAGTGCGATAATGAACTTATTAGAAAATCGGAGGAAAATATTACAGACGATCTCGACTCTACTTCAGTAAGCGGTTTCTCTGATTTAAATCTTACATTTACTGGTTCTGAATCTGATAATGAGACTACTATGGCTACATTAGATAGTAGTGATCTTGACTCCGTGTCTAATTTAAATGACGAAAGCGCGGATTTGCCATGTAAAATACCAAATGTGTTAGAGGACACAAAAGATAATGATTTGACTCCTGAACATAAGGCTGACTCGTCTGAAGCTCTCGATAATAGTACTTCACCTGTAAGTGGCATATCCATTCCGGATTCTTCTGAGACATTTTCGCCATCTGATAGCTCTAGTTTATTTGATGTTGATGGAGTTTTAGCATCAAAAATACATGAAAGATTGAAAAGTATAAAGAAAGTTTCCGAAAATAAAATGAAAAGAAAATTTGATGATATAAATGAGACCAAAATTAAAAAAAAAACTGTGGATGAATTTAATTGTACTACAGAAGATGAAAATTTAGTTACATCTAAAGAAATAAAAAAGCGAAGCCCTAGTAAGGAATTAGCTTCATCAGGAAATATACGGGATAGTTTGAAATGGGGCAGGTACATTTTATCAGATTATAGTAGCATGCCTATAGCACCATCCCCTACTTTTGTGTCTGTAACAGCTCAACATGTAAAAACATTAAAGTTTGATGATGTATTTGGACATTACAAAAATTCAACCATGAAAAACATCAGTTCAGAACAAAAAATCACTTTTCCAGCTTTTAACACTATGAATGACTGGAGAGTTGAGGATTTAGATGAGGTTGATAGTTTAGCCCCAGAGTTAGGAACTGAAATAAATATTAGTGATGCTGATTTGGATCTAACAGACCCTGACAGTAGTCAGTATCAAGTCAATTCAGACGGTGTTGTTCATGATGACAGTGCCCAATTTAAGCCCACTGTTGATTCAGAAGGCTCTTTTGAATGCAATGAAGTGCAAATTGAAAAACATCAAGTGTATTCTGCCATTAATAGCCAAATAATTGTATTAAGACACCCAGCTAATCTCTTCATACATGGTAAAGTATCAATTAAAAAATTAGGTGGCTCCATCCAAGTATATGGTTACAATCTCCAAGATGCTTCTTGTGAGGTGTATGCCCCATTTAATAATTTTGCCCTGGCTTTAAGAACTATGGAGGTCAGGAATGATTACTATGGCCTTTTTAACAAATTGACTACAAAAGGACTATCTGTTTCGGAGGCAGAAGAAATTGTAACAAACCTGGGTTGCTATGATGCTGTAATTGCTTTAGAAAAATTGAAAAACTTAAAAATGGATTTTATAGAGAATTTCTTCAATACCACTAATCTGTTTATTCCATCATTTGATAATTGTCAAATGGATTTGAAAAGGGCATCTGAGAATTTGGGATGTTCATTGTATGCATCAAAGCCCTACAAACACATTGAAGAGAGTCCAAACTGGGACCAAGTAATTGACTGTGGTAAAAGTAAGTCTTCTTATTAAATTTTTCATAAAATATTGCTACTGTAGGCTTCTTGTGGGCAATAATTGCAGCAATCAGCATTGTTTGCAGTATGCATGGATTTTTTTGTAAGAAAATGGCAAGTGAGCCGGTGGTTCTCCATATATTAAGTGATGATCACCACTCATGGACATTTGCCATGCACATAGTTGCAAATGCAGAAGAATATCACTCTCACTTCACGCCAGTATTCTGTGAGATTGTAGTCATTTCCCAGATCAATCTGACTATTTGTGAAGACTATGTTGTAAATTTTTGTGCATAAACAATAAAAACATTTGGCGCTGTGTAATTTGAACCGGCGTCTTCTTTTTTCGCACCGAGACCTCTTTTTATATTCTATGATATGGACATATTTATATATAACTTATTTTCATGTAGAATAATTATAATCTGAATACTAAATAGTGATATAAAATAAATAATAAGTGAAAAGTAATTTATATTCTGCCATATTCAGGTGAGAAAAGCAGAGGTATTGTATGTGGTGGTAAAGGAGCTGGCAAATCTACATTCCTTCGCTTCTATGTGAACCAGTTGCTAAGTCAAGGACCTGTGCTGGTGATTGATTTGGATCCAGGGCAGTGTGAATTTACTGTAGCTGGAAGTGTATCTGCTACCATCGTTAATGAACCACTTCTTGGACCCAATTTCACACATCTGAAGAAACCAGAGATGTAATCAGTAAATATATTATATTACAACATTTAAATGATTAATTTTAAAGGGTTGATGGTTGGTATAATAATCAGAAAATTAGTTTACTGTAAAACTGCCCTTAACTAATAAATTAAATAACTTAGTCTTAAATGAAAAAACTAACAACAGTTAATTTCTTTGTAAAATTTTGACTTTTCATAAGAACGCGCAAGCGTCTATGTGAATAAAGATATTTCATTTCATATTATTATTAATTATTATAGTGTATATTCCCCAATAATAAAATATTTATGTATAAAGTAAGTCAGTGGTTGAAATATCAGTGTTAGAATTTAATGCAGATATTAAGATAATTATCTTTATTTTAATTAAAAGATTAAGGTGCTTAGTTGTATACCCTGACATTCAAATTCGCGATTTAGTAAATAACTTGTATAATTACATAGCAGATTATTGATTGTGCTGCATTCAACAAATTTGATATTATTTTCAGAATGTTAAACTTGGGCATTATCAGTGCAATGGACAACCCGAGACGTTATGTGAACGCCGTTGACAGCTTAATAAACCGGTGCTTGGAAAGCGATGAGCTTAACGGCATGCCATGGATTGTAAACACAATGGGCATGTGCAATGCAATTGGTCTGAAGTTCATGTGCTTCATAATACAGCGCGTCCAACCGACGTTCTTACTACAGATAGAGCTGCAAGCTTTGAAAAAGAACTTCGAGTATCGTTTAACGTCGCAGAAAGTCGAGGAGTTGTGCGTCGACTTCAGAGGCGACCGGTTGTTCTCGAAAATGCCGCAGGGTGGCCAACTGTCGTACTCTTATCTAATAGCGCCAGCGGAGACTTACCGCACCAACAAGAACGCTGGTAGCGATAATCACGTCCTGGCGCCGAGGGACGAGAGATATCTAAATTTCTTAGCTTACTTCGGTGAGCTTGTGAATATATATAAGACTGCAGACTTGTTGGGGATTACGCCTTACGTGTAAGTACCTTCTTTAGCGTGGTAGTTTCTTTACATAAAAAATTAGACAAATCAGATAAGCAATCATGCAACACCAGAGGAATTTTGTATTAAATAATACACATTCCTCATAAGTTAACTTTGAGAGGGGAAACAACTTTTGCAATTATATAGAGAGTTTCCATAGCAAATTTTACAGAGACAACGATTTTATTAAAAATGTTTTAGGAATAACAACAACGGTGTCACTTTTTTGATTGATACTACATGACGTCAATTATTGGATATTTGTAATTCCGTAAGCCAATTTATCCGTCCTTGCCTTTTACCAGAAATATAAAAAGCGTCGCAATGTTTCGGGAAAGCGACAACCAATTTCTTTTATTAATTAATTCGTGTAACTGTGGATAAAGCTAAAGGCGTCGCTCCTAGAAAGCGTTTTTTTGTCTTCCTTTTTTTCCAATATTGCATTTCGATGATAATAATAAACCTAATGATAGTGTTGTGGTGTAATGACTGGGATTGGCGACCGGTATCAGAGACCATTAATTCGAATCCCAGTTGAATATACCAACAATATTTTTATTTTTCGTGGAGGTCACTGCGACGTACATGCATGTTGTTGGCTAGATTCATCTATCTGTGGGTCGTATAAATATTTTTATGGGATGGGATCGAACCCATGACCCTCGGCACCGAAACTCGAAGCTTAGCGACTGTGCCCACCAAATCAATGAGACTGATTTGCGTCAGGAAAGTGATTTTTATTTAATAACAAACCTAAAAAGACACGTTACTTATTATTCTCTTTCATGGCTTTTTAAGAACTACCTCGCGGTAGTATACAGCGTGTCGTTACCATCGCGACAATAAATGAACACACGTCTAACGCTACTTGCCAATAATCATAAGAAAATATTAACGTTAAACAAAATCCACAATTAAAAAACCATATTTTTCAAACAAACTAATTAAGTAAAAAAGAAACAAAATTTGTAACATCCTATACAACTCGCGCCACAGCGTCGCATTACAAGCCTCTCTTTCTAACAGTATGTTTTGTCTCTTTTAAATTCATTCAACCCATTCATATGCTTTGTGACCTTTACAAATGAACTTTACGTTACGCTTTTATAGGTAAGGATGTTCTAAAATTCTTTGTTTTGGAAAATTTAATAACTCTGTAAATATTGATGTTTAAAGAATTCAAATGTTTAATACAACTTTAAAAAGTTATCCCCTATATGTGTGTTCATTTATTGTCGCGATGGTAACGACACGCTGTATAAGTACATATTCGCATATTGACACGATTTTTATTTTCCTTAAGTTTTATATCACGTTTCTTGCGTATATTAGCAGTAATGTTATATTAGACTTGTTATAGTTGAACGCTCTGAAGAATGTTGATCTATTTTTTCACTAAAGTAATATAGAGATATTTGCAAAACGGATATCCTTAATTCTAAAGCAGTAACTAATCTATAAGGCCAGTAGCTCACATAAAGCACGTCCGCGCATAATAATGATTTAAGAACTCAAAGAAGAAACATATATACCTATAACATTATACTCTATACTATGCATATAGTGTAGAGTGCTTTAGATAGAAGTTTTCCAAGTATTATGGGCTTTGTAAAGCTATTGTCATGTAGATTTAAGAATTTCTAAAAGGGTATTTATGACAGATAAACAGGTTTTATAAATAAATCTAGTGAAATTCTAAAACAAAAGATTAATTTAAGTCTATAATATTTACCTGAAAGATATTTGAATTAAGAATTATAATTTAAGTAGTAACAGTTAATATTACCGACAACTTTGCCATTTCTTATTAGGACTTTGGGAAAACATCTGTTGCATTTTTGAATATTATCGACTCATTAAAAGATGATATACAAAACGTTTTATAATATGTTCATTTTTCATATTAAATTTCATATGGTCTGCACTGTCTGTACATAGCTATAAAAGGCAATTATTTCATTACTCTACTTTATGACCGTTGTGTAATGGAATGAAGCAAAATGCGGCTCTTGGGAAATTATTTAACATTACCGTTGCTTCGTTGATACCTAGTAGACGACATGCACGATTATTTAGTTACTTTTTACCCAGTGTACCTTTATAAAGGTGAAACAAAAAACCAAACATTTATTTGCAATCCAATATAACAATCGTGAATAATGATCATGGTACAGTTTGGATTTCATATACAATTCTTGGATTGGATTTCCATAAACAATATTGGACAATTTGTCCAATTAAATTAGCTAGCGGGGTTACGTGTTTACATGAAAAAAATAAAACATGGACCTCGCGCGATAAGTTTTTGTATACGCAGTGACGCATCACGCGTCAATGATGTCACGATGGTGTAGAGAACTAGTGACATCATTACTTATAACTCTCATTGTTTAGATCAAATATTCCTGTATAAGGACTAAGCACTGAAAAAATATTTATAATTACAATAATGATGGTTAATCTTTTTATAACTTGCAATGTAAGACCTAATTCAACATTCGAAACCTTTTCCAGTAATGGCTTTTAATGAAATCTTAATATGTAATGTTACTTTACGCGCTAACAATTCATTACCTTTTTCATTTGCAGCGGCACATACGTACTATAAAATAAGAAAATATGTTAATGAATTAGCAGAAAACGTGGAAGCCGTTTGTTCCACAAACCTTATAGTATTTATTCCATAAACCTAGCTATTCGCTCCCCGCTTCATGTTGGGACGAAGTTATGAATGAATGCGGCGCGTAGTTAAGTTCCCCAAGCGTAATCATTGTGGCAAGTGGTCAGCGGCGAATTATCACCGCGCGCTCATTGTTTTAGGAATGAGTTACGAGCACGCTCTCGGGCTCTTGGAATCGGATGAGTCATGCCCCACTCCCAGTTGCCGGAGCCTTTAGATAGGCTTGCTGGTCTGCGTTCCCAAGTCAATCTCACAATCTCATTCCAGGGTCCGTATGCAAGATTTGTGCGTGGCAACGAACGTGAAACTGCACAGCGATTCGGTTACAAAGGTGCTGAACGGCAAGGTAGTGGCACTGTGTCAACAATCAACGCGGCCCGATAAAGCAGCGAAGGTGTTTACACTAGGCGATAAACCTTTGCTCTGTCATGGACATGGTAAAATACTGAAACTTTTTTTTTTTAATTTCAACTACTGTCAACATAGCACTGTTTTTGTCATAAAAACAGTGTGTCAATATTAAAATTGTTTCATATTATATGTTATTTTATATGTTTTGTTCTCAAACAACTGAATGAGTCAATGATGATGTAATTTAGAACAAAGTACATTGTTAATGTAGTGTTATCAATAAAAGCGCTTGATTAATCTGATAAGTTTAAATATCATATTAATTGTACTGTTTCTTTTTCAGGACTCATCCGAGGCATTGACTATGAAAAAGATGAAGTATATATTATTACTCCAATACCACCACAAGATTTATGTTTAGTTAATATCATTATGTATGCCGATTGGGTTCCGGAATTAAGGGGACAAGAGAAGAACCTCCCAGAAGGAACTGTGGTCCCATATAGGACAACAAGCCAGTATCAACAAAGGCAATTCATGTTTACACCTCGTAGGAGATTCAACCCTCTACAGCTATTGAAAATGTCAAGGAATTCCTAAATTGAAAGTTCAATTGATTAGTTAATAAATTTGTAATTGGAATAGTTCCAAAATATCTTAAATTATAAAAGGAAGTCTAATTATTTAGTGTTAATCCATGTATATTTGAAGATAATTTTGTACTTACAATACTAATAAAACATAACATAAATGATTGATTTTAACTTAAATATTTCCCCCGTCCTAGATACCTTTGATTTATAAATGCTGTATTAAATTTTTATAAAAGTCAAAAAGTCTAGAAAAGAATTGTTAAAACATGGGGTTCCTTTATTACTAATAAATTATATTAGCATGCAATGTAATCATATGGAAGTTAAAATTTCACACAAACAATAGATTACAATAAAACTGCCCTAATTCAGTAACAGATGGACGTCTCAAAGACGTGTCTAGCTGACAGGCACTTAGCTGAGTCAGAATGGGGCTCATGCTCCATGTCAAATAAACATCCTACACAATTTATACATCACTATTTTATTGAAAAATTAAAATACAAAATACCGAATTTAAGTCTCGGTGATCTCGGTCCAGGCTAAATCTATATATTCTGAGGAAATGCTACTTGATTATATAACATGATAAAATAGCACTGAAAATTCTAGCTGTCCTGTGGGGCCAGAGCTCCCAGTAGCTCACTTACCGCCGACAGCATCTGTTAAGGCAATTACGCTTATTCTTTATAGATAATCTATAAAATATACAAGTACCAATTGTGAAAGTATAGCCACACGAATACTGAGTGGATGTGCGTGCTGCGCGGGCCGCGACATGGTCAGCTGTCAGTATCGGAAGGAAGCACTGTGTGGCCGACGCCGCGACTGCTGCAGAGTTCGAGTCGTTTCAAACGTAAGTTTACAGGCAGTATGCGAACAATTCATAAATCAGAGTCCCTCCGACAACAGCACAATTACAGCAGAGAACACCTGGTCTTCTTCTTCTTCTTGACTTGTAACGCGGCGCGGGTCGCGGTTTCAAACACCTCACGAACACCTTCCTTACTTTTGGCAGAGCACTCAAGATACGCGAAAGCATTAATCTTCTCGGCCATAGCACGGCCTTCTTGCGGCTTCACCGGCTCCTGTTTCATCTTACGTAGTTCATTGATAGTGGCCGGATCATTGCGTAGGTCCTTCTTGTTGCCAACTAAAATAATAGGCACATTGGGGCAGAAGTGTTTCACTTCAGGTGTCCACTTCTCCGGGATGTTCTCGAGCGAGTCGGGCGAGTCCACCGAGAAGCACATCAGAATCACATCGGTGTCTGGGTATGATAAGGGGCGCAATCGGTCATAATCCTCCTGACCCGCTGTGTCCCACAATGCCAGTTCCACCTGCTTGCCGTCTACTTCGATGTCGGCGACGTAATTCTCAAATACTGTCGGTACATACACTTCCGGAAATTGATCCTTGCTGAACACGATCAAAAGACATGTTTTACCACACGCACCGTCACCGACAATCACTAACTTTTTGCGTATAGCAGCCATCGGTCCTGTAAAAGAATACAACGCAAATAATTATGATGAGCGTCAACGCCTTTCATGACTTATAAATATGGCGGCCGTGTAGGAATATGGGAAGGGAGTAGTCAGACAAGCCCTCAAATGTGAATAAGCACCTGAACTAGCGGAAGAAGAACAGCACCACCACATAGTACCCTCACATGCGAGGATGGTTATTTAGTATATTTTGTAGATACCTGAAGATTCTGGCTAATTTCTGCAGAATATTGACCTATCGACACTTTTTTAATCGTCTTTGCTCATCACAAGCGGTGTTGCCGCATAGAACAAAACTAATTTCCAATATAGCTGTGTAATAATATTAAATTTTTCGCTCAACTGTATTGCAATAATACGAATATTTTTCCCGAAAAATAATAATTGTCAACAATATCCAATACAAAAATCATTTTACGTGTGCTAACATGTTTTATAATGTTTTTATTATTATTATTATAGTCCTAATAATATTGAACATAATAAATAACATGATGAAATTATAATAAGTTGTTTTCATCATGTCACATTTTATTTACATAAAGTACTAAAATGTTGGTAACAACTTATATAATTTGCTTGTTATTTTTCCCAACAATTTAACTCCATATTAAATAGTTAGATAAATTCGATATATTTCGCACATATGTTATTTTAAAATATAAACCATAATTACCCGATATGTAGAAATCAAATTTCTTTTGATGTTATATTTTCTTATTAATGAGAGATTGATAAACTGTTTTTAAAAGTCGCAATGCATCTAGTTGCCACTCGTTTTTAAAAATTCTGTCAAACATATAGATAAGAAAGAAAACCACTTGTTGCACAGTACAGATTCAATAAAGACTCAAAAATACAATGGCGTTACACTATTTAGAAAAAATTTGGTAACGTCACTTCATTTAAAATTTGTACATTCAAGTTTAAAAGATACAAAATTATAAAGATTTCATTTAATATAGTAAAATAATTCCAAATTAAATCTATATGGGTTAAAACAGTAATCAAACTTTACAAAATAAGTGTTTCATAATAAAGAGTGTTAAGACTAGCACACTTTAGTTTTAAGCAGAAGCGTATTACTTCGGTTTCTTTTCGTTTTGCGTTATTTAAAATGTTCAAAAAAAGATATTCACTTGCATCAATCCACTATATTGTATTTCTCCGACGAATTTTATTAGTACAATAATATGCACATTATTGCGTTTTTTAAATATTGTGAGTGTGTAATTTAATCCAACAATGCGATGATTAAATGAATTGAAGTTGGCAGAGAAACTAAGAGGACTTAATCTGACGGAGATGGCGTAGCTGAGCGCATTCTTAGCCACAAGCTAAGAATGCGCTCAGCTATCATGCTCGTTGGCCTGCCACATGCACTTTATATATCAAATATACATACTGCGCTATAGGACCAACAACACCAACCAACCAACTTTACACCACCTTTACCGTCATATCTTATATATACTATGAAGAATGTTCAACACCATCTTACCTGACATTGTCATCAGGTCGTAAAGCTGTGGATTTCTACATTAGCTTTTCTACTATTTCGACTAGATGCCTATTCAATTTAGAAAACTTGTTAGTTTTGCTTACAGATTAAGTAATATATTTACATTCTTTTTAATTTCGGTTTTTGAGAACACAAAGTCGTGACAACACATTTTTTTAAACGATCAGGGCATCAGGGGATACGTGAGTCTCGCTCAGAAACGGTCAGTGAGGGTACGCACTAATAAAACCATGTTGCACCTATCTCTGTCGTATAGGTCGGGGACACGGGAACACGAAGACCCAATCTTCCGCTAAAGTCTTGACAGCCCCTGAGGCGATTTTTTTATATCCATACCAAAAATACTTTTATCGCAAAAAATAAGATATATATAAATATAGCTCGGGAGGGATAAGAATATTCCGTACATAAACTATTATTATGTTATTGTATATATTTGTTTAATGATCAAATGAACATGCCTTCTTGAACTTCAAGTAAAATTTAATTTTACACAATGTCCGGAATTATGTCTGGTGAAAAACAGAAAACCTTGAAAATAAAAAAAAAACTTGTTTTCAAAGATTCTTGCTTTCCAACTTCCAACCTTTTAGTTTCTTTACTTGCATGGATTTTGTTGGGAGCCTGTAGGAATTCTTCAAATAAAAAAGGTTAAGATTTAATAAAATTTATATTGGCGTTATTGTCATTTCTGTTGAGAATTCTGTTGTTATTGTATTCTGTATTATCTAATTATCCAAAATATCTTAAGAATACCTTCCAATGATTTCATTTCGCTTTGGACCTTGTTCCATACATAAGATTCGCATTGCGCAACTTAAGACACAGGATACTTTAACTCATCTTTTCATAAGTGCAGAGATTAGCACTATAAATCACTTAAATTTCTTCATTTCTTGTTCAAAGTACACATCTGGAACGCCCTCCCCGATAAGATCAAAACAGCTATTTATATATATCTGTATTGAAATCAAGGGCGGATCCGGCTTTGGTGTCAGGGGGGTCATTTGAATCAATGCTTGGCGCTAACATTATCTTGGCTTGGATATAACAATAGATGCACCAAGCATTGATTCAAATGCTAAATAACAATGTAGAAGTAAGGCATTAAGATTTTCGTCGCTGTGGCTATCAGCCGTTTAGCTCAGTGGCTAGAGCGTCAGGCCGCGAATGCCGAAGACGTGGGTTCGATTCCCACAGCGGCGACAATCTTTTCGTAATTTTTCTACATGTTTTAATGTTCAATCTTAGGTGCAGAGATTAGCACTATAAAAAACTTTAAAATTTACAGTCAGTTGTAGTTGTATATAATGTTACAAATTTTGTTAATTTAATTAGTTTGTTTGAAAAATATATTTTTTCAATTATGGATTTTTTAACGTTTTATATTTTTTATGATTATTGACAAGTAGCGTTAGACGTGTGTTCATTTATTGTCATGGTTGTAACTACACGCTGTATAGACGAATTTGCAAAATTCTTTTTTTGTTCGTAACAATTCGTTGCTTTTTATTATCATATATTATACAGGCTGGCTTTTATAATGGTGGCCAAATTCATACAGTAAGTTCAACTTTGTTAATATAACCGTTTACTGAAATAAAAACAAACGTTTTTTTCTTTTAAAAAATTGGCATTCTATTCCCTAAAATACAGAACTTGTTGACAATGTGGTAGTCATTCATAAATGCGTCGTATACTTTTGAAACGAACTTGTGTGCGTGTTAGTTATGAATGATCGCGCGTAAAATAAATGAGTTGCCCATAAATCACGCACTTTCTGAGATAAGTTCAAATGAATGTAATTAACTAATTACGAGTGATTTTAAATATTTATCATTTTTTATATAACTTTATTTGTCTAGAATTTAATAAAAAAAAATGGATACTTAGAAAAGCCTTCCTGTATAGCATTTTTTATAAGTAGCTATTCGTAGGCTTACTTATTTTTGAAATTTATTTTTATTTCTTCGTTACCAGATTTTATGTAGTGGTATTGGTTGTAATATTTTTCAATTGCTCTACTCCGCACGCTGGCTCCACTTCAATGACAAGTAGCCTAAGACGGGACTATCGGGACACGGGTTAATAATAATATATAATCAACCCAAATTAAAACTCCTAAAATAGCCGTACACAAACTAAAAATTTCATCGTTCACGTTAAAAAAATGTTCATAAATAAAAAAAAAATTTATTCAGTCAATCATTCATAATATTCAGCGCTCATCCATCTAATTACAGACAGAATCCACAATAACAAACGGAACGAACAAACTTTATTTCCCAAAGATAGGGTCGCATACTCACGTCTACTAAACCACCACCTCTCACCTCCCTTCAAAAACGGTCCACCCATTAAGACGAATCAAACTCGACGCAGTTGTGTTTCTTAGTTACTGAGTTCCTATGGCCACATTCCAGCTCTGTCATCAAACCCTGGTTACCATCTAGCACTAAAGAACTCGTCATGACGAATCAAACGAGCCGAGACACAATAGGGTTGCGTCGTTTCTTTACTGAGTTCATATGACTATCTTCCAGCTTCATCATCAGATCAGACCCTGGTAACCATCTAAAAATTAAGTACTCGCCAAGAAGAACAAAACGAGCCGAAACTCGATGGGGTTGAGTCGTTTCATTACAGAATGGTCATAGGAACCTCACAGATCTGCGTAAAGTACTTCTGCGTTTTTTCTGGTGAGTGAGGTAGCCGGAGCCTACTTTATTATAAGGAGAAAACGCATCTGCAACCCTATGCATATGTCCATGGACGGCTGAAGATAGAGCTCCATTATCAGATCCTGGTTACCTATGAAAGACAAACTACTCGTCAATACGATTCAAATGTACCCAAACGCGATGAGGCTCTCTCGTTTCATTGCGAAGTTCCTTTGGCCACCTTCCAGCTCCATCATCAGATCAGCACCTTGTCATAAAAATATTGCATGGTCTCGCGATTTACACGTGTATACAAAATTTCAGCTCAACCGGTAACCGGGAAGTAGATCAAATTTAATTTGCAAGATTTGATGACAAACATTAAAATATTGTAAAAATGTTCATAAAATTAAAACTACTTGGCCAAACTATAGTAAAATTTTCTGGGACCAAATGGCTGGACCAAAGAAGAATCACGTAAATCGGATCATAAATCTCAACGTAATCGGTGTACATACATCGAAAAAAATATAACAATCGAATTGAGAAACTCCTCCTTTTGAAGTCGGTTAAAAATATTATATTAATTTAATTAAATATTGAACGTACTTACATAAAATCTATATTGTGGCAAAAATATATATAAAATAATTATGTTTGATAATGACCCCCCCCCCCCCCTGGATTGAAATTGAATTACGCCCTTGATTGAAATTGGGAAGGATAGGCACGCATTTTATATCAGGTGAACCGCCAGCTCACTTTCGCGATATGTGGGAACGATTGTGGAGTTCCGTGTTGATTCGGGTATAATTTCACTTACAAATTATATTTTAAAAAAAGGAATCATTAAGAAATAATGTTTCTAGAATCTTCCATCAAATCTTAGGTACACAAATACAAAACCACTTCATGATATCTTACATTTGTAATCGCACAACGTTCGAAATTTCGAATATCGTTTTACAAACTAGAAATTGTTTGTATGCTGGAAAGGATATAACAATAGATGGCGCCAAGCATTGCTTCAAATGCTAAGAAAAAAATGTGGAAGAATGCGTTAAGATTTTCGTCGGTGTGTCAATCAGCCGTTTAGCTCAGTGGCTAGAGCTCGGTTCGATTCCCACAGCGGCGACAATCTTTTCGCACTTTTTCTACATATTTTAATGTCTAATATTACTTATGTTAAAGTAGTTATAATTTATGCAGGTAATTATTTTATTCGTGTGTTAATTTATAATTGCATCTAACTGAATTTGATTAGATTGGAGCAGATCCTTGACCCGTGGAATTACGATATTTTTGCGTAAATTTATTTGTTTAATCGCACAATCTGGTCTAGCGGAAAAATAAAAACTTTTTTTCAACCGCGCGTAAAGGTTACACACATTGTTTTTGATACCTACGAAGGCACTGTGAACATCTGGTTCAATTTTACACTGCACCAAACTAAATGTATTGTAGCCGAATTCGACCCGAAATATTTAATCTCTAACTTAATTTCTGCTCACTATTGGTTGCGTTGTGACAGATGACAGCATATTACGGTTTTGAAAGTTTTTGTGGTCTTTGTCGATCCCATTGATAAAAGAATATAAGAGGATGTCACGTTAGGTCACGTGTGCTGAAGCCAAATGTTTCTCTAAAATGGCGTCGACTCCGCCCACAGCAAATAGTGTTGTTTTATTACGTCCATTTTGATATCGATATATTGATTATATATGAAAGTTAACATTTTTGCGTGTCATCGAGACACGCAAAAATGTTAACTTTGCACACCTTTCTGTTAATTTTCATTTGTAACCACTAGTTGAAGGGTAGGGTGTAAAAACTAAAAAAAAAATCTTATCCTAATGTAATTGTAATGTAAACTAAAACTGGTATTTGTTATCAGCATTGTAACATAAAATAAATTATTGTCATAAATAGTTAAATAAAATAAAAAAAACAATCAGTATATTGATTAAAATCGTTTATTCATGGTGGAATAATATTCATTTTGTTAAAATGTTGCGCTTTGATATATTTTCTGAGTGTTTTTTTCCATGAAACTAAATTATCCAACTAAATGAACTAAATTATGTTTCTTCAAATCGTCAATAATCGTTTGAAAAGTCGACACCTTCTGCTTCAGTCTGCGGCACTTCTGACTGAGTATCTTTATTTTCCTTTGCTGTAACTTCACTTGTCTGCATAACTTTTGGACTTTTTTGGTTGCATTAACTGCCATAACCTAAAAATTAACGTCAAATTACAATAAACATTTTATTTTATACATAAGGCTAGGGAGTAGGGATGGGTCGTATCGCTTTTTCTGAGTACCGTATCTGAATCCGATATCGATTTCAAATATCAGATTTCGAAACTATGTATTTTAATATCCAGATATTTTACGGTTCCCTATCCACGTTGATAAATTGAATTCTAAAAAAAAAAAAAAAAAAAAAAAAAAAAAAAAAAAAAAAAAAAAAAAAAAAATTATAAATATGTATACTTTAAGGGAGTGGATATAAGATGAATGAAATAACTTCCCTTCATACTTTTTCCAGGCTTAGGACTGGCTGGAATATTTCATACATATTATAAATATAAAATTGTGCAGGCGTATTTAAAAGTTGATTCATTCTATGTACATAATTTTCCTTATATTTAAAACTTTACATTATATATTTACAATTATGTCAGGGTTAATAATTATTTATATCCCTCCGGGTTCAAATTCACGTTTAGGAACGTAAGCTCTCTGACTTTATTCGTCGAAACTCTTGTTCGACGATCATTAATAATTAACCCTGTCTTACTAAAAATGCGTTTTTTTAAATTATTTAATTAAAAATTTCATTAAAAATATAAATTGAAGTAATATAAAAATGATTTACTTTTAACATCTTATATACCGCTTAATAATTGACTTTAACATATTTTTAGAACACGCAATCGAGTGGCAATATTATTATTATTTGTGTAAGAAATAATACATTCAGTATTATAGCTTAGGGCGGAAGAATTTAAAATATACACACAAGGCACATAAGCCTTGGTCTGATTTCCACCAAAGCAGCACAGCACTATTAAATAATATTTTTCTTTTTGTGTACTTTTATTTTTTTCCAAAGATATGAATAAAATTTAGCTAATAAAAATATTCACAAAAAATTTACCTCCTAAAAAATTTCCATTGTATATTTTTCTTCCTTAATTTAGGCAGAAAATTCTTAAGTAGTAAGTTGGCATCCCTTACTATTACGTGCTTATTACCAATGCAATCCAGCTCAAGGTTAAACAAAATTTAAAGACATCGTTAATACCGTAATTCGTATTTAAATGCAACAGAGTTTTTTTCCATTCTGTTAAGATTCAAAATTACTTAACTGCGCGCTTTGTCGCCCGTTACGGCTCAAGGCTAAACAAAACAATAAAAATATAATAATATCGTTGTAGTAATCGCTGATACCAAGATTAGTATTTAAATGAAACGGATCTTATTTGCATGGTGTTAAGATTCAAAATTACTTAACTTATTCATAATATCTGTTTAAAAATCTGATATCGTGCATTGCTTGCCGTCCCACTCTAACTAGTAAGTGTTTATATCTCACGCGCTTTGTCGCTCGATATCTTATTGTCGCTCGATATCTGATATCGTGCATTGCTTGCCGTCCCACTCTAACTAGTAAGTATTTATATCTCACGCGCTTTGTCGCTCAATATCTGATATCATGCATTGCTTGCCGTCCCACTCTAACTAGTAAGTGTTTATATCTCACGCGCTTTGTCGCTCGATATCTGATATCGTGCATTGCTTGCCGTCCCACTCTAACTAGTAAGTATTTATATCTCACGCGCTTTGTCGCTCAATATCTGATATCATGCATTGCTTGCCGTCCCACTCTAACTAGTAAGTGTTTATATCTCACGCGCTTTGTCGCTCGATATCTGATATCGTGCATTGCTTGCCGTCCCCACTCTAACTAGTAAGTATTTATATCTCACGCGCTTTGTCGCTCAATATCTGATATCATGCATTGCTTGCCGTCCCACTCTAACTAGTAAGTGTTTATATCTCACGCGCTTTGTCGCTCGAATCTGATATCGTGCATTGCTTGCCGTCCCCACTCTAACTAGTAAGTATTTATATCTCACGCGCTTTGTCGCTCAATATCTGATATCATGCATTGCTTGCCGTCCCACTCTAGCTAGTAAGTGTTTATATCTCACGCGCTTTGTCGCTCGATTTTAATTAAAAATTTCATTAAAAAATAGAAATTGAAGTAATATAAAAATGATTTACTTTTAACATCTTATATACCGCTTAATAATTGACTTTAACATATTTTTAGAACACGCAATCGAGTGGCAATATTATTATTATTTGTGTAAGAAATAATACATTCAGTATTATAGCTTAGGGCGGAAGAATTTAAAATATACACACAAGGCACATAAGCCTTGGTCTGATTTCCACCAAAGCAGCACAGCACTATTAAATAATATTTTTCTTTTTGTGTACTTTTATTTTTTTCCAAAGATATGAATAAAATTTAGCTAATACAGAGTTCTACAAAAAATTTACCTCCTAAAAAATTTCCATTGTATATTTTTCTTCCTTAATTTAGGCAGAAAATTCTTAAGTAGTAAGTTGGCATCCCTTACTATTACGTGCTTATTACCAATGCAATCCAGCTCAAGGTTAAACAAAATTTAAAGACATCGTTAATACCGTAATTCGTATTTAAATGCAACAGAGTTTTTTTCCATTCTGTTAAGATTCAAAATTACTTAACTGCGCGCTTTGTCGCCCGTTACGGCTCAAGGCTAAACAAAACAATAAAAATATAATAATATCGTTGTAGTAATCGCTGATACCAAGATTAGTATTTAAATGAAACGGATCTTATTTGCATGGTGTTAAGATTCAAAATTACTTAACTTATTCATAATATCTGTTTAAAAATCTGATATCGTGCATTGCTTGCCGTCCCACTCTAACTAGTAAGTGTTTATATCTCACGCGCTTTGTCGCTCGATATCTGATATCGTGCATTGCTTGCCGTCCCACTCTAACTAGTAAGTATTTATATCTCACGCGCTTTGTCGCTCAATATCTGATATCATGCATTGCTTGCCGTCCCACTCTAACTAGTAAGTGTTTATATCTCACGCGCTTTGTCGCTCGATATCTGATATCGTGCATTGCTTGCCGTCCCACTCTAACTAGTAAGTATTTATATCTCACGCGCTTTGTCGCTCAATATCTGATATCATGCATTGCTTGCCGTCCCACTCTAACTAGTAAGTGTTTATATCTCACGCGCTTTGTCGCTCGATATCTGATATCGTGCATTGCTTGCCGTCCCACTCTAACTAGTAAGTATTTATATCTCACGCGCTTTGTCGCTCAATATCTGATATCATGCATTGCTTGCCGTCCCACTCTAACTAGTAAGTGTTTATATCTCACGCGCTTTGTCGCTCGATATCTGATATCGTGCATTGCTTGCCGTCCCACTCTAACTAGTAAGTATTTATATCTCACGCGCTTTGTCGCTCAATATCTGATATCATGCATTGCTTGCCGTCCCACTCTAGCTAGTAAGTGTTTATATCTCACGCGCTTTGTCGCTCGATATCTGATATCGTGCATTGCTTGCCGTCCCACTCTAACTAGTAAGTATTTATATCTCACGCGCTTTGTCGCTCAATATCTGATATCGTGCATTGCTTGCCGTCCCACTCTAACTAGTAAGTATTTATATCTCACGCGCTTTGTCGCTCAATATCTGATATCGTGCATTGCTTGCCGTCCCACTCTAACTAGTAAGTATTTATATCTCACGCGCTTTGTCGCTCAATATCTGATATCATGCATTGCTTGCCGTCCCACTCTAACTAGTAAGTGTTTATATCTCACGCGCTTTGTCGCTCGATATCTGATATCGTGCATTGCTTGCCGTCCCACTCTAACTAGTAAGTATTTATATCTCACGCGCTTTGTCGCTCAATATCTGATATCGTGCATTGCTTGCCGTCCCACTCTAACTAGTAAGTGTTTATATCTCACGCGCTTTGTCGCTCGATATCTGATATCGTGCATTGCTTGCCGTCCCGCTCTAACTAGTGAGTATTTGTCTCTCACGCGCTTTGTCTCTCGAAATCTGTTTAAAAATCAGATATTGTGGCAAACGCGTATGATATCGCCGTATCGCGATTCGTGTCGGTATAGCGAGCGAGCACGGTACATCAGATTTCGGAAATATCAGATATTGTAAAATACATAGATATTGAACGAGCCAGTAAGCGATATTGGGATATTGTACTAATATCTAGTTTTCATATCTGATACGATTTGTATCGCCCACTTCTAATACTTAATAGAGATGGGTCGTATCGCTTTTTCTGAGTACCGTATCTGAATCAGATTTCGATTTCAAATATCAGATTTCGAAACTATGTATTTTAATATCTAGATATTTTACGGTCCCGTATCCACCTTGAATTCTTAAAAAAAAAAAATTTTCAACAATATTTTATACTTATTATAAATTGTGCAGGCGTGACTAAATTCAAAAACCTTACTGAATTTAAAATCACACTTTTTTTATACTATTAAGGTAAAATTGAAACATTACCTGATTAAATTAAAAATTTCATTACAAATAGAAATTTAAGTAATATAAAAATGATTTATTTCAACATCTTATATATCGCTTAATAATTGACTTTAACATATTCTTAAAACACGCAATCATGAGTGACAATATTTTTATAATTTGTGTAAGAAATAATACATTCAGTATTATAACTTAGGGCGGAAGAAATTAAAATATACACACAAAGCACATAAGCCTTGGTCTGATTTCCACCCAAGCAGCACAGCACAGTACTTTTATTTTTTTCCAAAAATATGAATAAAATTTAACGAATAAAAATATTCACAAAAAATTTACCTCCTAAACAATTTCCATTTATATTTTTCTTCCTTAATTTAGGCAGAAAATTCTTAAGTAGTAAGTTGGCATCCCTTACTATTACGTGATAAGTACCAATGCAATCCAGCTCAAGGTTAAACAAAATTTAAAGACATCGTTAATACCGTAATTCGTATTTAAATGCAACTAAAAATGTTTTTTTTCCCATGCTGTTAAGATTCAAAATTACTTAACTGCGCGCTTTGTCGCCCGTTACTGCTCAAGGCTAAACAAAACAATAAAAATATACTTAATAATATCGTTGTAGTAATCGTTGATACCATGATTAGTATTTAATTGAAACGGATCTTGTTGACATGGGTTTAAGATTCAAAATTACTTAACTTATTCAAAATATCTGTTTAAAAATCTGATATTGTGCCTTGCTTGCCGTACTGCTCTAACTAGTGTAATATTTGTATCTCACGCGCTTTGTCGCTCAAAATCTGTTATCGTGCATTGCTTGCCGTCCCGCTCTAACTAGGGAGTATTTATATCTCACGCGCTTTGTCGCTCGATATCTGATATCGTGCATTGCTTACCGTCCCGCTCTAACTAGTGAGTATTTATATCTCACGCGCTTTGTCGCTCGATATCTGATATCGTGCATTGCTTGCCGTCCCGCTCTAACTAGTGAGTATTTGTATCTCACGCGCTTTGTCTCTCGAAATCTGTTTAAAAATCAGATATTGTGGCAAACGCGTATGATATCGCGATTCGTGTCGGTATAGCGAGCGAGCACGGTACATCAGATTTCGGAAATATCAGATATTGTAAAATACATAGATATTGAACGAGCCAGTAAGCGATATTCGGATATTGTACTAATATCCAGTTTTCATATCTGATACGATATGTATCGCCCACCACTACTAGGGAGATAATCAACAGGAGAGATTCGTGCTCTGCAGTAGAACATACATAGGGTTTGAATTTATCGTCTTTTGTTTGAGTCTGTTTGTCGTATCTATGTTCATATTTGTCGGGTGAATACAGACGGGACTAACGTCAATATCCATTGGTACATGCTGCAAATTATTAAAATTATACATTAATAATAATAATTTTACGTATGCTATGCTATATATATCTATATGTTTACTTTTATTTTTATGAACCCAACCAAATAAATATAAAATATCCAAAACAAAAAACAAATAAATATCCCCATGATAATAATAAATCAAAAAGCATTTGAACAGATTCACCAGATCAAGTCAAATTTATCTCACTTCTCTAAACTTTTAATCTTAATTGCAACTTAATATATAAGAGAGAATGATTAATAAATAATTAGTGAAGAATAATTCCAATCTGTGAGATAACATTAAAGTAAATTATAAATTTGTGTGTGGTGTAATATTACATCATAAAACCTTTAAAATAGACCTTCACATTAAAAACAGAATTAATGTTATTATGAATGAATATAATATGGCTTGTAATTAAATACAGAATTAAGAAATTTAGAGATATTATTAAGCACAAGCTAACCTTGGTAAAATTAACTCATAATGATAGAATTCTTCCAAAAAAAAATATATAATTAAGCAATTAAATTTATTATAGTGTATGGGCAACTACGATTTTCTATTAATCATAAGCTCAAAGTGTATGTTCCTAATTTTCATGTGTTAGAAAATATTCAAAATCCTTTAAAAGTCTGTACTTCAGCTAAAGCAGACTGCTTAAGTAATAAATAAGGAAAATGTCAGAAAATATGAAAAAGAGGCGGATAAAATTTTAAACCAGCACCGGTTGAGATTAGGTAAAGGTAGATCAACAATTGATCCAAGAAGAGATTAAAAATTTATTTAGAAACAGATTTATACTCAATACATATAAATACCTCTAGCAGAGTAATATTCCCAGTAGCAGTTGTTGTAGTACTAGTAGTCCCAGTATTATCAGTTCTCATTGCCAATACCGCTGTTGGTTTTACTGAAGAAGTAAACTACAAGAACAAAATAGTTATTATGAACTATTATGATTGAACCTTTATCAGAACTAAAAGAAACTTGCACAAGTGACAATAGTGTACTCTAGTGTGTACTTACTAAAACTACACTTTCAGTCAAATGAATCAAATATGCATTTATATAGAGGCCAAAACAACGCTTGCTGTTCAGAATCACATATTCTACATAATATAAGCTTTGCAACTCATATGAAACATCACAATGTGCAAAACTATTAATAGGCCTTTATCATAAAACATATGGAACAACAACAAGACTTGACAGAATAAATACTTACAGGGAAGAGTGTGGGCACCACATCATCTTTTAAGCGCATCAAACCCAATGTTCTATTTACTCAAATTGCCTCAACATGTTTGGAGTATATTTTGAGGACTCTTCCAGATTTTATATTTTCAGTGCCTATGTTTTCCATCCATAATTTGCGGAGAGCCTCATTTTTCGAAATCTAAAAAAAATTAAAAAATCTAAAAATATTAATTTAATACATTACAGAAGACTTATTATCAAAAACACAATTATACTTCATATTTTCGATGTCCCTGAATGATGTATAATTGTATTATTTAATTTTAATCTGACTATCAATACTACTTCGTGGTACTTGATACTTTGACGAGTGGAGCCAAAAAAATAGTCTCGATAAAATTTTCAAACAACCATGCTATATACAACACTACGTTTTCATGTAAACATTGCAAATATTAACTTATTGACTATTTTACTTGTTAGTAGTAGTTAGAAGAATAAAAAATAACCGATAACACTATATGTACAATTTCTGTTATATAAACAGGTAGTATCACATACGAAAAAGTACAAAAAAAAATACAAAAACTGGAACTAACCTAAAAATGTCAATCCTTCGTTGTTTTTTCCGGCATTCGAATAACATCCTGTGATGTAACACTTTGCCATGATAAATTTTTTTCCACTTATCTTTAGAAAACACTTCAGAAAATACCAGAACACACACAATTCACTATTAAAATGAAAATAATTTTCGAACAGCAACTATATGACAGTCGAAGTACTTAGAAAAGTGTAGACCTAAAATGGCGGCATGTCATGAAATGTGCTTCAAGGCGGGGCTTAGTGACGTAACGGAAAATTAAAACAAAAATTTGAAATTCCTGACATACTACTGTACTTTATTTACATTTATAAATTACAACGCGTTAGAGTGAGAGAGATATGTTTTTGTAATTGAGGTGTATATTTGCATCATATTTGTATAACGAGAAATTGTATATGCAATAAAGGGCTTATCCTCTTATATTCTTATATCAATGGTCGATCCATACTTTATGGTTGAAATTTAAAAGTGAAACACGTTTCTTTTCGCCTGAATAAAACTTTAGGTTTTTGAATTTATCACTTGGAATAAAGATTTATTTATGTTGTTATCAGATGTGATAAGCATTTCGCCGTATATGGTAAAGAAGGTTAGATGTCCAGAGTTCTAAGGCAAAACTTATTGTTTATTGCATTATGAAAACTTTATTTATACATACTACCAAGACACGTATATATTAATATATTAACAACTGAAGAACTGGAAGTTAAAATTAAATCACACATTAATATAAAACCTATTTTATTTACGTACAGTGCTCAATAAAATACTCATTGATTTTTTTAAACATTTTTTTATAAAAATATAACATGTATATATATTATATTTCAAGCAAAGTAATATATTCTTATTATATAATTATCACATACGACCTTTCGCATAACATAGTCAATATAGAATAAAGTAATAAATAAAAAAAAGATTTTATTTAAGACTATATATTCTGTGTATAACCTACGTTAAGCCAGCACCAGTCTTAAAACAATAAAAAAATGTGTTCTGGCATATTGGTTAGCCAATGGCAAGCTGCTTTACAAACCCTAATATTTTAAAACAACGTTTATAGATAGAAGAAATAAGATAAATAAATGCATGTAAATCATTAAAGACAAAAAAGGCGTAAAATCACACTAAAAAAAAAATAAACATTAGTAAAATAAAACTGAAATTGGAAAATATAAATACGGCGAAACATTGTTGTGTATTGCAATCGTCGTGGATAATTACAGATCCTCTGAAGCCATCTGTAACAAAAATTATTAATAATAATATTTAAAAACATAAACGAAAAATAAATAATAAACAACAATAGAAGGGCCTCAGCCTATTGTACTGTAAGTTCTTTCTGCATCGGATTATATTAAGAAATCAAAAAGTTGGTGCTATCAAGAATCTAATGCATTAGCAGTAAAACAATTTGTTGTGACCATTTATATCATTAAGTGTTCTACACTTTGGGGAAATAAAAACAAATAAAATCGTCCATCATTATCATCATTCAGATTTTACTCCCCCAACTTCGTGACATTTATCAAAATTATTCTTTTTAATGTATATACATATATATATATAAACTATTTTTATTTATGCCAGAGACAAGAGGTCCTTTTGTTCCTTTCCGTCAAATCCAGCTCCACGTGCAGTTTAGTACTCAATGTGCTACTTAGTGGCGTCCCCATAATAATATTATGTATGATTTAATCATATTTTTGTGGAGAAACAACATGAAGTTGGTACACTTTCACACAAAGTGTATCATTAATTAAATGTGTAAGCAACAAACTCGAAAAAGCGATTTTGGAATGAAAATTGCGAATTGAAATTTTGTCAGATATCTATACTGAATTAAAAGACATATTTTGTGTTGCGCGAAACGTGTAATCGGTACGCCTAATTCATTCAAAAACTAAAATGAACATTGAGTGGATTTGAAGTGTTTGCTCGAATTTTTTAACTAGGCGCTGATATCCCAAATCAAATACGCCGACGGCCAAAATTGGCCAATACAACTACATACATTAGAAAGTTAGAACGTATTTTGGTTCATTTTACTTTGAATGGTACCTAACTAAATATTATTTATATAAATGAAACGTCAGTCATTTAAAAATCAAGTTAAAATTTTGGTATTTCTTCTATTTTTTGGTACAGAACTATCAATAATCGATTATTGATTAAACAATTTACAAACTAAAAAAATCGTAAAAATTTTATAAAGTTAGAACGTATATTGTCATTTAGCTTTTACTAAAAGATAAAGTTTTAGTATTTCTACCCTTACAGCCGACAATAATATTTTTATTCTATGAATCATTAACCCGTAAATAACCGAAGCAAAGAGTTTTGGTACATTTTTTAGTAATATTTAATCGCACTATCTAGCCGAGCGTTAAAGAAGGTTTACTTCAATCTCGCGTAAAGGTTTTTGATAACTATGTATAGGCGAGTGGAACGTCTAGTTACATTTTACACATTAGCCTGATTCGATGCGAAATATTATTATTTCTACCATTATTGTCAAACAGAGTTATCAATTAAATAAAACAATTTATAAAGTTCGTAAAAATTGTATTTATTTTTTTGTAACTAGTTATACGTACACTAACTACGACAGGTATTGTAAAACTATAGCGGTAGTAATACGATACACTGTACATGAACTTAAGAAAAACCCACGAAGGAATATTTTCTCTGACATCTTATTTCGTATTAAAATAATAATTTATAGTGGAAGAAAAATAAAAGCATTAAAAATAATTACAGTCATCTGCACTACTCTGTTTTTTTTTCATTATCGAGGGTTGTGTGCCGCCGATACGTGTTGCAACTTTTTTTTTGTATTTATATCTTTTGCAGGTAAAATCTCGAACGAGCTACGAGTATGTTTCAAAATAGTTTTACAGACAGAAAGAAACACAGCGAATTCAGTCAGGAGGTGCTTTATAATTTCGCCCTTGTATATTCTTTACTTCTTTACCTTGTGCCACGCGAAGATTCCGTAAGAGACGCCAGCGCCCAGGGCGAAAGTCAGCAGGTAAGGCAAGAATTTCAGCGAAGGCAGAGATCTCTTCTCCATCAGCTTCGAAATCTTGTTCAGCTTGCCCTCCGTGTATGGTGGGTAGCGCATTCTGTAAATAAGATGGTTTCTCAATGAGCATGGATAACGTCAATGTAATCGTAAATGTAAACCTATTAAAGCCCGGTAAAAATAGACGTGATTGCTTTCAAAAGTTAAAAATCCTGTAACTCTGTCTGTCTGTCTTGCTTTCACTCCAAAACTACTGAACCGATTTAAATGAAATTTGGTACACAGGCAGCCTGAGAAAGGACATAGGCTAAAAGTGTTGTAAAGTTTTATTTAAGGACACCGCGAGCGAAGCCGCAGCCGCAAAGCTAGTACTACATATACTATTGATGGCGGATATTTATTGCACAATAAGAAACAATTTGAACAAATATATTCAAATGTATAGAGACATGCTCTGGTATTCTCTTTGACCAACGTAGTTATGACACTCCCAACTAGCCAACAACAATTTTTTACGAATGTTCATAATAAGTCTCGGCTAATTATAATGCTACAAGATAATTTTTTGCCACTTGCAAAAACGGGACACGATATAAAATGTTGGTATACTCACGAGCCCAGTTTCTCGCCGATGGCGGCGAAATTCTTCACGAGGCAGCTCTTCTTGTGCGTGAACGTGTCGAATGTCGCTTTCCCGTGGTAGGCGCCCATGCCGCTGCTACCCACGCCGCCGAAGGGCAACGTGTCGACTGCGTATCGTACAGATTATATAGCATTTAAAGGCGCTTGTTGAGTTTTTAATGAAAGCACAACAGCTTCGCACAGAGCACTGGCTGGAGAGATGAAAATTAAAAAAAAAAGGCACAGCCCGTTCAGCAAATCATTGGCGACACTCGCAATGAGCTAGTTTATTTTTTTCCCGGCCACTACTTTCTACTTTATAATTACTAGACAAAGAGATTTATTTAGCAACAAACAGGATAACAAACATAGCAACAAACAAACATTAAATAAAATATCATCATCGATGCCAAAAACATTCTAGATAAACTGGGGATTTTTTGGTAATTTAACAGATTTATTTTATTGATTTACTTTAGCTTTTATATAAGTTTTAAATTATACATACAAAATCAATGCTTTGTGCGAAGAATTGACAAATATTACTAGAGCGATTTACATAGGACCTATTCTATTAATAAGCAAAGTTGTATAGAGTAGGAAATAAAGCGATAATATTATGTATAGGATAGATATTAGCTAAGCTCTAAGTTTAAATTATATAGTAGTTATAAATAAAATGCAAATAACATATAATTGTATCTTTTAAATGAGTTAAACATTTGTATTTTTTTTTAACTAAACTATGACAGTTGTGATTAAATGTTATTTTTGATTCAGTTTCCTAAATAACGTATTCAGCTATTGCTTTTTTTATTTTGATGTATTTTCTTATCATGGAAATTAATAACTTGATTGGAATAATATTCCTAATGCACTTTTAATTATTACAGATTTGTTCAAACAGAGCAAACTTTTAACTTTATCATTGTAATGGTAATCCATTCACTTCATTCAACTGCCATATTATAAATATATGGCAGTTGAATGAAGTGAATGGATTTCTTGTTTATGGACACATTGTTTTCTTTTTTTTTTTAATTATTATAAAAATTAAGAAAAGAAGTTCAAACCTCCCATGTGCATTATCGTATCGTTAACGCACATCCCTCCGCTACTAGTGTTGTCAACAAAATTCGATATCACATCCTTGTCGACGGAGAATAGATACAGCACCAGCGGCTTCTCTCTACAGAGTGAGAGACAAGACAATAGAGTAAAGACCACCACCGTTTTAACGGAAGATTATTATACGAGAGAAATATAGTACATTTACAAAGCAACGAGATTTTAACGCGTCTTATAATAATGTATAGGAAAATTGTTACAATACGTTAACTCTGTGAGCACTAAAGACAAATTACTATTATGTTATACAATTACTTAATAGTTACCCACTATGGACGTCAAATAAAACATTTAAAAAAAGAAACTGTCACGGAATTTTATGTATATTTTCAATGTCGTTAAAATAAATTTAGAAAAGTTAATAACAGTTATCATATTAGCCTTAGTTATTCACTTTACAAATAGGCGTTAAATTATGTAATTACAATAATAGCTTCGTTGAAGATGTAATGGAGGTAATTCTTTTATTATGTGAAATATAAAAATTTCGAAGTTTTAACATATTTACGCCATTTATGAAGAACAAACACATACTTTATTGTAGCATAAAAACCAAGTAGCCTACTAGATAAATATAAAATTGTGTACTAGCGAAAAATAACAAAAATATACACAATAATAGAAAAGAACCAGCTGCCGATACAACTCCTCTACCCCCACCCCACCATACACACCACAACCGCTCTAAGATAACTTTGCATACAACAAAAACCACATAAAATCGCTAATTACAATGCAATGTTGTCAGTTTATGAGTAATGAGAAATATCCAATAATTATGTAATATGTACATAAATAAAGTAAAGGTTATTTCAACTCTACAATGAAATACATCGAAACGTTTTGACATAGCTTCTCTAAGTTAGCATGGGCCTGCCACCATTTTAATTTCTTTTTCTAATGGACACCTCCACCGCCTGCACCATTTATGTACGAGCTTTCGCAAAATTTAAATAATATTTTTAATATTACTTTCAGTAACTAAAAGAATCAGTTTTTTTTTAAAGTTTGCGCAAAATCGTACGGATAATGTCGTTTGCCTTACCGCCGTAAAACATGATTGTGTCGTTCACACAGAAACTGCCTGAACGAGTTTGTTCATTGAACAACGCATGGATGTTTCTTTGATTGCTGAACAGGTATAGTACTAATGGATGTTCCCTGAAACGCGTTATAAGCAATTGGTCGAAGTCCACGCCATCTGTTAACCCTTAACCTAATTTGTGAAGTAATATTTAAAACAAAAACTTATTTATGATTTTTTTCCAAATGTGCAACATCTTATACATTTTTCATGATTACTTTGGACGAAATAAGCAGGAAAAATGTTTTAACGTGAAAAAAATAGAGATTCTACTAATTAGAAAGCTATGGATGTCGAAAATAATGGCGTATTGTGCACGTTATCCCGCCCATTTGTGCCGGATTGTGGTTGATACGAATAACACACGTGCCTTTAGATTTTTTGAATAATTTTGAAAGCGAATAATAATTTTAAATGTAACTTTGAGCAAGTTCGTAATTATTTCTTAAATAAATTTTGAGAATTGATTTAAACGAAAACAATCTTATTTAATTCATGAATTAATTTAAGGACGATAACCACTTTTTTAGGGCATGACCTAACAATGTCCAGAGACTTTATATTTAGCACTTTGAGGAAAAGAAAATCCGGATTTAGAATCGAAGAAAAAGAGTAAAAGGTGACGTTTATGCCATGTAATACTTAATTTTGTTTGAATAAAATATTTGCCTATTTTTTCTATTAGAATTTTTTACTTATTGTAAACTGTAACCTAAAATTGCGTTCCAAATAATAAGCTTGACTTAAAAATATGGATTTTATGAAAATTTTTAGGGCAGCAATGGTCATCGTCGTTTCAGAGTTAACCGCAAAGCAAATTCCATTTATATTGACCGCGCATTTAGATGGGCACATATGTGTCGGCGAGTGTTTTAAGAATTTATCATGAAGTTTGTTTTATATGTTTATGATTTTCACCGCGTGTTATTACCCAATGTTACACCATAAGTGCTCATTAACATATTAAAACTTTAGGTTAAACTAAAAATCAAAGCATTCGTTCACGTCTCATCGCGAACCTTTCTAGCACCTAAGCAATGAATATCGGCACTTGACAAAAATAAAAAACACGCACAAACAAAAAAACACACAATGTTTGTAAAATTGCATCGTTCTGAAGCCCTTTTATAAGTACATAAATTCTCACACAAAACCAAGTTAGATTTTGGTTTAAATTTAAGGTTTTTTAATATACCACTCAATGTATCGTTTTTTTTATCACCACATATTAATGTGTATTTTATTATAAAGGTGTGGTTTTGGGCAAAGGACAATTAAAAACAATATGATAAATAAATATATTTGTATGTACCATAGGTATCAAATTCTGATTCTTGTTGATGCACAGGCAATTAACGGCCCATTGAATATTTTAGTTCTTCTTGTACGATTAATGAGTTATCTTTAGTTATTTATTTAGAGATCCTTTTATCATTAATCCAATATTGTTATAAAGTATTTCAAATATAAATATCATTATACTGAGAAAACTTTATCCTTAAGAAAAAATATTAATCCACACTCTTAAAACAAACAAATGGTATTTAATCTGTCATACTATACTTTTTTCGTCTTTTTGGCGTTCTATTATCTTTGATGCCAAAGACGATACAATACTTAACTTACTGCCTATCTGTTTTAAAATGTACTCACCTGGCGTTAATGAATTTTATTGCCTCGTATGCGTTTTCTACGGGCACTATGGGCAAAATGGGGCCGAAAATCTCGTCCTCCATTATCTTGTCCCCCTCCTTTACGTTTGCCACAACTGTGGGCTCTATGAACCTCTCCTTCGGGTCGCTGCCGCCGCCGATTGCGATTTTGTCTTTGCTCGCGTCGAGCAACGCCTGGAGGCGGCTGTTAATTCAGAAGGGCATTAAATAGAGTTATAAATGGGAAAGTAAAGTTTGTCTGCTTGCATATTTTGTACAATCACATGTCCTGGAAATCGCTTACATTGCAACCCAGTTGCAACGTTCCATTGGCACGGGACATGAAGCGGTTACTCGACATTAGTTGGTACCTGAAGCTAGGTGTTTCCACTTAAAAAATTCATCGATATTTTTGTTCAATGCAATACATCGAGACTGTGCATCGATATTATCCTATGTATCGATTAGAAAAATGGTATAAAAATTTTAAAATAACTTTTGAATCTTTTTCATTTACGACCCCAGCCTGCGTAATTTGCTTGTACACACGCCGAAACGGCCGTACAGAATTGGATGAAATTCGAAACGGATATTGTTTAAACGCAAACGCAGCAACCAGATTTCACCACTAAGCAACGCGGGAAAACACCCAACAGCATTTGACACCGCCCGGATGGATGGTTATCAATCCACGACTGTGCGTTTTTCATGAAACTTCCTGCAACTCAATATTACTTTGTGCAGTTATTCCTAGAGTTATTTATGTTTATACATATAATTCTACTGTACGTGTGGATGTCACTGAACTCTTCCTAAACGGGTGGACCGATTTTAATTTTTAATGAAATTTTGTGTGTCTTCAGGTTGATTCGAGAATGGTTTCAAAGTCAAAGTCAAAGTATATTTATTCAATAAAGGCCAACTTAAGCTCTTATTGAACATCAACAAAAAATCTACCACCGGTTCACTAAACTAGACCTGCACAGAGAAGAACCAGCAAGAAACTCTGTGGTCTTGTTTTTCTTGTTATATATATATATTTTTTGATGCAATTGCAAAATTCAATTATACACACTTATTTAGGTATAAAATCAGCAGCAGCCAGGGGTCTTGCAAGTGCAGAGCAAGAGTCATTTCCAAACATCCTTGTCCTCAATGTATTCTTGGATATTATAGTAGGCCCTTGCCATTAAGGTAGCTTTTACAAATTGTTTGAAATTGTTTATACTTAGTTGTTTGTGGATGTCACCTATTTTATTATAAAAGTTGATGCATCTTCCAAGAAAAAATGGTTTAAATTCACAATTCGGTCCACATTTTTTTTATTTATAAGTTGTTTTCGGATTTCAGTCGTGTTTACAGGACGTCTGTAGGGTCCGCTAGTAATAATACTGTACCTCAGAGGTAAACAGCATTATGTGTCAAAACACAAATTCTACAGGAGAGGTCAAAATGCGTGAGTGAATCCTTGAATGTATATTGATTATGATTCTTTTTTTTTCTGTGAAAAGTTGCCAAGCGAGCAGACGGTTCACGTGATGTTGAGTGAATGCCGCCGCCCATGGACGTCTACTACACCCGAAGGTTGCAGATGCGTTGACAACCTTTGGATAATTGGGCTCCGGCTACCTCACTCACCAGACGAAACACGAAAGTAATACTTTCACTTTACGCCGGTCTTCTGTGAGGTCGTGGTACTTACCCGGACGGGCCTGCCCATTCGTGCAACAGCCGAGGCTGCTGCGTGGCTCTACCACCATGATATTGATTATGATGTCATATACGATTGGATTTTTTATTAACTAGGCGTCGAAGGACTTAATGTCCGGTTCCTATATTCAACGAACGGCCCTTATTTACCTTATCTTAGCTTCGTAACTTTCGTAACGATTTGTTGATTAAACGAACGATAGTAACTCACTTTCCGTAGGTAATGCAATGGTTCGTAAGGAAAACGCCGCGTTTTATTAACATAGGAACCGGGTGTACACGCCTTTCATCTACAAGTTGTTATGAAAGGTACGAAGTTATGTAACTAATAACGGCCGTTAGTTGAATATAGAAACCGGGCATGATGCTTTATACTATTGTTTAGAATTTGTTCTAGCGATTTCAATGGTGTGAGAGAAATAATTTGGAAAAATGACGAGTTACTATCGTATGCCTCTGGGGTACAGAATATATTTCTTTACACGCTTTAAAGACTCACCCGAAATGGCGGCTGTTGATTATGCGACACAAGTCGGGGGACTTCTGCGGTTCGGCGCCGTACCACTCCCTCAGCACCTCCCTGGCGGCGTCCACGAACTTGTCCTGGACCTCTTTGGAGCAGAGCACGTAGTCCGGCGCTATGCAGGTCTGGCCCGCGTTGATGAACTTGCCCCACAGCACCCGCTTCGCCGTGACGTGCACGTCCACCGTGCTGTCTATGTACACCGGGCTGGAACGAATGATTTCATAATGAACGAATGGATGCACGAACGAATGACTCATTGCACCGAAGCCCGGACGCGTCCTACGGAGGGTAGAGGTAAGGAGAGCCGTCTGCGTGTATTTAAAAGGTGTCCGCCAAAAGGCGTTCAATAGGGGTGGCGCAGGCTAAATTTTAATAAAGGACGCCAAAAGTAATTCGGATAAGATTAATAAACAGGGGCCGACAAATTTCAGATTGGTTTTGGTGCACTTTTCAAACAAAGTAAATGGTTGGAGCACACTCATATGATATATTATTAATGCGGTTTTTTAATATTTGAACTTAGAACACTTCACCTCATCTACATCAGCTAAGTTCATATCGTAGTTTATCATACGCCAGCGCTGTTCTGAACGTAATAAGAGTTACAGTCGAACAACTATGTCGCTTGAATTTGGTCGCATACGTCGTGATAAGGAAAGTATAGAATAATGGAGGTGTCTCACCTTTTGCCCCCCAGCTCCAAAGTGACCGGTGTAAGGTTCTTTGTCGCGGCCGCGTACACGATTTTGCCGACGTTTGTCCCGCCAGTGTAGAATATGTAGTCGAACTTCTGTTTCAGCAGCTCTGTTGTTTCTTCAGGACCGCCTTCTACCACAATGACAGCTTCCTAGATATTAAAACGATATGTACATTAGAGTAAAAATACAATGACGCAATGAACCGTGATATAGTTCGGGCGTTCGCTTTTAATTCAATATTCTCGAGCAAAATGAGTTCGATCCTCGGTGCCGGCACCAATGACATTGTTAATTTTAAGTGCTGACTTCACGTGCTCAGCGATGAAGGAAAATATCGTGAGGAAACATGCACATTTTTGAAATACTAGTATCTATTATTTATAAAATCGTAATTATATAAAAATCGTCTCGTATTATATATAAAAGAAATATTTCGATGACATTCAGTCCGTCAATTAATGCGCCGTGGGGACGCATGGCCTTTACAGAGGCGGTCTGGTATTTACTTTACTTTTTACGCAATTTAGTTTTAAAAATATTTTCAATACTAAACAATACACTAATGGTCGGGCAGACTCGAAAGTCGGCTAGCGAGCAGGCGGTCCACCTGATGTAAAGTGATTACCACCGCCCATGGACATGTACAACACCAGATGAGCTCGGTCATCTCCCGCACTATACGAATGGTGAAAGTACATACTTTCATTTCACGCCGTTTTCCGTACTTCCCCAGACGAAGCTGCATATTCGGGCAACAGAAAAACGTGCTAGTACAAGTGTAACATAGCCCGGCACAAGTTCTTTATTCTTTTATAGTCCTAACTATTTCTTTATAGTCTTAACTACCAGGAGAGCAGCTCTCTCGGGAGGCCGAATTATCGCGTAAAGAAAATCGTCTACGCTCACGTTGTCCAAGTATTTAGGCAGCGTTTCCACTACGAAGCGGGTGCACGCCTCCGCGAGCTCGCTCGGCTTCACCACCACCACGTTGCCGGCGGCGATGGCGCCCGCCATCGGCAGCAGCAGCAGCTGCAGTGGGTAGTTCCACGCGCCGATCACCAGCGCTACGCCGAACGGGTCCTTGTATATCACCACGTCGTCCATCACGTTGACCAGGGTCTTCGGCGGCTGCGGGGGAATAGTCCATTCATAAGAGTCGTATAATAAGTACAGTCGAGTGCAGAACGCGAGTGGTGCGTCACGTGTTCAGAGTGTACAGTCGAGTGTGTAAGTGACTTATCGCTTGATAGGAATATATGACATCTAAACGATGCACACAAAACCGAAAAAACACTGTCCGTAACTATACATCAACGCACAGCGCCATATTATTTATTTATTTTGAACAATCTTATAAATTTTGTCCTCTATCGGTGTGGTCTATACTTAAAGTCTGCAAAATCATAAGTACAAATGATGGAATTTGTACTTATGATTAATACGAATTTTTAATACAACTTTTAGATAATATAACTTTTAAATTTACGTAAATAAGTAATAATTCCAATTTTTGTTCTAGGAAAATCTAATCGTGTATTGAAGAGGCGTTTTCCACAAACACATTTTTTCATAAAGTATGAAGAAACTCCCATTATGTAAGTATACGGAGGTACAAATATCATACCGTGCCATGCTCCAATCAAGCGCACGATTGAATACAATGGTTCTTATGAGTTAAAGCCAAAACACAATTGAGTCAACGCGGAGGGCATTATGAGCCTCGTGGGTTCTCGCAGGCCCCAGATCAGATAAAGTCTCAGATTAATAGTCTACGAACTGAATGCAAGAACATCAGTTATATCGTCCAATTGCCGGGATGTCGGTAGTTGTATGCAATTGTTTCAAGCGATGTTACCACTGTTATTATATTCTCGCAAGTACGCGTTAGGTGGGTATGACACACCATTATTTTCCGTCACGTGTCGGGCTCGTGTGCATATAAAAACTTCAAACTCGAAGAGGTAAACGAGTTTTCGAATGAGTCGTTGCAAGGTTATAACTCTATATAATTACTCACGTTTGTATGCAATAATACTTGTTTTAGAACAGTGTATCGTGCTTGTTCAGTTATACACATTTTGCACAATTCTGACATATTATGGGGTAGGAAATAAAAATAATTAAACAATAACGGTTCATCGTGTTTTGCATAAGTTCTCATTATCAACCTCCTGGTCCTATCCCACTTGTAGCATATAAATCATGTTTTTTTACGGTGTGATGTCAACTTCATATGGACAGTTATCATTGATTACCACAAATACTTGTCCCAAATTTACATTTAAAAATCAATATTGTTTACGTTCCGAAATTGCAAATACCGTACTGAGAGTTTCGACAATTGTTTTCATTTTATATATAAGATTAAGCGAAGATTTATTTTAGAGCCCATTTAGAATCATTAGTAAGAGATTTGAAAGAATCGCATTTGGGTAATTAAGAAAGTAGATGGTATAAGGATTCCGCTAGCATCCTAATGAAGTGAATTTTTGCCAATAGAAAATGGCCACTTATGCACTTAAAACATCATTATGTGCACCACATCGCGTGACACGTTTGGTCACGCGATATGGTCATAACATAACAAAGGGAAAGTACAATAAACATTGTTTAAATCGCTTACGTGTGTTTGCGATTGCTGTGATGGGACGACTCGAAAAAGGCAACGATGTAGTCACGAGAAATATCGATTTTCGGAGCCAAAGAGTCTTTATTTAAATGATTGCTGGCGATGCTAGGTGACCAGGTCCATTCACCACCATCCACGTTGTTCTGGCCTTTCCAGTAGATGGTGCTGAATTAGATCATATTGTATGAATATAACTTAATCGAATCCTCCATGTATGCTGTTGCTTGTATGGGCTGGCAATTTTGGGGAATCATGACGGTCTCATATAAGATCAGCGTGGAGTAAGAGTAATATAATTTTGCGTTTCGTTTGGCGAGTGGGGTAGCCGGAGTTCACCTTTTGAAAACCTGGAAAGGTTAATACCAGCAAACAGATATTTGGAATACACGCGACTTTTGGTAAAATTACAACTTTTCGTAAGAACCGATCGGAAATCAATGGAAAAACGTTCATAGGATTTAGTGTTGCACAAGGAGCTATCGATCATAACGATATCGATTAGGGTATCTATTTCGTTATCGAAAATCCGTGATATGGACTTGGCTTAGGTAAATTTGAATCATTCCCGTGTCCTCGGCAAAGCGACAGCGCAGGTGCAACGTGGGTTTTTTAGTGGGTACCCCGTAACTCCCACATATCCCTGATGCCTACCCACAAGGCGGCGGGGGATACATAAAGGATTTTTCCCACGTAAAGAAAAAATAAAGGTAAATTTGAATCATAGAGGTCCTTATTGCAGCAACATTTCAATGCGTATCCAAAATTACTGTGGTAGGGCCACGCAATAGTTTTCACTGTTGCATGAATGGGCAGGTCAGTCCGGGTAATTGCCACGACCTCACAGAGGACCGGCGTAAAGTAGAAGTGTTACACTTCTGCGTTTCATCTGGTGAGTGAGGTAGCCGGGGCCCACTTTATTTGAAGGTGGCAACGCATTTGCAACCCTACGGGTGTTGCAAGTGTCCATGGGCGGCGGTTATTACTTAATATCAAGTGAACCACCAGCTCGTTCGCCACTTACTCACATAATTAAATAAATTGTGTTTGAAAATTGACCATAAAACTCTAAAATGTAACTAGAAACAAGAAACTCGTTGATGAACATGTCTTTTCGAGGAACGTAAAATAAGATGTAATAAGGATTAAATTGTCTCATAGAGGAAAGCATTGGCAGAAATTTATAATCAACTTAACTCGATCGCGTGACTATAAATAAACTAATGTATTGTTATTTCGCAATAGAATTCAATTCCGTGTAACTATTAATGCTAAGAATAAAATAAGAATATTATATTAATGCTAAGAATAAATAATGCTAAGAATACCGCATTTTTATTCATTTTTATACGTACCTATTTAAGGCGCTGTATGCAGTGAATTTTTAACTATTTGGGTGGTGAAGTATGAGGAAGCGGAGGAGGGGTAACGCCGCTTAGCGGCGCGCAGCGCGCGAGTTTCGTCGATGCGCCGCCATTCAAGTAATTCATTACCTAGTGTTGTGTGTAGTGATGGACCGTAGGATACTATCGATAGTATCATGGAAGGCTTTCGAAAATGTACATAGATGACCACTATAATATCTTTTATAGACGATGATTGTATTTTACTTTTATATTATAATAGTAATAATAATAAACAAACAAATATAAAGTACGAGAAAGCAATCAACAATTTTAGAAAATCTCCCTGTTTATTATTATTTTTTTAATTAAATGGAAAAGGAATTGATTAAAAATACATCTTAAAGTCAAATAAATTAATAAATTCAAATTACTCATAATTATTATTTTTTGTTTTCATGGTTTATATTGTTATTTTAAAGAAATGGCTCATAAAATGTTTCCAGAAATTACGAATACAACTTATTTATTACATTTTTTTATATATTAGGAATTTTAATTTATCCTTTAAATGTTCAAGATTTACTATGTTATATTACTTTCTGAACTAAAATGAAATTTAAAAAACTATCGATAAAATCTTTATTTGTATCGATAAACGACAGCAATTATAACAAGACTCGAAATTTTGTCACTTTCCACAGTTCTCGTGTAGCCTGTTGGTCCGAGCGTTATACACAACGGTAAACTATTGCTGTAGGTGTAGTCTCAAGTTTAAACCCTCATCGAGTGGAGTTGTATTTTTTATATATATTTTCACTTTTAATTTGTTAGCCAACAAATCATTTTGTTTTTATTTTATAAAATGGCTCAATTTGGGAAATAAACAAATTAATAAGAAAAACTATAAAACAATTATTTTTCGTGTATAAGATAAATTTTCCTTTTAGGGTGAAAAATTAAATATTTTAATAAAAAAATAGATGACGTTAAAAAATTTTAATGCTAAAAGTTGGTTTATTTACTGATAGATTGTTCTCCAACTGTTTCAACTTTGAACAAATACAATAATATTTTGTTGTAATTATTTATGAAAATTACAAATCAACAAAAAGTAAATGGTAGGTAATTAAGAAATATTTCCAAATAAGAAAATCAACAATAAGTACAACAAAAAATTTAGGGATTTGAACCCAATCCATAAAGAATTATGGTCCTATACACTGTATGTATAGGACTGATAGATCAATCACGAGATAAGCCATTGAAATTACGCTTTAAATAAATTAATTAATAACTGTTAATACATTTAAATAATTTATAAATACGAAATATGTGAATATATATTTTTTAGTTTCGTGTTTTGGAAGGTCTTATAATATTAAAACTGTCAATAATAAATAAATACGAAACATATTTCGTAACGGTGAGCGGGCGATGAGCGGCATAGATCCATCTAGCAAGGCGCCTCAGCGCTCTCTGTTCAACGTGTGGAATTGGAAGAGAGCCGAAACAACGCCGCGGTGGCGCGGTGTTTTGGCCATCGCGTTCGAATTAATTTTAATGAATTAAATTAATATTTACAAATATCTTACATCAATCAACAAATTAAAACAACAATGCTTTTTATTAATATATTCTACACCACTGATATTAATTTCATTACGATTTGTTGATGTATTACGTTCATTTTTGGATTTGAATTTCTCTTTTAGTGGTAGTTTCATGATTTTTTTTCTATCGAGAAAATATATCGAGAATATGGAAATATTTGGAATCAATGTTCCATTAGAATGTACGATCAAGATTAACATATATTTTATTTTGCTGCTATAAAATGTGTAGATTTTGCTAAAAAATCTTTTGAAAAACCTATTTTTATTGCATACAGCGCCTTAACACATGGGAGATTGTTGATTGACAGGGTGGCTTTTTTAAAGGTGCCCAAATTCACACAGGAGGTTGAGACTCGGTAGTAGAATCGTTTATTGAAATTAAAACAAACTTTTTTCTTCCAATAAAATTGCAATTCTATTCCCCAAAATACAAAAATTGTTCACAATGCGGTAGTCATTCATAAATGCGTCGTATACTTTTGAAACGAACTTGTGTGCGTGTTAGTTATGAATGATCGCGCGTAAAATAAATGAGTTTCCCATAAATCATGAACATTTTGAGATATGTTGAAATGATTGTAATTAATTCATTACGAGTGATTTTAAATATTTATCATTACTTATGGCTAGAATTTAATGAAACAAAATGGATACACTTAGAAAAGCCCCCCTGTATTTATTACATGAAGATGTTTGCTGTAGTTTCTTTCATTCTCGAACATTGCTCTTAGTACATTATTTACATTAGAACTCAAATTCGTCCGTGGCAGTTTTCCTCTGACAATGATCGGTTATTCGTAGTTGGTTCCGCCTTTTTTTCCTTGACAAATGCTATGATGCTAAAACATCTTTATTTTATAAGAAAACGTCATGTTTAAAGTAATGTTTCTAATTCGACAAACTCGTTGACAGGCAAAGCCTTGAAACATCGTAAAGAACAATAAAGAGAAAAAAAAACGAAACAGGAAAACATAATTCTAGGTAGATATAAAAATACAATGGAATATTTTTTTTTTCTTTTCATTTATTTACGGCCCCACTCAAGTACTTCGATTTTCAGTTGCACGTAAATAGAATTTATTTTGTTCTTTCACTAAGTTCAGTCTAAGGTTGTTGTTTAATGTTTTATTGTTATTTATGTATTTATGTAACACTGAACGTCATCTTTCTTAGAAGTTTTTAATACGTCAATTGTCGTAGTCGAATTGAACAGTTTTAGATTTTTGTATCATAAAGGGTTTGAAGACGCTCACAGAGAATAGAATTGCACTACAAACCTGACCCGAATAAACACTCGAAGACGTTTCTAGAATATAGGTATTTAAATGTGGCTAAAGTCGGTCACGTCTCTGGTAATATAAAACGCTTCGGATTTTAAATTACGCTACTGACCTTTCTCAAGATAACTCGTTACTTTTTGACGCGCGTTCGAGCTATGAATAAGGACGTCTTTGATTAATAAAGTAAATTATTTGTACACATAAAACGGGTTTTTTTTACCGACTGACAAATGCGGACTAATACCCCTTCGGACCAGTGACGTTCACAGAGATTTCAGACAGGGCGCACCAAAAAACTTACCAATTTCTCAAGTAATGATGATAACATCTCTTTAAAAGATATCCCAAGTGGCCTTTGAAAAGGCTGTGATGTGTTAGTGTGTGGTATAAAAGTAGTGTTCTGGAACTCCGGAGATACATCACGGAACACCTCAAGTTAAATATAACGTACTAGCTGCTGCCCGCGACTTCATCTGCTTAGAATAGCCTGACGCCGTAACATTCAGAAAGAAAGACAGATATACATAAAATATGTATATAAATTATAGCCTATGTCTTATTCTTATGTATAAGCTATAGTATTGTAAAGTTTCCTTAAATCCATTCAGTAGTATTTGCGTGAAAGAGTAACAAACATCCATCCATACACACAAACTTTCGCGTTTATAGTAAAGATAGTGAGATATTTGAAGTCGTTTTCGTATTTTTTTGTCAGAAAAAATATCTTTAATGTGACGTATGAACGTATATAAGTTGATTGTGTTATTCTTTACCGCACTGTGAATTAGCGGTCGAGCCTGATTTGTTCCACCGAATTTATTAGCCATCCGCAATGCACCTCATACAATAGTGATAGGCTGGCGGCTTTGTGGCAATCGTGCGTCTTATTACGGGCAACATAGATAACACTCGGAAAAAACCCTTATAGTTTGAGCTAAGTACAAAAAAAAATTACTGTGACAGCTACCAAGCTGAACGTATCCTGATTATTAATGCGGACTAATGCACGAATGGCCGTTAGTTACATAGCTTCGTAACTTTCATAACGACTAGTAGATAGATAAAAAGCATATACTCCCGGTTCCTATATTAACAAAACGAGGCGTTTTCCTTACCAGCCGTCGCATTACCTACGGAAAGTTATGAAAGTTACGAAGCTATGTAACTAACGGCCGTTCGTTGAATATAGGAACCGGGCATAAAACATGACGGAGAACAACATACCCTGTCGGGCTTCGCCCACTCATCCAGGTTATTAAGCGTGTTCTTGAGGTCGTTTATCAGGTAGTCTATTTCCAGGAGCACTGCCTCCATCTTGCTCCGGCGCAGGTCCTTCTGCAGGGCTGCCACCATCGCGTTCTGGTTCTCGGTGTACATACGTAGCAGGTTCTTCAGCTGTTGGCGGCGCCATTCCAGGGGCCTCGTCACGCCGCGGTTAAAGGTGTCACGCGCGTTGGCAACCAACTGCGGAAAGAAAATTTAACAGTCAAATATGGTACACTCGTCTACCGCAGACACTGACGTAAACTCGCCAGTACTCTTGTTTACAATAGCTGCCCTCGCATCGTGTACACAAGGTAAACCAATGCACGTGACACTGGATAAACTCACATTTTATGGTGCATGCTAGTTAGTATACTGCCGTGCTTTGAATACTTAGGTCTTAGTTACTTAAAATAAAGTAACAGCGTCCCACTTCTGAGCAAAGGACTCCTCTGTACAGAGGGCATTAGAGCATAGTCCACCAAGCGGCCCCACTGATGATTGGCGGATTCCACATATCTTCGAAACATTGTTTTTTGTTATTTAGAAAATATGCTGGTTTTCTCTCGAAGGAAAATCTTCACCGTTGGGCACGTGATAGTTCAGCACTTAAGATTAACGATTTCATTGGTGCCGGGACCGGGGACCGAACGGCTGTTTGAGCATATTGAGTCAAAATCAAGTTCCCGGACATCGGACAATGAGCTATCACAGCTATTCAAACGTACACTTGAAAGGTCGGTGGAAATTGCCACATTAAACAAATAACTATCGTGCGCAGTTTGTATTATTTGTTCGTCTCGATTTCTCGGTGACCGTGAACGCGTCAAACTATTCGAAACGAAGATGATAAACATTTTGAATCATCGCGATATAATCTCCAAACTTATGCTAATTTTGCAAGGATCTTAAAAATTTTCACATTGAAATTTAACATATTTTCTCATAAATAAAATAAAAAGATAAGAAAAAGTGTTTATTTTCGTTAATTTGCAGGTTTCATCCAAAATAAGTCCGGCCTTCTGACGGGAAAAAGGAAACGCGATCTGCAAGGGTTTGTTCCGTCAAAGGATGTACTTTAATGTCCTTGATGTTTTTCGAATACCACGGTGTGATGTTTTTGGAATATCAATCTCTATAGACCACTGCGAAAAAAATGTAGTCTCCAGTTCGAAAACATTACGGCCTTAATCAAGGGTAGCATTATCCAATGTTGAATGGACGTTTTACATACGTAAATTTCACGTGGACAAACAGCCAGATTATGTGTGGTCAGCCGAAACAATTATGTGTGGTCCGTACAAATATGCATATATGTATTTTATGCATAATTTAAATATTTTACATACTTTTGGAGCCCACTATATGCAGACTCATTAGATCGTTGTAATGATTTCAAAATTCCAATTTTCCACACGAAAACGGCCGATAAGTATCGCAATTACCCAATTAACGTTATCAAAATAGATGCGTTATGATGATCTATAATTGAAAGATATAAGAGCTCTGATTTTTAAATAGCTATTTTTGTACAAGTCATTTTATTCGAAACTAGTTATTTCTATTTTAATAGGTACATAAAACTAATTCAATATAAAATATCTTGGCAAAGAGAAAGTTCTCTCTTTGTTCAGTTAATTAACTGTTTTGCTGCAAGTGGTAACTTCGTCGAATATGGTTATAATGTCTGGGTGATTTTACTTAGAAAGTACAATAACAACGCTGTGTTTAGTATTGTACAATTCACAACAAAGATAACTTATTTTACTTAACAGCGGGTTATAAATGTGTTAATTACTCGTTTTAAAGTTCGATTCATCGGACTTTCGATTAATAAAGTAAAATATGGTAAGTCTTTTTTAATGGAGAAAGTTGCAAACTAGCAAACAGATTCACTTGATTTGGTATTAGGTATAGCCATAAAAGACGTGATAGCTCGGTGTCCGGGCGTTCGCCTTTAATATACTCGAGTAACCCGAGTTCGATCCCCGGTGCCGGCACCAATGAAGTTTTTAACTTTAAGTGTTGACTTATCACTCCGCGGTGAAGGAAAACATCGTGAGGAAACCTGCATATTTTCGAAATAATAACAAAAAAGAATATACTTCGAAGATATGTGAAGTCCGCGAATCCGCAGTGGGGCCGCGTGGTTGACTATGCCCTGATATATTTGTATATTATTACCCTCTGTATAGGAGTAGAGGACGCCTTTGCCCAGCAGTGGGACATGTATAGGCTGTTACTTTACTTTACTTTTATAGACATTAAACATGTGGTGCATCTGCGTTCCTGGTACACCATGTCCCATAGTGGGTTATGAATTATCGAAACTACAAAAGCATCGTCGACTTGAAGGCAGTTGAATAAAGCAGGCATAAATCGATGCAAGCACTTTTCACTCAAGCACTATACTCACGAACTAGTAAAATAATTATAAAAATAACACTAAAAAAAATGCGATGAATCCGTTCATAGTTAACTTTTTTGCAGGTTGAGTACCACTGGTCTAGATTGTCCCGTGACCACAAACGCTGCAAAGCAAAGTATTCGAATAGTCCGCAGATAAAATTTTAAATAAAGAGAGTTAAAACCCGCAAACATGGACACTTTACAATATAGAAGAGAGTACATTAGAACATTACATTTCCCAAAAAAAAAAAAAACGAGTTACTTATAAGATTAAACATGCATATTTCTTTTTAAATTTGTATTGAGTAATAAAAATAAGAGGTCTAGGCTTGACTTGACATAGTATAGGGCAATGATTTGAAAGTCCCGTTTTCCACACGAAAATGGTCGATAAATATCTTAATTACCCAATAAGCGTTATCAAAATAGATGCGTTATAAATGTTCTTTAATTAGAAGATAATTATGTTGAGGTCTGATTTTTGAATAGATATTTCTTTCTAGGAAGTACAGCGAAAGATTACAAAAGTCATTATATACGTAAATTACAAACATTATTTAATAGGTTAATTAAACTAATACAATATAAAATTTCCTGGCAAGAGAAAGTGCACATTATTTTCTTTTTTGTTTAACTGCAATCGTGGGTATATGCCCATTGGGCTTGAATTTTAGTAAGTGGCGGAAATAGGGTTGCCAACCAGATAAAATTTCAAATAAAGACGTATCCTACCTTATTTTTGGCAAACATACTTTATAATTTTGTATAAAAATAAAGTATGTGAAAATACTCTATTTCTGGACAGTTTTTCATTATCCTTAAATACTCTTTTTAAGTATAATGAAAAACTCTCAGTATGCTGGAAGCACACAAAAATAAGTCTTCAAGAGAAGAAATAAATATATAAAATTAAAAAAAAACTTTCTTTTTCTTCCAAATACTTTATTTTTCCCTACTTGAAAAATGAGACACGTTATTCTTCTCAAAAACAGTTGGAAACCCTAGGCGGAATGGACCAGTTTCTTTTAATTCGAAAGCGCAACGCTGGTAGGGCCACGAAAGAGTCTTCGCTGTTGCACGAATGGGCAGGTCCGTCCGAAAAAGTACCACCATCTCATATAAGACATACTCCTGCGTTTCGTCTGGTGAGTGAGGTGACCGGGGTCCACTTTGTTCAAAGTTGGCAACGCATCTGCAAGCTTACGTTGCAGGTGTCCATGGGCGGCGGTTATCACTTACCAGCGGGTGAACCGCCAATTCAATTGTCACCTTCTCACATAAAAAAACAACACTTACGTTTAGTGATGAACAAGTTACAAAAAATATATTATTATTTAAATCGGTCTTTATCGCCGGTCTATAAAATGTTAAATAAGTCGCAGTGAAAAGTCGATTCAACGACCTTAAGGTTAAATGTTTTTTTTATGGGAGTTAAAATCGAACAGACAGTTCACCTGATGTAAAAAGAAAAAAAAATGTTGATTCATAGAAATACCGTGATGTATTACTATGAAGCAACACGATGAAGTTGTTCGCTTTGCAACCAACTTCGTCATGTCGCTTTTTGGCTGTCGGTGTGCTTTTCACATTTTTCACATTTTTTTCCAATCGAGCCAAAAGAAGTATATCTTCAATAAGTTTACTTTAAAAAAAAAAAAATATAGCTCTCACTTTAGTATATAATTATCCAGATTTGTGAGGACGTTTTTACATACATAAATTTCGCGTGGACAAACTTCCAGATGTGCAACAACTATCCGTGGGTCGCAGAAATAGTTTCCCCGTGTGGGAATCGAACCCACGACCTCCGACGCCGAGGCCAATACCTTGGCAACTGCGCCACGGAGTCATCACATACTTAAATACACATGGAAATAAAAAGTAAACAGATCGCGAGTAAGTGCGATAGCTATCATTGTAAACCTCTAAATGGCGTAATCATTGACGACCTGGCGAATAATACGACAAAAATACATTAGAGGTTTACATCTGAGACGATTAGAAACCGGACAGACAATTAACGACATAACTTATTTAAATAACAATAGATCAGGAATAACGCTAAGGAAGCGTACTATTATGATAATGACTTTTATTGTATAATTAATTAACTAGTGATTCGTTATTAACTTCCAGTTAACGACGATGTTGTCTAAAAAGTTATTATTACCTAACTACAGAAAGCCTTCATGCAAATAAAATGCATTTATTTACACCTAACAATATGATAATAGCTCTTGATAAAAGAATTACACAATACGACTCATTTCTTATCGAAGAAATGTAGTATTAATATGAGTAATTCTTCGGACTTTACGATTTTAATTACCTACTAATTTCTTGTGCTTTTCGTACTTCTGTGGTCTAAATAAATAATGCTATGATTTATTTGTTAACGCAACAATTTTAGGGATTTTGTAGCTTTGATTCAAATTTATGTCTGAAATTAAACGAGTGAATGTCAGTTTTTCTTTACAACAATGGTCTTTATATATTAATGTATATTTTACTTAAATGTATGTATCATAAATTGATATAATGAACTTTTTTTTTGACCAGATGATTTGTACCTTACTTCTATTTTTACCCTTCTTTCTATTTTTAAGTTTTTCCAATATTATTTTATTTATTGTGTATACATTATTATTTTTAAGTTTTGTATGTATTAATTGTGTTTAGACCGTTGATAAACGTCTTTTCTTCTTCTTCTATTGTATCGCAAACCTCGGAAATTGTAATTATTGTTACAATGGATCACTGTAATACTTATAAAATTTTAGTATTAAACTACTATACACTTTTAGTATAATTATGTATAACGTGATATGACACGAATACGTCAATAAATATAACCAGTTATTTTCTACCATATATTCGTCTGTCATATTTACCAACACGAAATAGTTATCTACTTATTACTTTATTACTGATTGAGTTTGATTCGCGGTTAAATAGGTGCTGTTATAAAAATATCTTACGAAACGCTACACCAGGTGAGCATCATGTATATAGCGTATTATTTTGACCTTAGTTTTGTCAAATCAAATGAAATATTACTTACGTCAGCTAGATTCACCGGTTTCGGTTTGGCATTCAAGCTTCCTGTAACAATGAAACGGAAAATCAATCGCTGCAAAAAAGACCAAGATAAGGCAGAAAGTAAACTAAATCAGAGTTTAACATGAAGCAACTTATATATAAAACTAGCGACCCTCCCCGGCTTCGCAAGGTGCAATGTATTATACACATGAACCTTCCTCTCGAACCACTCTATCTTGTAAAAAAAAACCAGAATTTTTCAGGCAATTTTTTTACATTTTTTCTTTCATAAGAACCTGAAAATAACAAACACAACAAAAAAAGTGAAATCGGTCCAGCGGTTCACGCTTGATGGCGTTACCAAGGGAAATTGGGATTCATTTTTATATACATATAAAATAACCCGTTCATCCTCTGCGAGATGTCACCCAATGCGAGGTTTGGTTCCGTTTACCACAATCACGACAAAATGCTAAAGGATATATAACTAGTTATGTTACTTGTGTGTAATGCAATTAGATATATTTTTGCACTTTTCAACCACCTTCTAAAGAGTAGATTCTGAATTCGGTTGTATTTTTTATGTTTGTTAATTCCGAACACTGTCGTTTATGAATTGATTTAGAAAATTATTTTTGCATCGGCTTCGGTTTAGGTCCCAGCGGTATTGGACATTGACCTCTGGATATTTTTTCTATGTGAAATGTTATCAAGCGACGTCTTCAACGCCCGATGATAAAATATAAGTAAATGGTATATTACTAGTACTAAAGATACATCAGGTGACTCATTATCAAATACAAAATGTGTGGTACGGCGTAAATCCGTCACCGGTTACTACTATAACTAGTAGTCACATCGGTAACTTGCGTTTCTACGTTATATGTACCTACATGTTATGTAAGTGTAACAACCTCATGACCGCTCAATGTTACCGACGCTAGTAGGTACTATTAATTATATTATCTGTTCGCATGAAAGTAGAAGCAAAGATAGTTTGCATTATTGCACATAAACCCCATAAATTTATTATTTCAATAACTTTAATAATTTCAATAAAAACGTTTCGCCTATGACGATTTCTCGAAAATTACCCGACTTTGAGACCCATAATATTTATATCGGTAAACAATATAAAAAGCAGTTTCATGTTTAAAGGCAGTAACAGAAAATTAATAATAAAAATTTTAAGTACTAAATTGGTTCATTAACATAATTGCTTGGCCTGCATTCTTCCGCAATGTATATGTAATAAACAAAAATGTCTACTCATGAATCATGCTTAAAACTCTGTTTAAGAGGGAATGTATATTCTGGTTTGTATTGGTGATTTAATTGCATGAAAAAATATGAAGAATTTAAGACCTTACAAGCTTTAAATAAAGAAAAACTTATTTTTATATAAATTATTACAACAGAAAATAGTTTTATAGAAGTATTTATTTGTTTTTATTGTATTTATTTTTTATCTTTTATTTGTTTCATTTAAAATAAGTTATTATCTAAATAATAATATAATCTGAAATGAATTGATTGCTCTGTTTTAAGTGGACTATAACAATACTGTGTACATATTACTGTCAAATATTAGTATAAAAAAAGATTAGTGGTTTTTCTTCTTCGTAATGGTGGTAATATACAAATGAAAACCAAATGAAAACATTTAAATTTGAAATTTATGTTCCTTTGACCTGTGTACTTTTGGTATCAATGGATGGTGTGCAGTTTAAAGTGTTTGCTTACATAAGTAATTTGAGTTTCTTTTATTATATAGCATTCAAAAGTTAGTGTTATATAAAGCTGATGTATTAAAATATAAATGCAAGAATTAAATACACTAAACCGACAAAGATAGGTAATAAATATTATATCTAATGGAATAGTGCAAAGGATTGGATTGTGGGTACAAGCCATACAATTAAAATAAGGTATTTTTCACTATAAATTTCCATTGACTAAATGCATGTATCCTCTAGGTATGATTTATGACTTTCTTGGAGACACAACCTTGTTTAAGATTCGGCCTCATATAAACAACAAAACTTGTATGTATCAAATATTAATAACAATCTTAGAATTTTTCAAACCTGCAAGTTTAATTAATACAGTAAAAATATCACTTTTGTTTATTTTTTCCAAAGCCTTCTTTAAATAAGCTTTGGGAGGGGAAATAGAATGTTCTACTATAATAAAATGTTGAAGTCTTAATTTTTAAAAAGCTGGAAGTGTTTTCTTATTTTATCCTCTATCGAATATTTTTCTTAAAACTGCAAGATTGACTGTGTAATCTGCTGCACAATTACTAATAAAGTACATGTTGAAATTGTAATAAATAATTACAAAGATATAGCAAACTATAGATTTATTTATGAAATTAGGATATTTATAACGTAAAGCATATTAAAAATGAGTAACAAAGAAGTCAAGGGTATTCAAATAAGGGATTGTATTAGTCAGATTTAAAAATATAAGTGGAAGAATAATTTTTAACTCATTACTTGTATAGAATATTAAAATATTAAAAATAAATATAGAATATTAAAAAAAAATTAACATACCGACAGTCATTGTGCTAGAAGAGCAAAACAACACAGCACTACCTTCTCTGAGCCCACAATATTTCTAAAATACGAAAAGTAAGATATTGGAGATAAAAAAATGGAACAATTATAAGCACTGCTATCGTGGTTCACATGAAAATGAGACTGCCGAATTGATTTCGCATGAATCGAAACTAACGGGCAGTGGCTGTGCAATGTTTAAAAGTTTTTATTTCTTTGATCAAATAATAATGATGTTCTATTTTGTGTCAAATCAAATGTCAATAAAATAAAGTGTCGGTTTACTTCGTTCAATCAAAGAATGAACGGTTGAATGAAAGCCGAATAAAACATTTAAGGAGGACGGACGTGATGTCAGCATCTATCGACAGATGGCGCTAAGATAAAAATTGGTGATTTATTTTACAATACGAGATTATACTTTTTTGTATTTAGTAATTTGATAAACTATAATAAATAAATATATGACTGGTACGAACATTTATAGCACTAGTATGGTTATAAGGGGTCTATAGTTTTTTTTAATGAGAAAAGTTGTTACACGAGCAGACGTTCAGTCCATGGTAACTACAACAAAACAAATGAGAACCTGCAGATGTGTTACCGTAGTAAACTTTATATGGGCCCTGCTTACCTCACTCACCAGATTGAATACCAAACTATAATACTTCCCTGGACGAACCTGCCCATTCGTGCATCAATCATTGTTGCGTGTTCAAGGGGTTAGTACTTAGTAGAGACAACAACGTTATCAAAATGTCGTAGGTTTATTCGTCGCCGACTAACTCATAACGTGATAACTCGTGTTAGGCTATAAGTTTCGTTGTATGTAAGTAACATCCGATTGTGAATGATATCGAATTACAATTAAGAATGCCGAAAAACTCCTGGATGTTATTGGAATTTATACATGCATGATATTACGGTGTACCAATGTAATGAGCCCTCATCGGTGCAGTCTACATTGTATAGTTAAGGACGCGTTTACGAATTCACGCGCTTCAATTTTAGGTACAGAGGCGTACTACTACACGTGCACGGCTCACGCACACAGCGACAAGCGCGAAGCAGCGAAACTTTATGTAACTGACGCAACTTGATACTTTTGTTTAATTTGAAGTCATTTATTTTTTAAGCTTACGTTAAATTTGTTTTCAACAAGTTTTTAAACTGAATATTTTTTTTATATAATTATTTAGGTATAATTTATTAAATTTCATTTAAAAGCTCGTAGCTGTTAATAATTTGCGTTTTAATTAATTATGTATATAATTTAATTTTATGTTTTAATTAATTTTTATGAAGAAAACGAAGCTTGTTTTATACATGTTTGATTATGCGTGCGGTAGGTAGATAGCTTGATAGGTAGGTAATGGTAGGGTACGTAGGAAGGTAGCTATGTAGGCAGATAATTAGGTAAAACCCGCTAACGAATTGAGTAAAATACTTTGTATCGTATTCTGAATGCATTTTGCTGATTCAATAATATTCATGCTAAATGTTAAAAAAAAATAATTTTCTGTAAATGAATTGGAAATAGCATGGCGTACGAAGCCGGGCTAGTATCTAGAAACTAAAAATGAAATAATAAAACGAAGGAAACAAACTAGTAAAAATTAAAAAACATTTTTATAAAAAAAAACCTGTCGCACTCGGCTCAGCTGGGGTAAAGCTATAGCATAGCATCTTTTATCAACTTATGCGATTATAATTATTTAATTATGCAGTATTTTTTTCTTTGATATTTATATTTATGTTAATAAATAATAATATTTTAATATAAATTAATTATATATTATAATTAATAATATATAATTAATTTATATTATTTACAAAAATAATAAGAACTACTAAGTCAGTCACTAAGCTCTGGATAGTTAAATTACAATATACTAACATTTTTAAACTTGTGATATCTTTCGAATGGAATGTCCGAATTTAATCATTCAAAAAGTTATATAAAGATATTGAAACAGTCTTAAATATAAAGTAATTTATTTTTATAAGAATTAATACCAAGATACAAATAAAGAGCCTTTTCTAGCGGCGGCATTTCAATCAAAATTTTAAAGTAAAAGAATACTTATTGTGGCATAACTATAATAGTTAGACATATACTGTCGAAACACTTTTTATAAATAATGATGTGTTCTGCAAATTCGTAGTACATTATTTTATACAATTATCAATAGTTTTAGCAGCGCACGCGATGCAAACAATATTTTAGGTAATTTTTGTACACTTTGGGTTACATTATTCAAGTTTTAGTAAGGATTCCTAGTTTTTTTGAAAATTTAATATATCTTATGTCATCCGGGGATAATGTAGCTTACAAGGAGCCTATTCAATGCATAAAAACAATCAAATCTTTCCTCTTGCGTGGTAGGCGGAGTGGGTGGTGTTAGGTTTTATTTTCGTTACAGAATTTATTGATTCGTTCGCCGCGCTCAAAGCCCGCGATAAAAGCTGTGCAATAGCTTAAAAAAATATTGTTTCATTTTTAATTTGACTCTTCCATGCTCTTCGCCAGAACTGTCGCTATGTCGATCCTGGGTGGAGCAAGCCCGCGAGGCCAATTTATACCTCCGACACGAGGTTCTGGCTCCGCCTTTTGATGTTCACTCTATGGATAGGGAAGACCACACGGAGTCGGGGTGCTCTGTGTCGGTTCTTTGTGATTTTTCTTTATAGTTCTCTATCATTTAATTATTTTTGTTATCTATATCGAAGTAGTAGCCTGCTAAAATTTTATCGTTTTAGGCTTTGGCATCTGAAACAACAATTGAGTTATAAGAGGTATAAATGTTGTATGTGATAACTGTGCCATAAAAATAAGTCTTTGATAATTTAAGTTGAGACCCACTACATTTTTTACATAACTATTTTTTTTTCGTGTTTTGCCTATTTTAAAGACGTTCTTACTATAGATACCATTTGTTCCAAAAGATTGCAAGTCATTAAAAAAATTAAGTATTATTTTAGGCAGAATTTATGATCATAAAAGTTGATCAGTGCGAAACACGACAAAACAATAAACGATAAATGGGGTCATGAACGTGAAACAAAAAGTTTGCCACATAGCTGTCGTTCGAAACTTTTGAAGTACATGTTTATTACACCTATTCATTGGAATATACAAAAAAATGACCTTTTAGACATGCCTAATCTTACAATTTGCAAGTGTGCAAATTTGTTTTGTATTACTTGTATTTTTAATTATCCATACAACTTTTCTACATGTGGTGTACTTTTGGCCAACATTTGGCTGCATGGAAATAAGAATTTATAATAAAAAAATACCAGATAGGTTCATAGGCCTCCCGGAGTATTTAAATTTAAACGAAAATTCTAAAATCTGTACACTGTCAAATTAGACATTTAAAATATTTAATCATGTCTAAGTAATGTAGAATGTTTATATTAAAAATTCATTACTTTGACTTGTGATTTACTTTGACTTATATTTATACTCTATTGACTCATAATTATAATCTAAATTTCAATTTTTTTATATTAACATGTTTCACAAATATTTATACACAGAATTGATGTAGAATACATAGTTCCATATTTTAAATAACTTTTTTACTGTATTCTTACACCTTCATGCCAATACATCAATTTCAAAGGTAAGGTCTCAAAAAAACTCACAAAACAAGCCCAAACTCGACACACATAGCTCATCTCGTCTGTTAGTTCCAGTAGCAGTTCTCGAAGTACACCTTCAGGTCACTCCATCTAGTCAGAAGGCAAGATCTCACCATACCTAACAAAACAAGCCCAAACTCGACACACATAGCTCATCTCGTCTGTTAGTTCCAGTAGCAGTTCTCAAAGTACACCTTCAGGTCACTCCTTCTAGTCAGAAGGCAAGGTCTCACCATACCTAACAAAACAAGCTCAAACTCGACACACATAGCTCATCTCGTCTGTTAGTTCCAGTAGCAGTTCTCGAAGTACACGTTCAGTTCACTCCATCTTGTCAGAAGGCAAGGTCTCACCATACCTAATAAAACTAGCCCAAACTCGAAATACGTAGCTCATCTCGTCTGTTAGTTCCAGTAGCAGTTCTCGAAGTACACCTTCAGGTCACTCCATCAAGTCCGTAACGAAATATGAATTTTTAACCCCTACTAATTTCTAGTAAAAATATGCATATATATACAAAGTGTGAATTATAGTTTACTTTTGTCGTTCGTAGTCCGAAGTCCGAACATGATGTGTAAAGTATCAACTTTGTTACGACAAATATTTTGTATTCGTACAGCGATCTTTTTCCTCACGAGCTGCTGTTTATAAGCGACATAGTGACCACTCATGACGGCAGCCGAGCGCCGACTTATATTTCTTTAAATATTTTTGTGGAATAGATCAAAAAAGCGACCAGTAAAATAACCTTTATGTCAATCACTTAAGATTCACACGTAAGATATAAATGTGAAAGAAATAGATTTTAATCTTTATTTTTTTCTGAAACTAATTTCAACAATTTTGATACGTAATGTACCTACCTTTTTGAGTTGAACATGTGTGCTTACATAAAATATTTTTAAATAAAAAATATGTTATTAAATAAGAGAAAAAATGTTCCTAAACCCAACAGGATTTCGTCCATTTTGAGTGAAGTGGTCACGAAAATTCTCATTTACAATATTATAAACCAAAATTTCGATTAAAAACTATCTACCATTTGAAGATGAAGGAGGGATCTATATGTGATAATTATTACTTACATTATATTCGTTTCGTTTTGCCGCAAAATGTACCTGAAAACCCCCTATTTTTTGCAGATTCCGCGAGATTTCGCAAACACGCCCTTAAAGGAAATTATTACTGAATATATACTGAATATACCGTATGTAGTACGAGTAGTATTATACGCGATGACTTAAGTACCATTTAGGTTTTTTTGATCTAATTTAAAGATTAAATCTGTTCTTGTCATTATGTTTGTTATTTCTGTTTCATTCTTCATACTTTTCCACTTTTTTATAAATGGGCAATACA